TAGCCGAAGGGACAAACAGCTCATCTTTGTCTTTGCAGAGAGACAAAGATATTTGCATGATCTATGCTCTGAGATGAACAACATCAACTGTTAGGATCTTCCTGCTAATTAATTAAGGCCAAACATCAATTGCACATGCAAATGCACATATTAGTATGGCAACATTATCAGGAACAGTATTTTAACCTGGTATTCATCCTAAGACATGCTAGTGTACCTGTAAAGTATATGTAAGTGGCAGAGGTGCGATCAGGTTCCTTCTCACATTCTTCACCATCACAGAGGACCAACCAGCAACTGTACTCTCCTGTGTCAGCTGCAGAGGGCGACGTCAGGGTCAACTGACCAAACTTCTCATGCTGCTTAATGCTGATACAAACATAACAAAGGAGTCATCAAATACATGTAACACAAGGTACTCTGGGTTTCAGTCCTAATTAGCATCACTAATAACTTCATAGTCTTCAGAGAAAAGACTAAAAGGTTGAAATTAAAGTCTAAAAGGTGTCAGCTCTTTAGGATCCCAAAAGAGTTGGACATTCTTGGTGTTGGTCAGGGGTCACCAATGGTATGTGCAAAGGGTCAGCATGGCTGCAGAGGTCATGGTTGTATTTTTCCCTTCCAGTTTTTTCCTTATTCAGTTTACTGGATATCTCACAGATATCTGTTCTATCAAAAATATGGATACTTGAATATGAAAATTGGTCAGAATGCACATTCTTAATTAGGAGAGCTCCTGCTTGATTGGAATGAAAACCTACATCTGTCCTTTGTGGATAAGATTGGTGACCCCTGGTGTAGGTGATGGTATGCTTTGTTAGTTCGGGGTTTGGATTAAAAAATAAGATCTGCTGAAATTCATGGGAATCTCTATCAACACGCGACAGTTTAAATAGTATTAGATCTTAAGAGGGACCTGAATGAAAGACCCACAGCTCCAATCCTTGCCGAGCAAAATAGTGGAGTACCTGAGGCGGGAGTCATTAAAGGTGTCCAAGTAAGAAGGGTATGCCCAAACAATCTTGGTTCCTTTACATCTTAGTTCCAACGTTTTCCCAGGCTTTAAGGTTAGAGTATCACCAAGACGTAGGAACCGGCCCTTGTCCAGAACCTGGGTGAGAATGGAGTGAGCTTTTCCTCTTTTCCTACTTCGTCCTTGTCTGAGACGGTTCTCAGGGGCATCTGTCTCACTCTTGACGTGTTGACTTGCACCTGGGTCAGCATGAGAAAGATGTGCCATGCAAAGCCATTAGTGGAACTTCTGAGTTTTATTGGCAGCTTATAACAATCTGGAAATGAGAAGAAATGTAGATTACATGGCAGACATGTAGGTAACATAGAATCTTAATGAAAATTAACAGAGTCCAAATTAGCATCCCAACTTTAAAATTCCCTTATTCTGCCATGTAATGAAGGAATGGAAAATGCAATGCCATTTCACCAGTAATGTGTGTCTAATTGCCTTCAGTGTTTCAGTAGCAGAGCCAGAGAGTGGAGAAGGAGAACAGTTCAGCAGAACTCTCCCATCTGGAAAGTTACTCCGTTTCATGTTTCCAACCCACAGCTGTATAAACAGCACTGCAGGGAATATGGCTTTTTGTTCTTTATACCAATGCAAAATGTGCAAAAAAGATCAGATCACTTAACACAAAACTTGTCTGTTGCACAAAATGGTGCCATAGGATGTAGACAGTGTTCATATTTGATGTATTGATAGGTGCACGTTTATAAAAGATGTGCACAGTGCTTGTTAATGGTGAACAAGCTTTGTTTCTAAAATTAGCTCTCTAAAGCTGGGTTTTAAAGGTATCTCAGAGTTAAAAGGAACATATTTTCAATAGATGCATGAAATAGGCATGTGGACATGAAATATGTCACTCTACTAGACATGAGAAAGATAAAGAAGTTTAATCCCAAATAACAAATTTTGTTTTTTCAAAGTAGAGCTTGCTCTTTTCCCCAACATCACTCCCTGAGTCTGGAACCTTCATCGCTTCCACCAACACCAATATCACTCCTGGCAAACTCCACAAGCCACATGCCCACAATTACTTTCAAAATTATAGTTGAGGATGTTCGTGGGAGTTGAACAACAAAGCCGAAGAAAGAAAAAGGAGACAGGCTCACCATTCTGGAGCTCCAGCAAGAGCAGTGCTAGTGTGAGGAGGACCCAGAGCTTCATGGTGCAGAGACAGTTCCGGCGGTGAAGCTTTTTTCAGGTTCTACAGAAGGCCCAGGCAGCATAACCTTCTCCACAAGCACCAAGTGACCTGTTAACACTGAGGGAGTCATCCTCTGCAAGAAAAGGGGAATGCCTTCAACCCTGCAACTCCCCCACCAGCCCTGAAAATTATGTAAAATGTTCTGGTGCCCTCTGGTGGGCCAAAGGACACTCTGTCCTAAAACAGCAGGATTTATGCAATAAACTTGGACTTACTGCTTGGTGGGATACCAATTTAGTTTCATTAAAGATCAAATATTCAGAAACAGCCAAGCCTTGGCACCCAGTGATTTCTTTCAGTGGAAAATGAGGTAACAAATGCCTCTGGTTTCTCCACTAAACTCTTGGTTAATGCACAAATATTCATATAATACTGCTGTTACATAACCTCTCTGGCACTGTTCTTCACTCCTGCTCCTTGGGAACCTACAGCATTGCGGGGATTGATGGTTTTCCTGGTCTCACACTAAGCTCATGAAGTATTTGATAATTTCCTGATTAGATGAAGCATTGTTGCATGGAGAAGCACTTAACTCTGCAGTGCTGATGGGGTGAAGGACTGTGGTGAGTGATTCTCAGCTCTGGTCCTGGAGGCTCACTGCCCTGTACATTTTAGTGTTTTCCCTGCTTCCAACATAGCAGCTTATTAACAGTCCACTATTGAGTTAAAGTTGGTGTGTCAAAGCAGTATAATAACTAAAATGTGCAGGAGAGTAGACCTCCAGGGCCAGGACTGAGAAACACTGGTCTATGGCTTGACAAAAAGATCAACAGAGGAAAGAGCTCCCACAGCTGGTGGCTTAGAATATTGCAGAGAGAGATATTAGAATCACTTGTTAGTGTCATAGAAAGCACTCTGAAGGAAACAGTTTGGTGAAAAATCAGATCCACTTACCTCACATGCAGTTAGTCTGTCAAGACATTGTGGCATTTAAAGTTTGCTTGTTCATTTTTGCACTGGAGCTACAAGACTAATGTAGATAGCAAGTAAAGCCAATTAGCATTGTGCAAACTGCATGACTACTTTGCCTCAGTTTAGGTGGTTTCTGATACTTTATGACACTTTTGTCTATAAAAAATATGTTGCTGAGCTAATCATAGTACTAGCAGTTTGAATTTGCATTTTATGGTTAACAGTACGCTATTGTTTCAGACACAAGTCTAAGTTTGAGTAAAATGAGTGATGTTTTAGCCGTGCAGTTTGCATGATGCTAATTGATGTAGCTTGTAGTTTATTGGTCTAAGCTTACTCCTATGCAAAACTAAAGAGATTTCAGACATTAAACATGTCTTGGGTAATTGACTACATTTGGAATGAAGGTAAAATGTGGTGTGAATGACTTTTCATTCTGAGCTACATAGAAATGCGTACCTATGCCGCGTTGGTTTCAGCCAGACACGTCAACGGCGCTGCCACGTTAGGGCGGTCAACATCACTGCTGGACAGCATTCAGTACCATTACAGAGCGGCAATTTAAAAAAGATACTGTCCAAAATTACACATTAACTTTATGTAGTTATTTATTTACCGTGATGGTTAAGGCTTTGTAGATAGCTAGGTAAGTTAAAGCATTCTTTGCGTCTTGTTCGAATTTTCCCGTTCCACCTTAAATAGTGCATCACCCAGCTTCTTGTTCGAATTTCCCGCTCCACCTTAAATGGTGCAGCTTCAGGCACCAGAAGTGACTGCTGTACCACTGAAGGTGGAACGGGAAAACTCGAACGAGAAGCTGGCGAATAAGAAGCCAACTTTATCTTCGTCCTTACTGTGTTTTGGGGGCTTTATTTTATTTTTATGTGTATTAAGATTAGAAGTGATTTACACATTGATGGATTTGCTGATGTGTGCGAGACCGTAGCTCACGCTAAACCCGCGCTAAACTCGCGCTAAACGTTTAAACGTCAGGTGCAGACTGTGCAGTCCGTGCAACCTAGATCAATCTATGTTTGAGGATTATAACAAAACAAATTCGGTGAAAATCGGTTGAGTAATAAGGAAGTTGTGGCCGATTTAATCCTGAGACTCATCATCTTTCAATGCAAGTGAATTTGTTCACAAGCGGATCTTGACCGTTCCAACATGGCGGACGCGCAGACGTGTCGCCTCAGACAGAGAACAACAGGCAACGCGGCATCTAGCTATGTATATCTATTTTGAGCTAGTGAATTAAATTACAGTTATTCTCCTGTTATAGCATGTGGTTCAGGGTACATGTTAGATATTTTCTTGATGTGTTTAAACTTCTGAATAACCTGATCTAGTTTGAAAAAGCACATTGAAAGGGAATTTTACCCTACAATTTCTAATACGTAACTTTTTGTGTTATGTAATATTCTGTATCACTGCATTGCATCCTTTAGTGTGACATGAGTTTGTATATTTTTGTGTTTTTTGTCTATCACAGTATCATACAACCACTGAGGATAACGAAATCCATCTGATGTAAAAGCTAATAAAACAGACATATATTTGGCTTTCTAACAGTAACATCAGCTACCTGCCTTCCTTCTGCATTAGCCAGCTAGCAGGGAAAAAAACAGCTCAGCCTAGTTTTTTAAAAGTTCCTCGCACCTTCAAGATACATCATCAGAAGGGGGGTTTCCCAGTTTTAAAACCAGACAATCTTACTCTACAATTGTGGAAACACTATAGGAGGCAATTAAGCATGCTTACAACAGATATACTGATGGTTACATTTTTCATTCTGTTTGGAGTAATAATTTTGAAATATGTACAGAAAAAGATGCTTGAATTTTATAGAACCACTCTGTGACACAGTCATGTTATTAAGACTACTGTTTATTTCAAAAGGCACTGTACAGGTCTTACAGAAGAAATTCAGAAGGATCACTTTTACAAATGATACAAAGCCAACAGTATTTGAGCAGAAATCTCTGGATGACTTTGAGCACAAGCTTCCTAAGGGTCTCAATGTTCAAGCCATTTGAATCTTACAACAGTGGTGCAGACTGAACACTGGTTCATAACAAGCAGCTCAGCATTTCTTGTGAAGGTCAAATGCACTGAATCTGCTTTATGCAAATGTGCAGATCATTTCTAGATGAATAAAATAGAGTAAACTGAAAGATAAATGTGTAATGGCATTATATATATTTTATTCATGTAGAAATAATGTACACATTTGAAAAAAAAAAGAATTCAGTGCATTATTTTTCCAGCGTATCAGCAGTCAATTAAAGTATCAGTGATGTGGATCATTAGATCATTAGATCACACTATAAGACTATAAGCAGTAGTGATGTACAGCAGTAAGACACACAGAGCACACTTGGAGTGCCAGTCTGTAGGGGTGAAAGCACTTCAATTGAAATAGATGAAAAAATGCATAAAGGCCACATTATAAATACCCATGGATTATTTGGCAAAACAGACAAAAGCTGGTGCTTTATTACCAACGCAGACATTTTCATCAAATAACTGTTCCATTCTTGTTCTCAAATATTTACACTTGTATATACGTCTTTATACCTCTACAAATGACAAAGAAAGACAAAAAAGGCTATTAATATCACATTCTATTACAAAATACTTACATACATAACACTCTCTCTGTGCTCTGGGTAAAGACAAACATGCTTGATTCTTTTTATACTGTTTTTGTGAGTCTGTAAGAATATTTGTTTGGACTTGACTATATCTACAGTGACCACGGCAAAACAAGACACGACAATCTATAACATAAACAGAGCAAGGAATGTAACCTTAGAGTTAGACTACCAAAATAGAGCTGCATACATTCTAATTATACTACACGCCACTTTGCTAAAAAGTGACACCATCAACTCTGCAGCATAGTATAGACACGGGTACACCACACTGTATTAAGATGAAAAAAAAATGTCTTTGAAGTGAATGTGACTTTCTTCTTTTTTTGTTATCTTTAACAAAGCGCTAAGGGAAAGAAAACAGTGAAAAATATATACATATATTTTTAGTAGAAATACTGGAAATACTGGTCATGGTCAGTAGATTTAAGAAAAAGTGAAGTAACTCAGAGTAACTACATTAGTAAATCAATGGTCAATTTTGACAATGCTATTCTACCACTGGCAAACACTCTCTGAGCTGTCTGTTCACCATCTGAATACTCCCATTTTTTTAACCTATTCTCTATCTGCCACATCTGTAGCATAATTTTGACATTTCTCTGTGCTTATATGATAAAAAATGTCAAACAATTAAAATAATGAATCATAATTAATCGCTATATTTTGTGTGGGTAATTGCAATAATCACGTTTGCATTAAACCCTGTTCAAGCTGGATTAGTTTTACTTGGAAGGGTTCTGTAATTTGAGTGCTAACCAAAGACATCATGATTTTAATCCAGTACAAATCCTCCATTTCCAAGTTTGCTTAGTAATAATTCTGAAGCAAATTATCTGTAACTCAGAGCTCCATCAGTCATATTAGTCCTTTTTGAATCATCCTTAATGTTAGTATAATAACAAATCCTTGATGACAATTCGACCCTGGCTATCTGAGATCATTTAGGGTAATTACTTTGTCCTATACAAATCGGCCTGCCGAACCTCTTTCAAATTAAACCACCTCTACCACCAGACCGATTCCAGCTTGAATAGGGCTCTATTTGCTCAAACTGTACAGTACATGCATACTGTACATTTATGTCATAGCTATATGAGTGGACAAAATAAGCTTCATCAGAATGTATTTACTACTTTTCAATATTTTTTCATCACATGAACGCAGGGTTGAACATGAAAATCATGCTTTTTCCGTAGTCTAAACGTAGTTTCCAATTTTCATCACCAATGTCCAGTGAGAGCAACAGCGGCTGCATGTTCCAACTCTTCCACAACTGTAGCCTCTTGCTCTCACACCACTATGTTATGTCTCGAGGGGAACTAGAGCTTTACACTTTGCTATGGATTTTGTTAGTTTGTTCCTTGTTGGTTTATCCATAGATCTCCTGCAAGCACTGTCCAGCGTAAACTGCTGAAGGCATCTGCTAGCATTATTGATGTTACTGGTATTACTGGTATCAGCATTGTGTTTTGCTTACTTAAGACTCAATGTACTTCCATGATGAACAAATTCATGGCTTGTCAGTAGTTGGACATTTTGTTTAGTTTTGTCAAGGGGGTCATCAATGGAACTTACCATTTAAAAGCTGTGTTTAAATGAGAGGGCTACAGTTGCAGTGTCATAGCAATTGCACGCAAACAGCTGGGCTTCAGGGTGGAACTATGGATGATTCAAAGGATGATTCAAAGAAAAATGCATATACAGTGAAGTTAGTATATAAATACAAAAGCAGTGGTGTTACTCTTTAGGCATTTTAACATGCTATGAACATGTGAACAACACTACTGAAAACACATTTATAATGGCCGCTCCTGCACCGGCCCATTGACTCCCATTATATCAAAGGCTGTGCAATCCTTTTGTAAATACAAGGAAATTACTGCCCATGGTAACAGTATGCTATAGATGTGGCAGACAGAGATTAGGTTGGAGAATAATGGAGTATTCCTTTAAAGGTATTGCGTACAAGTATACTACAACTGGAGGCAACAGTTAGTATGTCACTATGTTAAACTCAATCACTCGTTTTGAGACTGTCTTCCTCTCTCCTCATTAAAATGCACAGTGCTGACTGAGAACTACATTCATATTTCATACATTGTGCATTATAATAACATTCAAGCATCACATCATTCATGAGGATATCAATCTTAAGAGAAAAGCGGCAAAACATTTCTCTGCAGCGTGCCCAGACCGGGCCTGTTAGGGGAGGTCCAGAGCAGAGCTGGACTGTCAGCTGGTCAAGGGGTTAACAAAGCCCAATGGCTGATAAGAGAAACAGTCATAAGACATAATTCTTAATTTTTTAAAACTGACTGGTTTTCTCTGGATGGACAAACTTTTCCACAGCGGCGTCCTTTTTTTGCATCGCCTTTTTATCTGGCGCAGCATTAGCGGCCTGCCTTTGTCTCTGGAGCTCACTGCTGTGCCACATACCATATCCAAAATAAATGAGAAAACCTGTTGAAGTTTGAGAGTAAATCACATCAGTTTACGTGTCTATAGTCCACCCACATCATCCTTTCTTGTCCTACTGTAGATTTTAAAAACACTCCCTGAAGTCTAACACATTAAATAATAATAATAATAATAATAATGCACTTATACCATTTTTATTTTTAAATAAAAAACATTATATATTTTTCATATATAACAATATAAAAATGGAATCTGAAAAAAATGTACAATAAATTCATTACTGTGCAAAAGTCAGAGACCATTCTTCATCTGTTTCATTTCTAGTCAAAATGGCCATGAACTACTACAGATTTTGTTTTACACTCCCATTTACAACCCTATGATTTGGCCCTAGAGCCTTTTATGGGGGGCTCATAAATAATTTGATGAGCTCAGCTCAGATTTGCTGGTTTACAGGCACCACGATGGCTCACACAGAAGCAACATGTCGAAAAAGACACAGGCAGGGAAATAAAATCAACCTCTGTATAAATAAGCTCAGTCGTCACACTGTTTAGTTAGCTATGCTAGTTACTTGGAGCTTGCTAGTAGCTAACGTTATCTACACTAGCTACTCGCTTACAAACTCAACAACAACAGGAACTAAATTAAAGTTGTTAGCTTACTATGAAACTTTCGATCTGGCTTTGACTGTCAAACAGTGGATAAAATCACACAGTCTGGCTACTTACAGGTTACTGTTGGGGTTGTGATGCTAATAAAGTTGGAACTGCCCCTCTTCTCTGTGTCAAACACTGAGTGAAGCTGCTGAATAATGTCTAACGTTTGCGAAACTATCTGGAGTGAAATGTGCAGAGCAAAGTAACATGTTTGAATTAAAGTTGTCCAGGTCCTGTTAAAGATGTGGCAGCTGACGTTGCCTTCCTATTCACCAACTTGCTTTGCAAATTTTCTGTTCCACCTTAAATGGTGCTGTAGTTGCATTATGACACCTGTACAAGCTGTAGCATTTAAGGTGGAAGTGAACATTCAATTAAGAAGCTGGTGAATAGGAAGCCAAGTTCAGCCTCATTTAAAGATTCTTTGAGAAGGGCATGAAAAGTGCCGACATTATCTTCACAGCCTGGAATGGTACATTTTTGCAGAAAATATGCCATTTTCATTGCTGTTCCTCCATTATCATAATTCGCTGCTGGCCTTGAATGTGGGCTGGTGTATGTAAATTTTGGGGGCATTAAAATTAATGAAAAAAAAAATATTAATGAGTCAAGACTGTTACGTAACAGTTTAAGATTCTGGAATTAGCTGGTTTTACTGCCCTCTTTTGCAAATGTGGGATTTGTATTTGAAGGAAGAGACAACAGTGTTTGAGGTTCACAGTTCCATGTACTAAACATTCATTCAACTGTAAAGTGCCAGTGAAAATACAGTTCTTAATTTTATGGCACCTTTAAGTACTGCTTATCTAATGGTGACAGTTTCGGTGGTCTACCAGGTCTTGAATGGTTGTTAGGAGTCCCATTTTCTCCATAATTATAATTAGCTCAAAGTTCAAAATTAAGTTTTGGAAAATCTTAGTTTTTCACCCAGTTTTCTTTGGCTTCCCCCTTCCTTCCTCTCTTCAGGAACATCTCCGGAAAAATGAACAACTTATACTTAATGGGTGTTTTGACTGGACATGAAATTAAGAGATGGTGGTCTCAGACTTTTGCAGAGCACTGTATTTTACAAACACAAGCATCCAAAGGGATACAGTATGGTTTTGGGCATCTCATTCTATTAGATAATGACACAGGAGGGTATAAAGATATATAGTATATATGTGAGGGTATAAAGTGTATCATATTTTATGTGTATGGCGTTTTAGAGTTAACATTCTGCTATGTGTATTAATGAACTGCTACTCCATCAGTTTTGCCAGCCATGCTTAAATAAATTGTTTGGAGTCCTAAATGTCCGTGGTGTGTGTGTGTGCATGTGTGTATGTGTGTGTGTGTGTGTGTGTGTGAGAGAGAGAGAGCGTGTGCTCTTACCCACAGCCATCCAGACAGAAAAACGGATCCACGTGTCTCCACTCAGCTGCACCATGAGGTAAACATTGACAAATATACTCAGAATGGGCAGAAAGGGTAAGAGCGGGACCTGCAGAGCAAACAAACACACTTTTAAACAGACCGCAATGAACATCTGCGCAGGTCATCTCTAATACACTGACGCCAGGGTATCTGGGGAGCAAATTAAGCAGGTTTGTTTTGATGCACCTCATTGCTTTTGATGTTGGCTGTGGCTTAAATAAATGGGGCATGTCTTGTCATTTTTCCCCAACAATGCTTTTTCATATAAGAAAAGTATAAGTACATATATTGCAATATGTACTAATACATACATGTGCAATAAATGAATGTTTAGAGTTTTTAAAATTTAAATAAAAGTACAAATATACATATATGTCATATTTATATGTTACTGAAATATATTCAGTGTGTAGATTAAGTATAAATAATGGTTTCATTTATGTATATACCTTTCTTTTCATCTCAACATGCTTTATATAACTACATTCACTGTGCTACACAAGCATTTTCCAAATGGTATCAAACACTATTTACAGCTGTGCCAAAAAAAGCATGTGCTTTTCATAGCGATGGCATATGTTTCTCTTCATCTATTTTCCTATCAACTTATTACAGATCTCTTCTATTGCCACTCAGGTCATTAAAACAAAACATGTGACATAAAAAACAAATTTAAACCATTTTAAATAAATAAATCATTTTACCTTAAATGTAGTTGATCAGCCAAGATATGATTGTTTTCCTCTGGGACTGAGAGTATTAGCTTCTTTAGTTTTGCACTGGAGCTAAGAGGCAAATGTAGCTGATAGAATCTTATAGGTACCAGTTTAACATCGTCCATAATGCTTAACTCACCACTGACTTGCTTGAAATGATAGGAACCAGACATCTGAAGAGTTTAATGCCTCTAAAAGCTCCCTCACAGAAAGTTATTATATAAAATGGTTCTGAATATGTTGCCTGGCATTGTTTTCTGACAGTTTTATGACAAACATATTTTTTTTTTATCTATTCAGATCCATGACTGGTGCATCCATGAGAGGTACAAGCAGGGAGTTATAAAGCTAAATAGTCCCCAAGAAAACTGTTAGTTTTGCACTGGAGCTAAGAGGCAAATGTAGCTGATAGAAGCTTATAGGCACCAGTTTAGCATCGTCCATAATACTTAACTCACCACTGACTTACTTCAAATCACACTGTTGTTAAGTAATCTCAAATACACTTGCTTATGCAGCTTCAGAGACTGTAGGACTTACTGTTATCCTATAAAAATGGACAAAAATACATTGCTTAGATAAAACCAATAGTAGCAACCATCCTAAAGCCTGTTATATACACCTTCACCAATTTTTATAGATAACAGAATGTCAGAAAGTGTCAGAAACAATGAAAACAGTTAAATAGAGATTGATTAACAACACAGTGCAGTTTTTTAATATGTGATGATGTGGCTGGGCGGTTTGCACAGTGCTAACAGGTTGAGTATGAGCTTCGATCACTTGTTACTTACATTAGCCTTATAGCTTCAGTGCAAAACTAAAGTAGCAAACTTCTGACACCAAACATCTTGACTGATTGACTTCATCTGGGGTATTGGGGAAAACAGTGCACATTTCCTTTTTGGTCAAACCATTGCTGTAAGTCATGCACATTTTCATCACCTTCAACTTTTTCTAGTTTACATACCATGAAGGACACCTTCTTGCTTGTCTGTGGCTGTCTACAGACCAAGATGATGCATATGAAAAACACAACAAAGGACGCTGCTAGTGTTCCCAGGACCCAGGGCACCATGCTGAGAATAGCCTGTCCGTAATGTGTAGTGATGGCACTGATCACACATACTGTGACAACTGTAGAAAGAGAAAACATATACATCAGTATTTGTGCGGCAGGAGGCTCAGTTTCAAGCAATCTGAAATGTACATATTTTCAAACAAATGTCATTCAGTGTCTCACCTACATACCACTTAAAAGTTTGAAATCATTTCTCATTTGATATTTTTTATACTCAGTGATAACTCATACAAAGCAATATATTACACACAAATCAATAAATAACCTGCAAAGACATACGATAAACTATAAACTAGGTATTCACTGATAAATAATACACTGTTACTGTTACTTAAAATATAGTAATTATGTTGTGCTATTATTATTAATAGATCATTTTTGTCAAGTTATCTGTGTTGTGATTTGATCACCACTTGCAAACCTAAAGCATTCAGGGTGTTGATTTTGTTATAAACTTGTTTTCCACATTATACAGTTTTCTCAGTTAATTCAGAATGATCTATGGCTCTGTTCAAACTTTTGGACACATTTAATGTCTTAATTTTGTACAGCCTTCTAAAATTATTTGAAACCCAAGAGGCTGATGAGTATTGAAGTCCTAAAATGTCATGGATTCACTCATTTTATTTCACATTATAACAAGTAATTTTTGTTTGTTTTCTGCTTTTACAGCCCAGATGCTGTGATCTTTATGTTGTGTATGTATCTTTGTTGTGTATTGTGTGACTGTACAGTTATACAGTCTGTTTTCTGTTCTTACAGCCCTGATGCTGCAATCTTTACATCACATCTACACACTTTACACACTGCATACTGTCCCCATTGTTTGGATCAGTGCAATCAAGCTGAACAATCGCTCCATTCAGCAGAAAATGTGTGACATTTAGCCACTGGTGATGCTTACTTAGCATCAGTTTTAGCAGCCTGTTTATACTTTATGTCAGCAAGTTTTCATTTGAGTAGTAGTTTGGCACCAGTAGCGCTGGTGGTGCAATTAGGAGCTGAGGTGACCTTTGTGTTTGCTGTAGCACTTTGCAGTGTAGCAGCTTTTTTCTGAAACAAACTTTATTTTTGTTTTGAGAAAAGCTGTGAGATTAATTTTCACAAACGGAGGCCGCAAAAAGAGAAAATGCAAATCTTGCTCGGGTAATACATGGTCAGAGCACCAGTGCTCTCACATCTCAGAAGAAAATTGTTACGTTATCTAGAGAAAACAAAGTGTCATGAAATGCTACTTAAATAACTACGTAAGAAAACCAATGAACACGTAATCAATGACATTTGAATCAGAGGATGTGGCAAAAGACATGATGCCGACCTATGACCCCAACAGCAATGTTGACGGCATTGGAGGAGCCTTTTGTGGGCTGCAGAGAGGGGCTGAGGAGCGACTGCAGTGTCATCTCTCCATCCTTCAGCCTGTTGAGGTGAGACTCAGACTCAGTCAGCTCTGACTCCTCTCCCTCTTTATTCATCCTGCTGTTCTCAAGTACAGAGTCTGGACGATACCTGAAACGAAGGACTGGATTATCATCAAACATAATGTCTGTTGTGTCCATGCTAGTGGAACCTGACATTAATATGACAAATGGTGCAGTTGGTTTAGCTGTATAATAAATGACTATACAAATGGGAACTGTTGCTTTTGAACCCCCCAAACAGAATATCTAAAAAATGTGAATATTACAATCAGGGTAAAGTGGCTCAATAAATAATGAGCACTAGGTGAGAAATGATAAAAGCATTTGATTATGAAGGAGTATTTTCTGCAAGCTACAAGGTCAAAACGATTTTATCAACACATTTGCAGAATTCAGATCATTAAGATGTAAACAAAGTCATTTAGAGTGGTTTGGTGTGAAATGCTCCATTCTAGAGAACCTCAGAATTGTTCACAGTGGTGGTGATAGGAACCAGACGTCTGAAGAGTTTAATGCCTCTAAAAGCTCCCTCACGGAAAGCTATTATATGAAATGGTTATAAATACGTTGCCTGATGCCAGAGTCATTGTTTTGTGACAGTTTTGAGATAAACTTATGTTCCTGAAATTCATTCAGATCTGAGATCTATTTTCAGATTTACCACTATTTTACAATTATCAACATTACATATAAAACTCAGACGAGATACGTAGATTCACTCAACATTTCAGATGGAAAATATAATGGCTGTATTTGAGTTGTAGACATTGTTGTATACAGCAGTATCACCATCACTGTAAAGTAAATCCATTACGTTTCTTTCCCATGCACAGTTCACATCAAACCACTCTGAATTAGTTTGAAATTCTAAAAAAATTTGAAATTCTTTTTTAATGTGGGGACAAGTAGTAGAAGTGTTTTCTTAATATTGCCCTAAGTTTCTGTTAATTATTAGCTACATTAGCCTTGTTGCTGCAGCGAATATTTAAAGAAGCAAGCTTCAGATGGGACATACGTCCTGACTGATTAACTATTTTTGGGTTTATGGGGAAAATTGTGATTTTTTGCTGAACTATTTCTTTAAAGTCATCCTGTTTAAACAGATTTTATATTGCACTGTATTTACATTTATTCAGCTAATCAGCACTGAACTACTTTGCCCATTGCCTGAACCACTCAGCACTTCTTTTTATCCACTAATGGACCCATAAGTCACACTTACAGTTGTATGCAAAAGTCCGAATACCATTGGTCAAATGATTTGCAGTAGTTAACAGGACAAATTATCTATAAAATGTATATAAAAAGAGCTTTTATTTATATACAGCCATTTAATTATATACAGCCATATGCAACAGTTTGAACAACCCAGGTCAAATGACACATTCTGATGATTTTCTAAGCGAAAGTAAGTCCTCTACATCCTCTACATGGAACAAACTTTAATATGGCATTTGTCAGCAAATTTTAGTGCCCAATTTCTGTTTATTTGCTGAGTTTAACATATTGCAAAAATATAAAAGATAAAATATAAAATGTACCATACCTTTTGCATAATCCACATTTTATCCATTATTTATTTTTCCAACAGGTTAAACTCAGCAAATAAACATACATACATACACATACATCATCTAAACCGCTTATCCTTCTGGGTCGCGGTGCAAATAAACAGTAATTGTGCATTAAAATGTTCTCTGTAGAGGATGTGTTAACTTATTTTCACTTAGAAAATCAACAAAAAATGTCATTTGAACTTTTGCATGTGACTGTATGCAATACTGTTACCAAAAAAGTTGGGACTGCAAAATGCTAAATGTAAATAAAAACAGAATGCAATGATTTGCAAGTTGTTTAAACCCTATAATTAATTAAAAATAGTACAAAGACAACATATCAAATGTTAAAACTGAGAAATTTTAATTTTTTTAAAAAATATATGCCAGTTTTGATGACAGCAACAACCTTCAGAAAAGTTGGGACTGGGGCATGTTTACCCCTGTGTTGCATCACCTCCTCTATTAACAACATTCTGTAAGGGTTTGGGAACTGAGGAGACCAATTACTGTAGTTTTGAAAGTGATATGTTTTCCCGTTCTTGTTTGATACAGGATTTCAGCTGCTCAACAGTTTAGAGTCTCCTTTGTCATGTTTTCGTTTCATGAAGTGCCAAATGTTTTTAACAAGTGACAGGCCTGGGCTGCAGTTAGGCCAGTTTAGTACACAGAATCTTTTACTACAGAGCCATGCTGTAGTAATAAGTGCAGAATGTGGTTTGGCGGAGTCTTGCTGAAATAAGCAAGGTCTTCCCTGAAAAAGGCGTCATCTGGATGGCAGCAAATGTTGCTTCAAATCCTATACATATCTTTCAGCATTAATGGTGCCTTCACACATGTGCACGTCACCCATGCTATGTGCACTAATGCACCCCCTTAACATCATGGATGCTGGCTATGCGCTGATAACAAGCTGGATAGTCTCTTTCTCCTCTTTAGTCCAGAGGATGAGGCTTCCATGACTTCCAAAAAAAAAAAAAAATTGGACCACAAAACACTTTTCCACTTCACCTCAGTCCATCTTAAATGAGCTCAGGCCCAGAGAAAGTGGCAGCATTCCTGGATCTTGTTTATATATGGTTTCTTCTTTGCATGGTAGAATTTTAACTTGCATTTGTAGATGCAGCAACAAACTGTGTTCAGACAGTGGTTGTCAGAAGTGCTCCTGAGTCCATGCAGATTTCCACTACAAAATTGTGTCTTGTTTTAAAGCAGTGCCACCTGAGGGCCTGAAGATCACAGTCAGCCAATACTGGTTTTTGGCCTTGTCCCTTGCATACAAAGATTTCTCTGGAGTCTTTTTTAGATATTATGTATGGCAGATGATGAAATCTACAAGTTCTTTGCTATTTTATGTTGAGTAACATTATTCTTGAATTGTTGCACTATAGTCTTTCACACAGTGGTGAACTCCTCCACATCTTTACTTCTGAAAGACTCTCTGGGATTCTTTTTTATACCCAGTCATTTTACTAACTGTTGCCCATTAGTTGTGAGAGGTTCCATCAGGTGTTTTATTTAGCATTGCACAAATTTGTGTACCCCCTTTGTGTACAAATTTCCTAGTCTTTTTTGCCCCCTCCCAGCTTTTTTGAGATGTGTTGCTGGTGTTAAATTCAAAACGGGCATATGTTTTTCATAAAATTTCATTCAATTTCAATTTCAACATTTGAAATGTTGTCTTTGTGCTATGTTCAATTAAATATAGGGTTGAAGTGATTTTCACATCATTTCATTCTGTTTTTGTTTACATTTTGCATAGTGTCACAACTTTTTTTGGAAACAGGGTTGTATTTGGACATATAATATAACCCTTAAAAGTCCCTGACAATAACAACATCATATATTATTTCTTAGTCACAGTTACTACATTCCAAACTATCAATCAATACAATGTTTGATTATGTAAGTACTAAAGGTTTTATTATCATTTGAATTTGATTTAAAATTAGTGTTGTACATGCAGTCTTGTTTTGTGGAAAGACAAAAAAATCCTTAATGTTTTTACAATGATTTTGTTGTCACCTGATATTAGAATAAATAAATAAACAAACAAATAAATCAGAAATCTATACTCCAAATGTAACTTATTGCGTAACTCACTTTGTAATTATGTAATAAGAGATATTGCATAACAAAAGTAATAAGTTTTCTATGGGTTAAAATAATAAACAAAGCAATTTCATCACCAAAATATCTTTACATGAGTTGCTAATCAGATTTTTCCCTGCAGTACTTGTAGGTATACACAAAAAGTTTGATTTCTTTGCAGTAAGTTATGGTATAATCATATTAGTGAGCACAGTTTTCATGTTTAGGACACCCTTCCCGCAAAACCCCTGTTAGCCCCTCATAGGCCTGCATGCCCTCCTCCCTCCTACCAACTGCTGAAAGAGCTCTTGGTGTATGAGTATTAGAGGTGTGTGTTCTTTGGTCAACACCTCACAGATTCTTAAAATTCCTTTTTTTTTTTTTAACGGGTCATTTTTATGACTTTGGTAAACATAACTCTGAGCCCTTTAAGGTGGGCCTGTCGGAAAAAACAAGGCTGAATAAACAAAGCTACGAACTAGAGAAGCCCCAGAGACTTGCACAATAGTTGTATTCAGTTGATTATATCATAGGCCTAATCCAATAACATTCGCTGCAACACTGGGGCGTGTCTTCAAGACTGTGCTACAGCTGCTTGCAGGTTTGTTTAGCATGGAAGCCTGTTTTGCAGTACATAGTAAATTTGCAGAGTGAAGACACGGGCACTGACCTGAGAATAAGAACGCAAGCAGCTACCAGAGAGTAGGCCAGCAAGGTTCCAATAGACATCATGTCCACTAAGGCTTTGAGGTCAAAAATGCAAGCCATGATAGCTGTGAGGTTGATACACAAAAAACACAGATTAGACATAATAAGGGATTACAGTGAATTTAAATGACATTAGTCCTACAAATGACACTACATTACACTACACCACTCCACACACAATGTAAAGTCCATATTAAAGGAATAGTAAAAACTGCAACCAAGACATGTTTGGTGTCCAAAGCTTGCTTTTTTAGGTTTAGAGGCTAATGAAGCTAACAAATAATAGCAGCTATATGTCACCAATTAACACTATTCAACACGCATGTCTAAATCATTAAACACTTTGAGTTGTTAATCTCAAATAGATTTGCTTATGTGGTTTCTGACACTGTACGACATATTGCTATCTATAAAAATAGACAACAATATGTTACATAGCTAAAACTGTACTATCAGCTCTCTTTACGCATGAATAGCTCTGTACTTTTGTCCATTTCTATAGACATTAAATGATGGCATGTAGTTCATATGATGCTATTTGGTGATTATAAGCATCTATTAATTATTAGCTACATTAGTCTCACAACGCCAACACAAAGCTAAAGAAACAAACTTCAAACACCAGACATGAACTATTCCTTTGATAGGAAAAGTGCAAAACACATATAGAACACAAACAAGACTTTAAGAGAATGTATTTGAAAAGAGCTTAATCAGGAATCCACACAGTCATGAGACTCACCATATTCATTTGAACATAACAGGCCTAAGATGGGCTATGCCAAATTGTTGAAGCAACTAAGTTGTTATAAATGTCTAACTGAAATATTATGAATTCCTGGTGAGCATCTTTCAAACCACAAATTGTATCAAACACCAACAACAGAACAGGTCCATAGATTATGAAAATCCTAATCAAGGATTTTAGTACAACACACTGGAAGCATGCACACTTACTTGAGCACATATTGCCTTTATTCATTTTATAGATATAGCGCTGAATGAGGACAGCACTATTTTAGATTTCTTTAGAATAAAATTCTTCCACTGGAAAATTAATTAAAAAAAATAAGAACCAGAAAAGAAATATGTCTCATGTACTGCTGACTGTGGCAAATATCCGTAAGCTCTGATGGATGCACATTAAGCGCTGACACTACATTACAAATCTCCGTGCATATTTTTCAAGAAAACGTTATCTAAATATTGAAATTCATGAAAAAAAAATCAAATTTTAACGTCAGGTTATTATCTTTGAAAGGAGTGCTCACATTGAAAAAATGCTTTGGGTTTACTCGATTCATTTCCACACAAATAAAAGACATAGCAACCCAATTGCTGCCAAAGTAACTAATACAACTCATATGCCAATGACGTACTCATTTGAATCAGGTAAATTCAATGCATCATCCTTTTTTCAGTGCAGTAGTTATTATAAAGAAAAAATAAGTACAGCAGTCATCATACTTTCAATACATTCTCAACAAATTATGTATAATGATTACAGAATCCTACACCAAAGGCTGACATGAAGACACGATGCAAATGCTTTATTGATTTAAAGTGAACAATCAGTTCCAGACATGCCCCATGACTCCTGTGCATTGATACAGGTGCCCAAACTTCCACTCAGCAGGCCTGCACTGTACACTAATAAACCCAAACCACTCCAGTATGGACTTCACTCATGACAATCACAGGGGCCTCCCAAAGCAAAGCTGGACTCCCTGAACCCCTCTGCCCGGTGCTTTCTGCTGTACTCTACTCCCTACCCACCATTCAGCTTTGAACACCCACTGAACTCACCCCTGCTAGCATCAAAGTCTTCAACTTCCCCTGTTCTCTCTGAGAATCTCTCTACAGCTGATACTACAGAGAACTCTGCCCGGACCATAAATTCTGTACAGGCATGAAAAACTGATCATGTTTTATAAGAATAAGCGGTTAGTTTACAGATTTTTGCTAGGTTAGCATAATACTGTAGCTGTAATAGTTTTGCATGCGTTTGTTTGTTTCACATTTTGCCATTTTTCATTAACTGAAGTTATATTTGGAGAAAGACCAAGTCAAACCATTAACGTTGAAGTAAGTGTTTTACTTTCTCTGCACTATTTTGCTCTCCAGAACCTCTTAGATCAGTATTTCAAGCTCCAAGTTTGGTCATCCACAACAACAAGTCACACCATGCTAATGTGATCTAATTAGTAGCTATTCATCTTCACGTATTGTTAGCAATGTGAGCATTTTTGAAGAAAGCGTTTTTATTCTTTTTGAGGAATTCTATCAATCCATTCATTGTAAAGTGTTTATACTATGTGAACAGCACCAAGTAAACAAAAAATTGGAGTTACGAGCTTTTGATATGACAGCAACTAAATGCATTTGATTCAGTTGGCGCAGGTAATTACTAGCAAGAAAAAGGCATACGTGCAACAGAGGGTTCCCCACATCTACAACTGAATAGATATAGATCATCCAGATTCATAGCAACACTACCACCACCACCAGACCAACAGCATGCATCCTCCACCACCTCAAGCCCAAGCATGCACACACTGTACCGCCACCCAGACTGACAGCAGACAGCAGACCGTGCTAGGCCTCTCTCTGTTGGAGCTTACCCGCAGTGGAGCCCGCCGCCATAGTGGCAGCTACTGGTGACTGGCGCTTACTCAGTTTGGAAAGAAATCTGAATAGTATGCCATCTCGCGCCATGGCAAACAGAATGCGGGGCAGAGGAAACATGGCGCCCAAAAGGCTAGAGACAAAACATGGGGTCATGGTTCAAACACAAAGTCTTGACAGTTGTGAACATATGCGACACCACAGGCAACTGTGAATGAGCAAATAAATGCCAAGCTCCGGCAATTTTTTTAGCTGTATAATTTTCTTTTGATATTTCCATTCTGTGTCCATTAAGAGTTTGTTTCTGTGTGATAAGGAATATTTCTGACTGTCCAAATATAACCTAATATTCAACATTCACTTTTGCCTCGTGGAACATGCCGCCAGTTTTACACAGCAAGTTTTACCCCCAGCTCTCACCTGCAACTACACCGGAGGTCATTGTGGCAATAAGTGGGGTCTTCGTCTTAGGATTGATTCGGGCTAACACTTTGAAAAGCACCCCATCCTCTGCCATAGCATAGATTACACGTGGCATTGGGAATATGGAGCCCAGCAGACTGCATATAGAGCAGAGACATGCATAGGACCAACACGTTAGTCAGGCTACCCACTCACACCAGCCACACCGCACCACAGCCACAGAGCATTACAATTACATGCTAAAGACCAGATCCCCAAAAGCTCTTCTTATGCATTATATAGTGGTCATGATTGGTGGGTTTCCTTTTAGAGATTTCAAATGTGGACACTATATAGCATTTAAAGAGAACTTAGGGATTTAGCCATTCAATCTTGGCATCTTTATTTTTTCCTGGATCATCTCTAGGCTTTGTAATAAAGTTATGGGTATCTCTATCTCAACTGTGTTCATAAAAGTGGAAATTACGTGTAAGTAGATTTCAAATACTTTTGAAGAACTGGAGTAGCCAATTTTCTTGCCTTAGAGCATTCACCCTGCATAGTTAAGTTCCAGTTCTACTACAACACAGACTTTACTGTTGAACCTTCACCTGAGCACATAATCGATCACTGATTTCACTCACCAGGAAAAACGAAAGACACCAGGCATGCTTAGGTTTTGTCCTGAAAGAGTGCAACAACAAAGCTGAGATTGGATACTAGTGCAAGGCCGTGTATGCTTGCAGCTCTTTCACACAAACCACCACCACAGAGCCATTAGAGGTTTTTAGGAATCAATCCACAATAGACCCAATTAAGCACATCACATCAGACAATGACATTTTTCTAATTAGATATACCCTCACCTTTGTAAACAGCCTGCTTTCTGATATGCCCTTAAATTACAGTTACATTTATATTCCTAAAAGCAAATCACTGAGGGTGAGTCGGAGAGAGGGAACGATAATTACCTGGTTGATAGTGCACACAGTGAGCCCACTGCCACCACATATTTAGCAGGTCCCCAGCCAACATATTCAAAGGCCACAGGTAGTGGGCTCTTCTCATCCAGAAGATAGTAAGGCATCATGAGGGTGAGGGCAGCAGACACACCAAAGTAAGCCAAGAAGCAAATCAGCAGGGAGGAAACTATACCAATGGGAATTGCCCTCTGAGGATTCTTCACCTCCTCACCTGATCAAGAGAACACAGGAAATACTATGTTGCTACGTTCCATCATTAAAATGAAAGATTCATACACTACATACATACTAATTAACAATTAGTGACTTTAACTAAAACCAGGACAATCTCTTTTATTATGTCTAGGTATTATTATGTTTATACCTGTGGTTGCAATGCAGTCAAATCCTACAAAGGCGTAGAAGCATGTGGCTGCACCAGCTAGTGTTCCTCCAAAGCCATAAGGCAAAAATCCTCCGGCTCCATAATCACTAGTGACATTTCCAGTGTAGGACAAATTCCTGTAATGATTTGCAGATGTATGAGTAGAATGTAATTTCTTCACATGTTGAAACTATTATCTGTATTAGAACTGGGACAAGGTGTTTCTCACCTTGTCACAATAGTGACATTTATGAGGGATTCTTCAGATATGTTCCAGTTGAGAGAATCTCCTTTGACGAACCCAGATATAATGACAAACATAAGCACGAGCACATTTACAGCTGTGAAAACTTTGTTGACCCACGCTGACTCTTTAACGCCGAAGGAAAGAAGACCTAAGAAAAAAACAAAGAAATAAGAGAGCAGTCAACATAACTGCATGGTGTTCCACAAGGCTCCATTCTAGGTCCCCTTTTCTTTTTTTCGTTTGGGAGTAATGAGATAGCCTAGACAAGAGGAACCAGAGGGCTGCGTGCTCTAACCTTTACAAAGTGTAAACCTCAGCTTCTCACATCCAACATGGCTTTGCTGTTTCATATAGCATGGCGGCCATGAAAAAAAACTCGCTTAGTGGCCTTACTACGATTAAATAAAAAGAGAAATGCTCTGTTTACATAGTGTCCAGAGTGTCCTCTTGCAACACCGTGCTTAGTCCAGTAAGTCAAATGTCAGTCTTTCGGGAATAGTAGATTGGGACAGATGCCAACTGACTTTGGATCTTAACACAAAGCCAGATGCTCCGTGCTACAAAATCCCCTGACATGTTCTATTCATTGTGTGAATGCGGCTCCTTCTTAGCCACTATTAGATATTGCTCTACCTTTGCTTACTGGATTTGAGAAAACATTCGCCCACATCAGGGACATGCCCAAACGTATCTACTAGACAAAAAATTGTTGATATGAGAAACAATTAACTGTCACAGCATTGACATGTGGTCAACAGACATTTGAATAAAAGAAAATACCTGAAAGCAGTAAGATAAGGCAAACTGCAAAGAAGTCTGGGTATTCTGCTAGACCAGGCAAGTTCATTCTGAAGTATGTTATGCAGAATTTCTCTATATGGCCCCCAATTAGTTCATCAAAGGTTCCACTCCAAGCTCTGGCAACACTTGAGGTTCCTGCATCAAAACAATCAGATTGTGTGTTTACAATGAAAAAAATGAATGCAATATTGTGCTTGAAAATCCAAGATCAAAAAGCAATACTTTCAAATAGTAATTTGAAAATTAAGAGACAATGCAATGAATTTTAACCCCTTGAACCCTAGGTTTATTCTTCAGCTATCAATCTTAAGCTATACCAACCCCTAGGGTTTCAGGGGTTAAAAAACATTAAAATGACACCCAAATGGTCCCACAACTTATTATATTCACCTATAACATAGGAGAGAATGAGGTTCCATCCTGTGATGAAGGCCAAGAGTTCTCCTACAGTCACATAGCTGTACAGGTAAGCTGAGCCTGTCTTGGGCACCCGAGCACCGAACTCAGCATAGCACAGGCCTGCCATTACGGAGGCCAGGGCAGCAATGAGGAAAGACACCACAATGCTGGGGCCTGAGTTGCCCTTAGCAACCTCTCCAGCGAGTACGTAGACTCCAGCCCCCAGCGTACTGCCCACTCCTAGGGCGATAAGGTCCACCGTAGAGAGGCAGCGGCACAGCTTGGAGTCCTCCAGACAGTCCACATTCTTCCTACGCACCAGAGAGCGGCCGAACGACAGCAAGTGGGCCAGCATTCTTTTGCTTAACACTAGAAACTGTAGAAATGTAAATAATAATATAAATAATAATAAAGTAAATAATAATAATTTAAACCGTTAGTGTCCATATCTGAATTAGTCCATATGTTCTCTGAACTTGCATGAGCACAAATATGAACAGCTAAACAGTGAGTTTAATATATCATAATATTAAACATAGACATTTTCAATAAAACAGCAGAAAATCCAATTTTAATTATGAATAGAAGTATGAAAATTCCAAGTATTCAAAATAAGTCTAACATTACTGTTAGATGTTCATGCAAGGTGTTACTGCTCTAGACGAATCTGAATCATAAAAACTTCAGTGGCAATTTTCCCTAATCATACTTTATTTAGTTGTTGGACATAAGGGGGTTAATTGTATTTGAGTATTCAAATGTGTGGGTAACATCTAATTGTGTATTGTCATCAATACTTCATCAATACTTCTGGAAAACTGCATGTGTAATATAAAAGACTGTAAGACCCTGTAAACAGCAACCACCAGTGAATAGTAACTTCACAAGCTGCATTGTTTCAAATAGCTAACTGGGCATCAGCCCATAATGCCATCATTTTATTCACCTTGACCAATTGTTTATTTTTTTCTTCTCTCTCTTTTTGAATAGTTTATTTTGTGAAATGCAAAAATCTTGTAGACTACTCATCATTTTTCATAGCCCTTTCCTAAATGTGGCACTGCAGTTTTTCTGGTACATTTTGTCCGTTTCTACTTGTTCACAAATGTACATGTATGTTTGCCACATTGCACAACTTAACTCTAATGATGAAAAAATAAATCGCTAAAAGTCCAAAAAACTCCTTTTTAAAGCTCATAAAGGCTGCACTCAGCCAGTGCATGAACTTAACTCTCGAAGGACTAACAGAGTAACTCCTCTGCACCATATTCAGACATTGACATGACATTGGTTTAACCCACCCAGCATTCTTGAGTCAGTTTGCATTGTACAGTATGCAGGAGAACAGTGAAACACAATCACTTCAAGCATTGCTTTAACACATATCTGCACTCGGGGTAGGGCCTTCATACTATGCCTCAACAAAAAAAGAAGCAAAGGCTTGAGCAAGTATTACATAATGTGATGTGTAAAAAAAATCATTTTGACAGCTGTAGGCTGATAAAGTTAGAGTATCGGTTAACTCGCTGGGTGTTTGCCAAGGAAGCGTCCCACTTGTGGCTCAGAGGTCACTACAGAATCATCTCATTACTGACTCATTAATAACTATTTTCAAATCTGTGTTCGTGGTTGTGTCCATTTTGTGTGGCATAAAATGTGTTTTATACCCAGTTTGGGACAATGCATGTACATACAGGAATCTCAGTGTTGAGGGCTGATCAGTTTCCATAAGTCATTGCCACATTAATCATTCCACTGTTCCGCACCAGAATGTCAAGAAAGCGAGCTTTTCTCAACTTGTATAAATGGCAAACGGCCAAATACATGTTCTTTCACAGATCCAGGTTGCAGATCCAGTCTTTGGGATTGCATCATACCAAGCCCACATGAAACACCTCAACTGAGTTCCATTAAATAAGTGCTGCTACACAAAATATGCTCTTTGTCAAAGGCTTAGGAATTCCCTGGTGCATTTGAAAAGAACATTAGCATAATAATGTAAGCTTGTGTAAAGCCTGTGAAAGGGACAGTTGTGAACAGTTTCTTGCTCTGTAACTCAGGAAGACTTCCAGGAACCTGCCCTGGGGGCACATCAGTCTACACTGTGTGCTACCTGAATCACCACTCTCCAGTCCTACGTAACAGAAAAGTCTAGCTCTTGCAGATTAGTTGAGTTAGTGGAAGCATTAAGTTCCTAGAAATTCATACGGCACTCTCACTATAAACAGAGTTACAGTAGCATAAATACTGGGAACAGGAAATTGTTACAGTACTATTAAATCACAGTCTAATATGTTTTAATATAATAGCCATTAAAGAGGAGTTAGTAGGCATAACTTCTTTGCTGAAATTCAAACTATGCTAATTTCACCATTAATACAGTTACTGCTGCATAAATACTAAGTTGACAGACTATTAAAGTTGCACAGACGCTAACTTCATACATAAAAAAGAAACTTCATAGGCCATGAGAAATTGTCACAGTACTTACCTGTTAGAGGTGTGAATCAAACAGGTAGCTGCAAGTCTAATATTGTAGGCAGTGTTGGCTCTGAAGGAATTCTTACAGCACCCCAACACAGCTCTTAGGGAATCCTGTCACTGACTGCTTTAAAGGCGGGAGAGTTGTGGGTCTATCTATAAAGTCCTGTCTCAAGTTTAACCCTTACTTCCTTCAGGCTCAAGCCCTAACTACTGACATGTGAACCCCCAACTCTTCTATTTTTACCTCTCCTTTCATTCTATCCTGGCTGAGTCTTAACTTGCTCTGCCCTGGTGCCTGGACTCCAGAGGACTGGTCTGAGAGCTGTACCGCCCCAAAAGGAGGAGGCAACAAGAAGAATGGGGGTGGATTTACTCTGGTAGCATGGACTGAGAGGCAATGTTGGTCTTTAAAGCATGAAACACTGGGTCACCCAGGGTCCAGAGGAGGCAAAGCACTGTGGACTGTGTGTGTGTGTGTGTGTGTGTGTGTGTGTACACATCTGTGTGAGTATATGTGTGTATGTGCATGCAAGCATGTGTATGTGTAGAAGGAGGCAGAAATAACCGTTTGTGTGCCTTCTTTGAAAAAAATGCTTTTTCCAATGCACACATGTCCAGCTGCCAGAGCACTTACTGACCACTGAAAAATGGTTAAGCAACTGACATTGACAAACATTGAAACAGACACATCTGTTTGCCCAACGCAGTGTGAACAAGTGGCTAAAAGCATGGCTGCTGATTGGACAAGCGAATGCGGAGGAGTGATCGCAGGTAAAAGGCCTTTATGGGAGACTGTTTCTCTAGGTCACTGAGCACAGATAGTCCAATGAATCAAAGTTAAGGTCATTTGGAATACGTTATACTACAAATCATGAGTTTAAATTCCAGGGGAAAGAAAAGCTACAAATTAGCATAAATGCTTGATCAGATTTACAGTCATATGCAAAAGCTTATACATCCCTGGGCTGATGACATGTTTTGTTGATATTCTAAGTGAAAATAAGTTAACACATCTTCTGCAGGGAATGAACTTAAATATGACATGTTGCTCAATTTATTTTGCTATGTTTAACAGACTGGAAAAAATCAACATAAAATATAAAATGTACCAAAATTTTTGCACAGGCCACAATTTATTTATTTTGTCCCTCAATATGTTAAATTCAGCAAAAAAAGTGTAATTGTATATTAAATTGGGCAGATGTGTTATTTTCCCTTAAACTGTAATTTGACCAGCAGTGCCCAAACTTTTGCAGGACTTTAGGGCTGTAAAACTAGCTCAAATAGTTCTACTGAAGATTGCAGTCATTCTTAAAAATATAATATGATATACGGTGTATCAGCAGTGGTGTATTGGTCTCTGTGACAAATCTGGCCTGAAATATCACAGAACAACTTTAAAGGTAAAGCAAAGTATGTCATGTGATAACAATAGTAGCCACATGTAGCCTAATGTTAGCAAGCTGCTAGCATAATACTAGAACTCCAATTCCTCTCTTGTAAATAGTTTAATTTTACACACATTTGCACATGTATTTTTTTTCCTGAAAGGGAAAAAGTCCCAGGCTTATTACATACTAAGACTTATTTTGCAGTAACTACAGGGACTCCAGAGCAAATTGGTTGAGCTATTCTTAGGTTATAGAAGTAGGTCATAAAATTTTGGGCCCGCCGGCCTTTTAAGGGGTTAAACGCATTAAAAGAACTGTCATAAATTCATATGTAAGAGTTTGGGTGCCCCTGGCCAAATTACATTTTTTGTTGATTTTTCCAAGTGAAAATAAGTTAAAACATCCTCTACAGAGAACCTTTAATGCAAAATTACTGTTTATTTGCTGATATGTTGACGGCTGTGTATTCTTCCATTTTAGTGGGTCATATTAAGTGAAGTGCTTAAATTAAATGTAGTCCATTTTAATGCTTATTAGCTTTTAAAGAAAATAAACTGTGCTCTCTGTATTGGTATCAATCTATATGCAAGGTATGAGTAAGAAAAGAAAAAAACGACTTAAGTATCCTGATGCAACAGTCAGGTTGTTAAAGTGCAAACCACTGCATTCAGCTGATTTCTAAAGCAGCCAGTCTGCCTTCAACTGCTGTAGTCTGCTTAATCCATCAGCAGTGTCCGGCATTGAGTTCAGTCCATCACCGCCCAGCTCTGAGCCCATTATGTGTCCTGAATGCCAGGGTGAAAGCAAATGCCACCCCTGATAGATGTGTGAGTTGGAGCCATGACCGCAAACATTCATACGCACACCACCCCGGGAGACACAGAGGCATGATGCAGTTTTAAAACCTCAGTGAATGTTTTTCTTTTAAAAGCTTTTGCCAGAAACTGGTGAATAAATTGACAAAGAAACAAAAGAGTTGCAAAGAGCTGCTCAAAGGACCTTCAAAATGTAAAATTGTGTCAGAAATAATGAAAAAAGACAAAAAGAAAGAGGCTACAGATTGTGAATGTGCACATGGGATATTCTAGTAAAAGTAAAACAACATTAATGCGAAAGGGCACATGCAAATTTAAAAGGAAATCAGTGACCCAAGACAATCAGTGAATGCACTTCAATGACCATTATAAGGTTTTGGAGTAGCACTGACCAAGTCATGAGTCAGCAAGTCCTGACAAAATAGTCTAACTTTTTACATCCTGTGTAGTGTGTAGTCTGTTTAGGCACAAATTAACCCCTCAGAAACATAGACTTATTAATGCCTACTACATGGTGTACAATGGAAAATGAGTTATTTGTAAATGTGCCATAGAATGGAGAACTATAATTACCATTGGCATGAGTGAATAAGGAGAGTTTGGTACATGGAACTGACAATAAAGTAAACCTCAAACACTGTTTTCTCCTCCTTCAAATGCAAATCCTGCATTAGCAAAAGAGAGTAGTAAAATGGGCCAATTCCAAAATCTTAAACTGTTATCTAACAATCTTGATTAATATGTACGCCCTCAAAATTTACATACACCAGCCCATGTTCTAGCCAAGCAGGTATACAGAGCAACAACAATGAAAATGGCACATTATGTGCAGAAATGTACCACTCCAGGCTGTGAAGGGGATGTAGGCACTTTTCATACCCTTTTCAAAGAACTGAACTGTCAACAGGCATGGCTGATGTTCATCTTTAAACAAGGCTGAAGTTGGCTTCCTATTCCTACAGGCGACAGAATGTAAATGCGGCACCATTTAAGGTCGAATGGAAAATTTGCAAAACAAGCTGGGAAATAGGAAGCCAACTTCAGCTGCCACTTCTTTAACAGGATCCTGGACAACTTTAATCCGCTGTATTCAAAGCTGTTAGTTTGCTCTGCACATTTCACTCCAGACAGTTTCTAAAACCTTGGACAATATTGAGCAGCTTCGCTCATCGTTTGACACTGAAGAGGGGCAATTCCAAGTTTTTTAGATCACAAACCCAACAGCAAACTGTAAGCAGCCATGCTGTGTGGTTTTATTCACTTTCTGACAGTTGCAGCAGTTTTGCAGTTCAGTAAAGGGCGCTGGAATAATGCTGCCGCTGTTTTACATATCTAACATCTGACTGAAACATAATAGTTAGGCCGTCACTTCACAGTCAGTAACATATCTAGAACTTCCAGAAGGCCTAAAGAATGACATTTTCTTCTTCCAAAATTAGTCCCACCTACTGGAAATCAAAACACGACTGATTCCTCTGTCAGTTCCTAATTATGCTGGTAGTTAATCTGATGCAATAGGCATTTAATTCAGCTGTATGAAATCAAACCAATGGGAAAGGTTGCTTGGCTGTATCTATTTAGATACCACTGAGAAAAAAAATCCTGACTGGATCGTTTTCTGTTGGGCATTTCAAGAATTTAACCATATTGTTTTTCAATCAAAACTTAACAATTAAATAAGACTTTTACTAAAATACCTGCAGAGTTTAAATGCAAGAAGATAAACTAAAAGACAGTCTTTTTTTTCAGGTAAATCATTTTGCCTTCTCTGAAGGCCTAAAAGGCCCTCAAGGTACCCCACTGTCAGAACCCATATGCTTACATCAAACTTACATCAAATAGAAAGCATCTTAGACCTTTGCTCCTCCCCAGTAATCCACAAAAAATGCCTATTCAATAGTTTAATTTCATTGCTACACGTTTATATGTTTCACCAAACTTGCTAAGAACATGCTATTTCTATTTTTTCATTGCTTAGGCTCAAGTGTTGCCAATGCATTAACCCAACAACCAATGTAATGATCAATCTAGGCCATCAAGTACATTGGTCCTTTGACAACAAATTGACCTCGCTACGCTAACACTGTTTGCATAGGGGACACCTTGCACCACTTAGCCGTGCCGTCACCAGGAAATGTCCTGGTCAATTATTAGTGACCAGACTAAAAACAGATGTTCACCAAAAAGCTGACCTACAATATGAGCTATAATAGCTGCTGCAGAGAAGACATATGTGTAAGATCCTCAACACCTATAAGCAGTCAATTGTATCTTATACCTACGATGTCAATATTCTAACTTGAATGTCACTAGCATGATGATGTATGCTCACCATCTGCATGTGAACTAACCGCTATCTATATTTAAACAAACAGCTTCCCCTTCAGTGGACGTCATCATGTGCATGTCTGGATTTCATGTTGTAACTACTATTGATAGGTGGTTAAAGTTCATCTACCCTCTGTCAATTTCTTTAGGCAAGCAGCAATAATGTTGTCAAAATGCTATCTAAAATTGATCAAATTGACTAATAGATTGCAGGTCTAACAGCACTTACAAGGAAACTATCCTTTTGCCCCTAGCAGATTAAATGAATTTTCCTATAAAGGGGAATTGCGGTTTAAAATTAAACACGTTATTTGTGATGTTATACAGTATTATGTAGCACAGCATTATATCCTTCAGCCTCAGAATTCACAATTGTATATTGATGTCATGCTTCTGTTCATTAGTGTTCTCTCCCTATAATACTCAGCGTGTAGTAAGCATTGGGAACCCCTGCGGTGTCAACCAATCGTGACTGCTAGTCTAGCCATTGAGCTAAAGACACATAAATACAACAAAGATAGCATTAGTCTAACTCTTCTCTACCAAAATGATAAAAACTGTGATTCTTTATTCCACACAAAACTGATACCAAAGTCAATTTTTTCCCCTTTCACCACCAAACTGAAGGTATCTAGACAGTGAGGTAGCTACCTTACCAATCTTAGCTTTTAACTTGTTGTCAGCCTCATCTGACAAGTCATTTCTCTTGTTCAGGTAATCCGTTCTCTCCATTGTAATTAAGCCCCATTGTAATTAAAATCCCATGATTATTACATACTAAAGCTTATTATTCGGTAACAACAGGGACTTCAATGCAAACTAGTTGAGCTATTTTTAGGCTATGGAAGTACGCAGTAAAACTTTGGGCCTGCCAGTAGGCCCTGACCATCTAAGGGGTTAAGTAAGACACTCAACTTCCTTTGGTTATCAGCTTTCCTTGTATATTTACCAGTTAATGAAAAAATACATTAAAAATACCCCTAAAAACCACCCTAAAGTTTTTTCTAATTTTCCTTCCACCTTCAAGATACATCATCTGAAGAGAGTCTTTCTGCTTTTTAAATCAGAAAAGCTTACTCTGGAGACTGCTGCAGCACCGCTGTAGGATGCGATTACTTTTACAACAGATGTGGCGATAGATACATTTTTCATTTTGTTCGGAGTGCCCCTTTAAAATAAAGAAATTAAAGGACTAGAGCACTTAATCATTTGTAATAGAAGCCAATGGAAAGATCTTTCACCACCTACCCATTCATTATCTTTAAAAATGTGTTTATTTATTATAAATGCAAATGTATAAGTGTAATATTCAAACATATCTAAATTGTTGTTTGAGGAAATAAAGCATATGCTATAGGTTCATCAGATCGAGACCAGGTTGAAAAATGCTGGAGTTCTCCTTTAAAGGTCTGGACTTTGAGTGTTCTCTTGCTCTTTCTACAGAAGTGGAACATGCAGAGAGATTAGTTCCAAGAAATTAAGCAACTGCACCTGTGGATAAAACATATATCAGAGCACAACCTTCCAAATCCAAAGCAGCGACTGCAGCTGTCCAACACGTAAAAACATATTTAAAGAAAATGGAGGGAAAACAAAGAGCATGAACGAATGATGTGCAGAAATGGGGAACAATGCATCACTTTGCAAATTGTAGACGGTAGCGCACTTACCCTGGGTCCACCTCAATGCACCGAAATGACTTGGTAAGAGAAATGTATTTCCTATTGTATTCTAATACCAGTCTGGAGCCTGCGGTGATCACCTGTGTGTGTTTAAGATCAGCTTAATGCGCTCTTTATTACACAGGACTGTACACTGCTGTGGTGGGCAGCATATTTGATGAGAGTCTAACCCGTGGGTGCTTAAAACAGCTTTCCATTGTTAACAGCACTGTGAGACATTGTTAGATTACAAATTCTTAGGTGGGATTTTTTCTCAGATGTTTTCTAGGTTACGTTCAAGTCTGCACTGTGATCTTTAATTTAAAAACTTGTATTAATGTTGTAATAAAGTTAAAAACTTTTTTTTACATTTTACATTATTACCGACTGTCAGAAGCTGCAGAAGTCTGTATTATAAGAATAGCAGAACTAAAAGAACTAAAAGAGAGTAAAATATCATAAAACAAGGGAATACAGAGAAATCTAGTGACTGTCAGAATATTCCTACAATAATATATAAAGATACATAACAATTTCAGATGTAAATGAAAAACTCCAAACAGTATGTAAATGTAAAATATAAAGCACTTTAACAGTACAAACTCTGCAAGCATAAGCAAACACACTCCAGAGAAGAGCTGTGCTACTTATCAAAGGGAAAAAAGGCTCAACTGGCAAGCTGCAGTCCTTGACAGTGTTTTCTTTCCCAACGCTGATCTAGTATGTACTTAACAGCATGTACCAATGGTCAACTGCTTCAACAAGCTGACTGAAAAACTGAAAAATCTACATGCAGCACTGTATGTCAATATGCATTTATTTAATTATAGTTAGAGACTTGAGCTGTGTCTCTAAAATGAAGCACCATATAGAACTGTGAAAAAGCCAGAGATCACCTTTCATTTCACTCCCAGTCAAAACAGCCATCAAGTATAAGTTATTAATTTTTCAGCATCAGGAAATAAAGCAGAAACATATATTTAACAGAAAATTACACATAGCCTCAAAAACTCAATATAATATCGCATTTTCAGCAATAAGTGTGTCCACGCTTTGCCTTTATTGCAGCTTTTGTTCTTTTCAGGAGGCTTGCTTTCAGATTTTTAAAGACATCTCCAAAATTCAGTCTTAGAAGTTGGTTGATTTTAAGATTGGATGGATGGAAAAGTTAGCAGTGGGATGAACAAATTAAATATTGATTAATTTGATAATTATACTTATGTTAAAGACATCTGTAATGTTCTGTTACAAGTATATTTCCTGCTGTTTTTTCTGATGTTGGAAAATTAAATAACTTGTACCCAATGGCTGTTTTGTCTGGTGATTAATTTAACAAAACTTATTTAATTACCACACAAAACAGCCACTGTGCAAAAGTCCAAAAGTTACAGTACTGGGCTTTTGCACGGTACTGTAACTAATCAGTCAATTTGGCCACGTCAGGCTTGTGTTATACAATAGTTCTATACAATGAATAAAACACTATGTTATTTGTCATTATAGTTATTTGTGTGGCAATTAATCACCACTTAAAGTTTCATGATCGTGACAGGCCTAATTCTCTAATTGCTCAAATCAGTACATGCAGATGTTATAGCTACACTGTTCTGGTTGCACAATGTACACAGTCATCTGAAACAATTACAATGTCTGTGACTTTACATGCTAATCACGAGAAGAAGAACATAGGTATTTAAGTCTGAGGCTTATAATTTTAACAGAGATTAATAAAAAAAAATGGAAAGACTGATATAAGGCCATTTTTGATACTTTTGCATGTTTGCACGTGTTCCCACTCTCGTTTCGCAGTCGCACAAGACATTCACGTTCAGTCAGGCACAAACGCAAATAAAATCATTCAAAGCAAGGCTTAGGAATGATTAATAAGAATGTGGATCCACTTTGGTTTCTGAATGAATGAACTAAGAGGAGATAAGGAAAAAAGGGGCTGCTAAGTTGAATGACTTCTGCCTAGTTTACCTGAACAGCTTTATTGGTCTGATCATCGTAAAGGCTGATAACCCTGTCATAATGTGTCTAGAATTACTTACGTGTGGAACATACAGATATCTCTGACTACCTCTATTCAGTTATGATTAATCTAGATTTGTTACAAAGGAAAGCTATTTATAGCATATGTTTAAGGGCACTGCCAATTCATTAGGTAGACAAATGTATCAGCATAAGCTGAACGTGTGGTATACGGGGGGAGTATAAATTAAAAGAAATGTATTATATTTGAAAAGGAATGCTGCTCATTTTACTGATAATGATTGACTCACAGAGAAGAACAGAGACTTACAAGACACACAGGCTTTGGTTATTCTATAATCAACAGAAACAAAATATTAATATTAACAAGTTTCTTATAACACATTATGGTCTATATTATTGGATGTTTATAAATGAATCATATTAGTATGATGTAGCAGTGCAACATAATATGTTGTACAAGCATACCAACATGATTCTCCTATAAAAAGGTATTTAAGGAAATTAATATCCAGCACAACATTTAGTAAACCCAAAAACTACACTGACATTTTGAACATTTAACCACTGGTAAACATTGACCTCTTAATATCCTATTACATAATAAGGCTTATTATTCAGTAACTACATGGAATACAATGCAAACCAGCTGAGCTATTCTTATAGAAGTGTGCAGTAAAACTTTGGACCAGTCGGTAGGTCCTGGCCATTTAAGAGGTTAATGAAGTTCTTTAGGAAACTCCATACAAACGTTTAACAAAATGATATTTATTTTAGAGAAAAGACTTTTAGTGCAACATGACAGTAGACCCTTTATGTGGTAAAAGCCTGGAGAAGAACTCCAACCAGACTGCACAAGGAGTTACAGAGGTGGAAATGTCAAAGTCTAGCTGCTTTTCTTACAGTGGTGTCACTGAGCTTGTGTTCACTAATCAGATCATGGACTGGACTGGAAACGCACCAGTCGCCTTTTTAAATAATTAGTCTTCACACTGTCTGTTTACAATTAATGCCATTTGGTTTGACATTTAGATTTCTAACACAGTGAATTTCATACAATTTTGTGTATTGGGCAAATGTCCAAATACTATTTGGGGCCACTGTATTGTTCAAAATGTTAAGCTGTAAAAATAAACAAATAAAATAAAGTAAAAATAAATAATTAGTCAGTCAGTGACAAAACCACCCTCCTAAAGACCTCACTGACTATGCCTGTTTCCTTATAAGAACGCCTTCAGCACTGTCTGTACTCTGCACTTCTCAAGAAATAGCCCAGTTCTTAAGAAACCTCATCACAGCCCTTATAAACAGCATTCCAACACGGACTAAAGCTACCCTAAAGAATTAAAACAGCTCAGCTCCATGTTGGCACGTAGTTTTTCGGTGGTCTAACGTGAAAAACGACATTTATGTGTAATGCTAGGCCTAAAACACAGCTATGTCTCATAAACTAAAAACGTTTTGCTTTAGTTGTCGTTATGAGGGAAGGCAGCTGTAACAGTAGGCTAACCTACGGGCCTAGCTAAGCTAAATCTCTTATGGCCACAGAAGCTTTCTAATTGACATTAACTCTGAAATCCGGCTCAAATGTATGATAAGACAACTACACAGCAACTTTATTTGTTTCCCTCCTTCTGTTTTAGTCGAGCTGCCTAAACCGGTGGGCTTTAGGACCCTGCTCGGCGCGTGAGAGCGACTGGTGATTCACCACTGATGACAGAGGGAACCATGTCCCAATCAGCTAGCATTCATAGCACTTCAACGATTTCTCCTTTATATATTCCGTTTATTTAGTCCCAAATGTTATGAGAGAGTATAACAGCGAAAAATGCCCTTTTAGCAGGTAACAGCACTGGCAGCTTCTTCTGAAAGCTTGAGATAAATTTTATCTGCATAGGGATTTGAGAGTGAATGATGGAGCACATCAGATTGCCAAAGGTAAAAACAATACCAGAAAATTGCTGTTATTTGCCAGGAACATGATTTAAAGTTCACATTGGTCTGTTTCTACTCAGCGTTTTTAAAGAGTGCCGTTAGCTTTCAAATGACGTGATGCATCTGTGTCACTGTGTTTGTCAAATTTTGAAGCCTGGTACTGATAGTTTTATAGTGTGAATGATGTAAGGATGTGCTATGTAGCATGAGAACACAGTATATTTTGCTCCTGTTCACCACGAACCACCTCTTAAAAGCCTTAAAATTATCTTCATGGAGAGAATATCACAAGCTACTGCTCAAGATAAACGGTCAGTTTTCTGAAATGCCTTTTTATAAATTATCTTTTAATACCACAGAGGTGAAAAGGTGCATTTACTCATGAAATTAGCCAAGTTACACACTTGCTGTATACAAGATGGTTCTTCAAGGGTTCTTTAATAAAGGCAGTGGTTCTATTTGGAACCATGAGTTCTATCTAGAACCATTTCATGCTTAAATGGTTCTTTGCATGGTGAAATGGTTCTCTAGAGAGCAATGCCAAGCTTGTAGCAACAGAAGAACCCTTTTTTGGTGGTATATAGAACCAATTTTACAAGAAGGTTCTAAATAGAACCATATACAAAACTTTCTCCATCAATCTGAAGAGCAATTTCACCTTGCAGAGAACCGTTTAAGCATAAAATGATTCTATATAGATCTAAATAGAACCACTGCCTTTAAATAGAACCATTGCCTTTACTAAAGAACCCTTGAAGAACCATCTTTTTATGTGTGTACTTTAGTCCTTTGAAGTCATATAAGCTTCAAAAACGTGCATGTTTTGCACATGCCCATATGTGTTGCAGCCCTTTGGCAGTGTTTAATTTCATTCTCATCCAACTCATCCAGTGTTGTGTGTGTCATGTTGCAGGTTGAAAAAGTCCAGTTAGTGGACAGGGGCTCTTCTCGACGGGCACAAGTGGGCACATTGTACTTGACAGCCTCTCATACTATCTTTGTGGATAACGAGACTGAGGTTCGCAATGAAATATGGGTAAGTTGATTTGTTATTCATACCAGGCTTTATTGGCATTGTTTAGTTGATAAAGTAGTTTTTTAAAATACAACCCCATTTCCAAAAAAGTTGGGATGCAGTGAAAAATGTAAATAAAAATATAATGCAATGATGTGCAAATCATTTAAACCCTATATGTAATTGAAAATAGTACAAAGACAACAGATTAAACGTTGAAACTGAGAAACTTCACTGTTTTTTTTAAAATATATGCCCATTTTGAATTTGATGCCAACAACACATTCCAGAAAAGTTGGGACTGGGCCAACAAAAGGCTGGTAAAATTGTGTAATGCTAAAAAACACCTGGTGGTTAATTGGCAACAGGTCAGTAACGTGATTGGGTATAAAAAGAGCATCACAGAGAGGCTGAGTCTTTTAGAAGTAAAGATGAGGAGGGGTTTGCCACTCTGCACGGGCAAATAGTCCAACAATTCAAGAATAACGTTTCTCAACATAAAATAGCAAAGAACTTTTGCTTTTCATCATCTACGGTACAAAACATCATTAAAAGATTCAGAGAATCTGGAGAAATCTCTCTATGCAAGGGACAAGGCCAAAACCCAGTGTTTGCTGGCCATGATCTTTGGGCCCTCAGGCGGCACTTTGCATAAAAAACAGACATGATTCTGTAGAAGAAGTGCTCAGAAACACTTCTGAAACCACTGCCTGTGAAAACAGTTTGTTGCTGCGTCCACAAATGCAAGTTAAAACTCTAAAACGCAAAGAAGAAACCACATATGAACAGGATCCAGGAATGCTGCCACCTTCTCTGGGCCTTAGCTCATTTAAAATGGACTGAGGTGAAGTGGAGAAGTGTCTTGTGTTCCGAGTTGCCACTCCAAGCTGAATTAGATTATTAGGTAAAAATAAAATAATCCTCTTTTGCAGTAAAATAAAGCTCTGCTGGTCGTTCTAACACAGTTTTAACAACAAATGTTAATATAAAGGATAAAGAATCTTAAATGTTGGAGTTAATGTATAATTAATGTATAACTGCTAATTCCCCCTTTAACTCTGAAGACTGGCGTGCAGACTGCTGGTCGACATAGCAATGCAGACAACAATCTTGCCTAGCTAGTAGCTTAGTAGTAAGATGAACATCGATAATTTTGAGATTAATGGACTTAATTGCATTTATAAGCACTCCAGCTGGTTTCCTGATACGTTTAATCTGCAACGAGAAACTGTCAAACACTAAAAAGTTGTGAAGCTGAAGTCAGCTTCGAGGATCTCATTCACCAGCTTCTTGTCTAAATTTTCCTGTTCCACCTTAAATGGTGCAGCAGTTACATTCTGGCACCTCAGGCACCATTTAGGTGGAACGGGAATGTTAGAACAAGAAACTGTGAGAAAATTGGCTATAGCTGAGCCAAAGCCTAAAGCAGAGCAAAGTACGTCTGCATTTTCGTTTATATTTTAGCCTATGCTAGTAGCACATACTGAGACATATTTACAGACAAGATGGTAAAATGGACATAAAATGTTGTGGCTCACAAGGTGGTTTGATTTTTGTTGAATGGACAAAATGGCTCTTAACATTTCGGTTGCTGACCCCTGTACTAGGCCTTGTACTTGAGTATGTCGCACTGTGACAAAAGAAAATTACAGATGGTTTCATTTTTCATCACAGGTGCTGCATAGTTTAGTGTGTAATGTTGAGAAGCAAAGCGTTACTGCCTTGGGCTATCCACTTCTCATTCAGTGCAAGAATTTCCAGGTCATTCAACTCATCATCCCACAAGAGAATGACTGCAACGATGTTCTTATGTCACTCTTACGTCTCTCCAGGGCAAGTAAGTATGATATTTAACAAATTTCAAGTGTTCAAGTGTTACTTGCACTCACTAATCTGATCATTATCAGATTTGAGCAGTTATCTGATTATTCAAAGGTCATGTAAACAGCATACTCAGATTTCTTAGACCGAATTAAGGCCTACAAATTTGATCGAGTAATCCCATAAAGAGAGCTGGACTTTTAGCTCAGTAATCAGGTTTTTCGGTGCATATCTACCCTTGCTCTGATTTCTTTCATTTTTCTCAATGTGCACATGTGCAAAAACAGAGGCCTTTCGGGGATTAGCAGGCAGCGTTTAACACAGCACCTGCAAGATGGCAACAAAATACTTTTGAATCGATGCTGAAACCAACTTCATGCTTGACGAAGTGAAAATTTTGAATATACTTTTTCTAGTTGATGTATATATATATTTTCCGCTGAAGTGATTTTTTTTTAAAGCCATGGCATGACATAAGTGTTTTACTGTACGTTTACATTACATCTGCTTCTGTGAGTTTATTGGTGAGTTGTAAAGCAGAAATCCAATTATTGCATGACTCATGCAGGCCCAGAGTTTTCCCATTATCAAATTTGACACTGTTTACAAGCATAAAGTGGCCAAATTTACTGAATAGCCACTTTACTTGTTAGCTATATTTACTTAGTAGTTACCACTGGTTGCACTATTGAATCAATACTACAGTTATACCGAATTATGAGTAGAGTAGTTCTAAGCAAAAATGGAAAGAGTGGAAAACTAAGCAAAATACTCATACGGTACTAGCTTACATGCTTACACATTTTCATTGTTGAAGCATAACATGACTGTGGAATCTAACAACTGTGGAAAATTATTGCAGTCAGCTTAAGTAATTGCAATCATCTGACATTAGAGGTGGGTGATATGGCAAAATGTAATATTGCCATACTTAAGGAAGTTTTTTTATGATACACAGTGTGTCAATATATTTATTTTTTCTGACATCCAATAAGTGAGAACAGACAAAGTAGTGCCACTTTTAAAAAAAAACTATAAAAAACTATTAATCTGATACTTGTATTCAACATTTCACACACTGTGCTGCTCTAAAACTAATTAAACAGGACTAATGATGCTTTGTGTTTAGTCAAACATGCAGTTGGAAAATTATTTTTAAGTACTGACGATATCGACAAAATGCTCAGAAAAGCATATTGTGACATATTGTGATGAAATTTCTCATGACACTGAGATATACTGTCATATCACCAAGCTCTATATCAAATAATTGTGATCATTTCAAATAATTGTTAGTAGGCAATTATGTAGTAACTGTGACAGCCCTAACCACAAGTAATAGAAGAATATGCCTTGTGTGCTTACTGATTATAGTGGTACTGAGACAAGGTAACAGCAACGCAGTTCTACTGTAGAGTCTGGAAATAGCTCCAGCAATAGCACCAACCAATTAGCCACTTTATTAAATCACACCTCTGCTCTAGCACTTTTCTATCACTTGTTTTTTCTTGCTTCTGTAGTTATGCGATTCTTCCGATGAGTATATGGCATCTTTTCTGTACACTGGATCATTAACACACTACCGGTGCTGAATCCGTGCACAACAATCTCAGAAAGACAAGCTCTGATGACATTGTTTTATCAGTAACAGCAAAAGTATCGCCAGAGAAACTCAGGGTCATTCCACCTCCACTGTTATTTGTTTATGACCTTTACTGTTACAATTGTGTCATGTTTTCTGTTTTTCTGTTTTTCAGAACGATATGAGGAACTGTATTGTTTTTCTTTCAAGCCTAACATTGACAAGGCTGAGCGAGACCAGGCTTGGGACTTTGTAGACCTGAGGGCTGAATACAGTCGAATGGGAGTACCAAATAAGCTCTGGCATGTCACCCCCATCAACCGAGAATACAGGGTCAGTCAATAACCTAAATACTTTTGCTCATGCACAAATGTATCTCAGCTGTTACATACAGATGTTTGTCTTCATTTCAGAATTTGACAATATGTCAGACTGTAGTACTGTGAAAGTTCACAATTTTGCTTATGTTCATATGATATGTATGTATACACACTGAAAATAGTGAAGCATTGAATTTACTTGATTCAAATGTCTATATTCTCTATAAATTTTCCACATTTATAAAATGTATTATTATCATTACTATTATGTATTAGACGAATGAGTGCACCATTGAATTAACAGAAAATTGCACAGAAGCCTCAATAATTAAATTTAATAACTTTTTTCAGTATTAGCTTAGTCCACCTTTACCTTTCCTACATTTTATGCTTTTCACAATACAGGTAATATCAAACACTTTCAGTCAAATTTAGGTTAGCCCTGTGGAGTTGTCAGTCCATTGTTCTGAGAACACCAGAAGCTTCTTCATGTGATTTGCAAATATTCTTCTTCTTTGTCTTTTTCCTTTCCCAGTAATGGCTTTTTGCACACCTTTGACTCATAGTGTTGAGTTGTTTTCTCACAGTGGACAGATAGACAGAAACAGCTGCAGATTTTTTCAGATCTGATGCAAGAGTGAAGCTTAATTTTCTTGTCTCTCTGAAAGAGGAAAGATTAAGGACGTTTATCTGATGGGGACAGTTTTGGTGGTCTGGCAGGTCTTGCACTGTTGTTAGGTGTCCCATTTTCTCTGTATTGCCTTTTGGAATCTCTTTTTCTTTTGGCTTTCCCTTTTTTATGCAAGCTGATTTTCTTATATTTTATCTCCTCTGAAATATTTTGTACTTAATATTCCCTTTTCACTGGAAATGAAAGAAATGAAGGATTGCCTCTGACTTTTGCACAGTACTTTGTTACTCACTGTTCTGATGTGTAATGGTAATAATGAGACTAATAGAACATTCAGAATCTTACAGCTATTCCTGAGTATTGAAAAAAAGAAAAAAAATGAATGTTCTAAACAATGTAGTGAAATTTTAGTTGGCAACCAAGGGTATCTCATTATCTGTGTTTTAAGGAAACCACTGACAATGATCTCAGTTACACTGCTTTTTAAGATCAAAATTTAACCTACTTTGCAAACAATCTGTGTTATTTATAGATTAAAGACATTTTTAACACATTAAAAAATTAAACATTGAACCAAATCTTGACCACAGAATAGAAAATCATGTCAAAGATGTATGTTCCTGAGTTTTGATTCTGTGTTTTATTCATGTGGAAATTTGAATTAAGTGATTTTAGTGTATTGCTTTTTTCAGTGTAAGGCAGAAAATGTAACGCAATCACTAATCTGTTTTTGTTTCCATGTGTAACTTCTCCTGCTTTGAGATAGGTGTGTGATACATATCCCGCAAACCTGTTTGTGCCTAAATCAGCCACCCTCCCTGTCATTGTCGGGAGCTCCAAGTTTCGCAGCAGAGGCCGATTTCCCACGCTGTCATACTACTGCAAAGAAACCCAAGTGAGTGCTACTGAATTTTCAGCGCATTCTTTTTGAGGAACATGAGGTTCTGTGGGTCCGTTTAATGAGGCTTCTGAGATTCGGCCCTGTTCTTCAGTGTCTTTTGGGCTGCATGTATTTGGTCTTCTGTCATCAGATAATATAATGACGTATGGTACATTTGTTATGTAACATCCAACAGTCTTTGACACTAATATGACACCATTCTTTTCTTCCTTGTGGTTTCCTCTCCAATACTCCACTGGGTATTAAATGTGTCCTGCCACTACTGCACTTACGGAAACTGTGTTCAGAGTTAGGCTGTGCTATATCTTCTTTGCCAGAAGCCTCCATAATATATTGCACAGCATAAGCTTCCAGTATTATAACCGTGATAAGTGGATTGCTTAAAAGATTGGTCAGGTTCCTGCTCTGTGTGGGTTGGCCTCTTCAGAACAGGCCATTCCTTTTATCGAGGTCAAATATTCCCCATAGACTCCTCATGTTTGTGTTGGTTCCAAGAGCGTAAAGCAAAAAATGTGACCTCTACATACAAACCAGGGTGGTGTGACCCAGATGGCTTGGTCATATCATAGCCTCTACACTTATCTATGTTCAGTTAATCCCATATGTGATTGAAACGAGTGTCTAAAAAAAAATGTATCGCCAGCACAACCAAGGTCAAATTCTCATGAAATGGAGCCCAGTTTGTAAATAGGACAGTATGCTCTCAGTTTGATTTATCATCTGTGAGTGGAAGAACATAAATTACAGAAAGTTTTACGGTGATAGTTTTCATTTCCATCTTTGTAAGACGATAACAAAAAAGAGCTCTAAAACTGAGTATAGAAACAGTTGAAGTGTGCATACATCAGAGAAGTGCAAATGCAGGGACATAAAACTAGAGCTGTCATAACCTATTACTTCACACCACTGTTTGAGTCATTTTCATAACATTTGATTGTGTAGATATGCACAACTGTGCCAAAAGTTGATCTCGTAACAGCAGTGCATGTTTTTTTTTGGATTTTTACCCAATTATCTCCCCAATTTAGTCGTCGCCAATTCCACCCGCTAGTTAGGACTCCCCCAATCTCACGATACTATCAACGCTAGGAGGGCGAAGGCTAACACAGGCTTCCTCCGAGACCTGTGAAGCACCACCGCTTCTTTTCGAACTGCCGTTCACGCAACGTCATTGGGCAGTTGCACATGCTCGAAGGAGAGTGCCAAGCGCCAGATACGTTACGTCAGCTAACAGACGCCTGCGCTGACTAGTATCGCATTTAGTGATGGGGGAGAAGGAGGGCCATCCTACCCGCCCAGAGAGAGCAAGGCCAATTGTGCTCTCTTGGACTCCCAGCTGTAGCATCACCAGGGTTCTCATAGTCAGTATGCTGGATGCAAGAGACATGGGAAGGCATGAAGACCTGAGTGATTTTGATGTCACAACACACGAGTGTCAGAACTGGACCTTGGAGCAATGGAAGAAGGTTGCCTGGTCTGATGAGTCCCATTTTCTTTTACATCACGTGGAAGGCCGGGTATGCGTGCACAATTTACCCCTTTATGGTAATGGTATCACCATTGGCTTGCCACACTGCACACATTGTTCAGAAATGGTTTGAGGAACATGAAGAAGAGTTTAAGTTTTTACTGGCCTGCAAATTCCCCATCCGTGGGATGTGTTGGAGCAATAAGTCTGATTCGCTGTGGCTAAACCTCGCAACTTACAAGACTTAAAAGATCTGCTGCTAATGTCTTGGTGCCAGATACCACAGGGCACCTTCAGAGGTCTTGTAGAGTCCATGCCTCAGCAGGTCTGAGCTGTTTTGCCAGCATGTAGAGGACCAACAGCATATTAGGCAGGTGGTCATTTTTGTTTTCGCTCATTGGTGTAGAAACAAGCTATAGTGTATTTCACACTGTGGTATAGTCCATCCAGACCTGGTTTTGCCAAATGTTTGTTTCCATGCTAGGCAGCCATATGTCGCAGCAGCCAGCCTCTGTCCGGTTTCAGCGCCCGCTGCTTGGAAGATGAGCAGATGCTAGAGGCCATCATGAAGTCCAACCCTGGCAGCCGGTTCATGTATGTCGTGGACACCAGACCCAAGGTGAGCTGTCTTGCATAAGAAGATATGTTTAACATTCTTATGAATTTACTTGATTTAAATGAACAGCCATTCCGCATGAATAAAATACAGGCAGTTGACAAATTAAAGGAAACTCCTGAATAAATAAGTGTAGAAATGTAACGTGTGTTTTCAGACAGGTGTCCCGCATCCCACCTTTTGGAAGATTGGTGTTTCCTCCAATACTAGACATGTGGAATCTTGTTTTGTGTTTTTATTTTTAACACAATTTTGGCAGTAATTGTGTGGCTATGATATATTTTATTCATGTAGAAATGATGTACACATTCGGAAAAAGGAAATTCAGTGCATCGCTTTTTTCAGTGCCTTCACAAGCTGTCCAAAAATTTCTAAATGTCTGCATGCTTTCAGCTAAATGCAATGGCAAACCGGGCTACAGGAAAGGGTTATGAAAGTGAGGATAACTACACCAACATCAAGTTTCAGTTCATCGGCATTGAAAACATCCATGTGATGAGGAACAGTCAACAGAAGCTGATTGAAGGTATATTGTCACCTGTGTATTCTGCTTTTTTGATGTCAGGTTAACTTGTAACTGTTTGTGGCTGATGCACTTAGAACATATGCTATATGGGTTGTACAATGCCCACAGAGGTACAAAAAAGGATGCTGGATAAAGTGGAGCCAAAGCGAATGACAGCTTCCCATCATTTTCTCTTAGATCCTCCCATAATTCAGCTTGGAGTGAGATCGGATTACCAGGATACTGGACCACCTAGTGTTCTCATTAATAAAGACAGTTGGACCGTAGGAGGGTTTCACAGTAAAGCAGGGGGATGTAGTAAAACATCTTTGAATCCATCTGGCTTTCATTGCCCGGCTATTTTGGTTTTGCTGAGTTGACGATTGGGGACCCTTTTCCCCCTTATGAGGAAAAGAGGGGCGTGAGAATGATTTGATTCAGTGTTGGAAAAATAACGTTAGTACTAGCTGTGATAGCATTTTGACCTAGAAAGCACTAGGGAGTCCACTGGGTGAATACCACTGAGTCGCTGTCCAGCAGAGACTGCATGGCAGTTCTAGCTCTCGTTACAGTAAAGCCAGTTGGAACCTTTTCCAGCTCTAATTCTTTCCAGAATGGCACTTTCCTTCAACACAGGTTTGTATTAGCCCTGAGATCAGAGTTTGACTGAACCTACTCACCTGTTAATCCCAGCTTGATGCACTTTCATCATGAAGGCAACCATAGGGAGCCATTTGCTCACCATAGAATATTTCTGTTTGTTTAGAAAGGAAGTGCAACATAAGAATATCTGTTACAGAGAGGTGCACATGCTAAAGCAGTCAGTGCACAGCAATGAACTTTCAAATGAAAGTGGCACCAAGCTCTTGTTCATGCTCTTAAAGGAGAAATTTATCAGCACTGCATGTTTGTTAGTACTGGGTAGTGATAAAATGTATCCATATGTCCATGTTTTATCAGTATCAGACAACATTTAAGTTTCTGTTAATGGAGTTGATTAATCTGCATTGGCACTGTATGTTAAAAAAATGTTGTACAAACATTTTTGGACTGTTTTGTCATGTTTTCTTCTTGTAAAAATTCACCAAAAGGAACTTACACTAACCAGGCAGAAACCAAACTTCCAGAAAAAAGAATAAAATGCAGATTTTAGCACAGAAGCCCTACATTATTTAAACGTTCTGCTCCTCCAGAGTACAATAAATACATCCATAACATCAATACAACAATATATCAGAGGATTTTAGTATTTTAACCCCTTAAATGGCCAGGACCCAACAGCGGATCAAAAGTTTTACTAGACACTTCTATATAAGAATAATTCAGCCAATATGCATTGTAGTCCATGTAATTACTGAATAATAAGCCTTAGTATGTAATAAGGGGTTTTTAAGGGGTTACAGTAAATATCTTTCAATACTGATATGATTGTTGTCATCATGTATTCCATATACTACTTATTTATTTTTTTAACTGTATTTTGAACTGTTATCATGTGTTTTGCACCTAAAAAATGACATGCATTGTATCTAAAGTTTTTGTTATATATCATTACCGCAAAAACTAAAAACAAATATTGTTTTGTGACACCAGTGTCAGTGTAGATGAGGTATCACCCAGAACTGTTTTAAGTAAACCAAACAAAGGGAGAACAAAAAAGAAAAAAGTTTAGTAGTTATTGTTCACACAAATATGTGATGGGAAAGAGGACAACTTAATGATACTCTGTGCTGATAAATTTGGAGACTTCGCCAATATTTTTCTTCTGGAAATAGAAACAGTTTAACATTTTTCATCAGATTTTTTCAGTGTCTAAAATAACAACTGTCTGATGTAAATTGAGGTAATTTTTCATGCTTTTCAAACTAAATGTTTTAAATATAATCCAGTGATAAGAGCTGGGCAGTTTTCCCAAGGATGTGTTTAACTGTGTGGTGGCTCATTTCACAGTGTCTGATCTTCGGTCTCCTTCCATGGGGGAATTCCTCATGGGACTGGAAAATTCAGACTGGTTGAAACACATCCAAACCATACTGACTGCTGGAAAGTTCATCGCCAAGGTAGGATTGAGCTGATTCAGAACTGTAGTAGTCTATGCATGCTTGACCTTATGAGACTTTTCTGTACTAATTGTTTGAGTGTGCATGCAGGCTGTGGCAGAGGAAGGGGTCAGTGTCTTGGTTCACTGCTCTGATGGTTGGGATCGGACAGCTCAGGTGTGCTCTGTGGCCAGCATACTTCTTGACCCTTACTACAGGACTCTCAAAGGATTTATGGTAAACGCACTGTCATAAATGCACATTTTGCACTTTCCTGTTTCTGAAATAGTGACTTTGTAGAAGAAGGGACAAACATTATACATATCTTTTCAGATCTTTTCTAATAATGTTGAGTTGTCTTCTCGCAGTAGAAGGACGGACACATGAAACATTTGTGGTTTTTTCAGATCTGAAGCAAGAGTGGAGTTTGATTTTCTCCTCTCTCTCAAAGATGCTTTAAGCACTGTTTATCTGATCATGACAGTTTTGGTGGTCCACGAGGTCTTACATGATTCGTAGAAGTCCCATTTTTTATATCTTTTGATAATTTGAACTGTTTTTCTACTTATTTTCCTTTGACTTACCCCTTCCTTATGCAAGTGGATTATCTTAAATCTTATCTTCTCAGAAATATCTCCTTCAGCCATTTCAAATCTGCAGGGCAGCTACGGTATGTTTGGGTAATTGCTTTTGTGAATGTTAGTGTCTCTTTGAAGGGGAACATGATGTCAATGAGTCTTTTGGGAGCAGCTTTTGTTGGGAGGACACAGCTGTAACTGGTTGGTTTTAAGATTTGAAGGTTGGAAGAGTTAGAGTGTCTGTAAAGTGCACCAAAATAAAGAATGGATCAATTAAATACTGACAGATTTGATGTGTTGCACTTAATGGCTGTTTTGACCAAAAATTAAGTAAGCAAAAGTAGGGATGCATCGAAACAGATACTGGTATCGAAGAAACGCAGTAAAGGAGGCTCTGTTCACACCGAGAATTGTTACTGACTCCATGACTATTGGATACAAAGCTACTGGTCACTTTAAACATTCCGCATCGGTATATTCTCACCAGACCTACACTGTGTGATTTTAGCCCATTTATAAACACAACCACTTCCCCAATATGGGTGGAGACATGTAGTCTATTGAAACGAAGATGGAAAAAAGTCAACCTTTCCTACCTTCCTGGTTTAGGTTCAGTGCTCAGTGTTAGCAGTGCTGCTCAGTTTCTCTGCTCAGTACTTTGATCTCAGCGTGTTATTTTGAATAAAACAGCTTTATTTGGAATTGTTCATGGACAAAGCTGCGCTATCTGTAGAGGCTGCGTTTCACATACCATGGATGGAGCATTTTCGTACAGTGTGAGTATATAAAGCATAGGTTTTGTCCATACATGATGGACTATTCAAATGTACAGTGTGAGTCACCAAAGAACAAGATTTCTAAAATCACGTGTATGCCTGGATTTAGAGGATTCAGCTACAGCTCAACCAGCCAATCAAATAACTTCAGACATAACACAAGTGAGCTCCTCAGATTAACCTCAGATGTGTTTCCTGCTGTCACTGTGCTACAGAGACTGTTGTTGAAAGATACAGATTGGGGTTTGAAACTATGAAACGTATTTTACTTACAGCTATGCAGAAGCGCTTTTCTGACGTGGAACAAAACTCTGTCTTCTCCACTGCAGCTCAGTCCACTCATTTACACTAACTACTTAATTCTAAGTAAGGTACTTGGGTAAGGATGATCACTGACTTTTGCACAGTGCTGTACATTCATGTAACTTAATTTTACTCCACAAAATGGGTCCCAGTGTGATAAGCAATTCGTAATGCTTAAGCATGCATTGGTATGTAAATATTGATGGACATGATGACTTGATAGGCCCACTTTACTTACCCTAAGAGTTTTATTTCAAGCATCAAAATGTAAGCAAAGAAGCGAGATGGGCTTGGCAAGGATAACTGCCAAGCTGTGCTCATAGGCCTTGTTCCTTTGATCATAAGGATTTACTCTGTCTGGCTAGGCTCCTGCCAGAGAGAGCTCTACCTCTCCGGGAGATCAGACAGGGAGGAGCAAGGCCCAGTTTTGTAGAATAATATATTGCTTCTGGGAAAAAATGAACCCCATCAGGGTGAACAGGGTAAAGAAGCCTCGCGGCATAGATTAGCTGTGTCTCGGAATCCCATCTCAAAGAAAATTTAATTTCCTGTTGCACAGGGATGGAAAAACTAGGTTGCCAGAATAATGGATTATGTCAAAATAAATACAAGACGGTGGCATCTCTGCATAGCCCAATTGCTTTAAATGATTGAAATCATATTATTATACATAATACGTTTATATTCCACATGCAGGTGCTGATTGAAAAAGACTGGGTTTCGTTTGGACATCGGTTTTCCCACAGGTGAGTATTCATGGCTCATGCATAAACAATACAGTGACACTCCATTACAATTACACAGTCATTTTGAAACATTCATTAAATGTCTTGTTAATGATTAATGTGCATTTAAGGTAACGAGTTAAAATCACACTCAGTAATGCTTCATGTATACTTTAAGATATTATGAATACATGCACATCTGTTCATGGAATAAACAGGCAAATTAGAATGAAGAGTTTCATTCCAAAATCCTATACACAATCATATTAAACACCCCTGGTTAAATTACATGTTCAGTTGATTTTCTAAGTGAAAATAAGTAAATATGGCATTTTTCTGCAAATGCCCTCTACAGAGAATGCACGTTTGCAAATTTTAATGCACAGTTCTATTTATTTGCTGAGTTTAACATATTGGGAAAAAACATATAATATAAAATGTGGAATACGTTTTTTACAGGACACTTTTTTTTTTCAACATGTTAAATTCAGCAAGTAAACAGTAGTTATGCATTAAAATTTGTTTTCTGTAGAGGATGTATTCACTTATTTTAGCTTAGAAAATCAACTAAATCTGAGACTCGTCATGAAATGAAACCCATCGTATATAATTGTTCCTGTTTACTACTGTATAATGCACATCACATATCTAAAATGATCTATGATAAGAATATCTTATGAAACTTATGCACAGATTCATGGAATGTATAAGGATTTGAAATGTCATTCATTTGCACCTTTTTGTATCAGTCATGAAATCTTTTTAAACAGTATAAAGGGAGCAATAAGAACACAATATAGACATCATGAGCTCAGAACTGTATTTTTTCCTTGAAAAGAAGGAACATGTATTTTAATGTATTCACGTTCATATTATGAAGTGTGTAGTAAATATCATTGAGCGTGTTTTCAGTTCATTACATAATATGCTCGTTCAAAATGTGGGCCTTCAAAATGATTATCTAGTTGTCATGGAGTGTTACTGTACTGTTTATGAATATGCAGTGTACATGTAGTTACTGTAAAGTGTAACCCATTAGACATATGATGCCCACCATTGTAAAAATAAATTTAAAAAAAAGTTTCCAGTCTTGATTGTTTATGTTTTTGAGGGAACCTATCTGTGTGATCTTATGGCTTTTCTCTATATTTAGATACAGTCATCTAGATGAAGACCCCAAGGAGGTGTCACCAGTTATAGACCAGTTCCTGGAGTGTGTGTGGCAGCTTATGGAGCAGTTTCCCTGTGCCTTCGAATACAATGAGAGATTCCTTATCAGCATCCACAATCACATTCATTCTTGTCAATATGGCAACTTCATTTGCAACAGTGAAAAAGAAAGGAAAGATCTGGGGTACATATTTTTATTTATTTAATGAAATAAAACAGTCTTGTCTGTGTTGTACAGTACTCACAACTTAATCTGTATTGTACACATGCACTTTAAATTGTGCTCATTGTCACTAATTAAAGGATAACTTACTTTGTTTCTTCTCCAGCATCAGAGAGAGGACTCACTCCTTATGGCCTCACCTATGGAAGAACAAATCAGACTTTGTGAATCCGCTGTTCAGACCAGACCACAGTCAGACTCAGGGAGTTCTACGGCTCCTCACTACCCCCTACTGTTTCAAGTATGTTAAAGCTTGTTAATAAAACGTTAAAGTTTGACTTTTTGAGTAAACAGCTACCAATTCACAATGGGCAGTTTTTATGCTAGTTAACAAAGCATGGAACTCAAATGCCCCTAAAAATGTTTACAGCATTTTGAGAAGACGTTTATGAACCAGGAACTTGGCTGAGAAACCCGGGCAACCCACTGTTCGGTTGCTCTGCGCTCAAGCTGACATAGACTCCATACGTTTGTGCAAAAGTTTCTGATCAAGTCCACCTCAGAGTCATCTGAACATGCTCCTCAATGAAAAAAAATGTCAATATCACACAACAGTTTATAATAAATAGTTTGTTGAGATTTAAACAAAGTCATTCAGTGGTTTCTTTAAAAGGGTGGTGATAGGAACCAGGGTCACAATGTCTGCAACACAAATATAGCCACATTTTATTTACTATCCAAAACGACCAGTAAAACTACTTTCTTTTGAGTTATGAGTATGTATAATGCTGATAATGGCAACACATCTAAAAACATATGAAAAACATACATTTAGACAAAAACCTCAAATGGTCCATATCATTCATTTTCTTGTATTTTATTTTTGTATTTTAAGGTTTGTGTGGCTTAATGTAGCAAGAATGGTCATAATTTACTTTTACATGACCATTCCCTTATAATTAATCAGGCTATTTGCCTTCAAGGCTGATGTATGTAAATGACCTCTGTTCTGATTGGCTGTCATGTATTGTTTCTCAATTAAAAAGCAATCAGAGCTAAGATTCTCCTTAAAATTTCAATATGAATGGACAGGGCTAAGACTGCTGTAGGCTGAATAGTTCTCATATACAGATTGTATGGATTGGGTAGTGAATGGAATGTTATTAAAGTTTAACAGAGTTCACATATTACTTCAAACTCAACTACTTGGGCCTTTTAACTCAATCTATTGTAAATCAATGTTTCAGGCACCAGGCAGGGTATTCATATCCATTCCATTGTACTAACCCTGAGGTGGCTTTTATATGCTTTGGGTGTCTGGTTCCCATCATCACTACTGCTTAAATTATTCCCTAAATCAGGCCAACTGGAGAGTGAGAGAGAAACAGAGAGAAACTATGTGAAAAACCTTGGCTTGTCAATTTCTCTACAATGGAGCATTTTGCATCAAATCATCCTGAATGACTTTGTTTACATCTTATCTGTTTAATCATGCAGACATTTTGAAATATTGGCGAATTTCTCCTTTAAGACCACCCTGGATCATACTGTGAACTGAAGTGTTTAAATCGTGCAGGAAAAATTCCTCGTGGGCCACTGTGCCCTGTCTCTCTGACGACTGATTGACTCAACCGCTGACCTGAGCCGGGTGCAATTGACGCAACTGGGGCACAAGTGCTTGTTTACAAATAAGAAATCGCTCCATATACTTGTACTGAAAGATGCTGCACTCTCTCTCTCTGTTTCTCTCTCACTCTCAGATCGGCCTGATGTAGAGAATAATTTAAGCATTCCAAACACACTGAACCTAAACCACTGCCTGGCAGTTTCTATGGCAATTCTGGAGCATTTGTTAACTGATCTGCACACTGATTTCTCTCTAACTTCTCTGTCTTATTCTCACCTCTTAGTTCTACAAGGCTGTAATATTTTTCATTTTCTGTCGAACATATTACAGTGCAAGTACACTTTTAATGTTGGCACATTCTGTTTTTCTTCTGTGTTGTATTCAGGTTCTGGAGGGGTTTGTATAATCATTTTGACAGAGGGTTGCACCCACGTCAGTCTGTGCTGGACTGCTTGATGGCTGTAAAAGAGGAAACACAGCAGCTAGAAGAACTGCTGGCTGTTTGTGAGCAGGTAGGGAGCAAATGTGATCATGAGTGCTGCAAGGTCTTTAAAGAGAAATACTACTGATTTTTAAATTTTTCTGAATAATAAGATTGTTGAGAAGTAAACAGATTCATCCAGAGTGGTCTGATGTAAAATGATTCATTACGGACAACTTTACCGACTCTGATTTTCTTTACAACAGTGGCGAAAGGAACCAGGGGTCTTGATGTCAACAACAGTGTTTCCCAGCCCTGGTCCTGGAGGCACACTGTCTTGCACATTATAGTGATTTCCCTGCTTCAAAACACTCACTTAAACTCTTTAAGGGCTTGTTAATGAGCTAATTACTTGGATTAGGTGTGCCGGGAAGACATTAAAATGTGCAGAGCAGTGTGCCTCCAGGACCAGAGTTGGGAAAAACTAATCTACAACACAAACATAGCCATTTTATACACTATCCAAAACAACCAGTGAACCTACGTGGCTTCTCTGTTTTTATATGTAATGCTGATAATGGTAAAATAGTGGTAAATCTGAAAAAAAAGGTTTTCTTGGGGTATTATTTTGCCTTCTCCATTATGATTGTGTTTCAGAAAACACATCTTTGGCAAAGAGCTCATTGCAGAACTATTGTAAAGCAATGTTTCTGGCATCAGGCAGTGAATTTGTAACTATTTCACAGAATAACTTTCTGTAAGAGGCTTTTAAAGGCATTAAACGCTTTGGACATCTGGTTCCTATCACCACAGCTGTGAACAATTCTGACTTGGCAAGTTTCTGTAGAACACTGCATTTCACATCAGGCCACTCTGAATGATAACGACTTAATTATGCAGGAATAATAAAAAATCTGTGCCTCTTCAACTAAGAAAATTTCAAACTAGTCACTGTTTAAGATGTAATCATCCAGTCTTAAAGGAATTCTCCAGTTTTTGAAGCTCAACTTACTCGCACAGAATAGAAGCCAGTGGGTAGGTGCTGAAGCAGCTGCACATTGGCTTCTATTATAAGAGGGTTTTGAGTCAATAGGTTTTGTGATTTTTGCTAAGTACGGGGAAACACATTGAAATGATCGTCAGTGGCAATTGACCCAATGCTGCAGACTAGCAGAATACTGGGGAATCCTTTTAAGAGCGTGCAATAATGTATTTGCACTAAATCTAATGTTTATATATGAGCTTATTTTTAACTGACTGAATCCTGTATTGTTCTAGAAACTCGCTGCCTTGGGTAAAGAGCAGGCGAACGGCCTCTGTGTGAAGAGGAGTACAATAAATCATAGCCAGACTCTCTGGGCAGAGCCAGCGCACCTAAGCTTAGCCAACTCCCCTCAGGATTACACTGGTGGAATTTTGAGCACTGGTCCTAAAGATTGGCCTTTCCAGCAGAGGGAGACTGAGAGCACTGAGCTTAGCCTGTTTGGAGATGCTACAAAAAGCTCAGACCCCGACAACAGCGACCAGGAGTCAGGAGTGGCTGACTTTAGCTGCCATTCCTCCAGTGGTGGAGATTCATTTCCAAGTGAAGATAGCGTCAAGGACGCAGACTCAGACGAAGCTGCTTTCAATACTGCCTAAAAAAGAAAAGTGACACATGATAAATGAAAGCCATAGGATTTCTAAAGGGACCGTGCAATTATACTAAAAATGGCAAAAGGTCATGTATGCATTTTGACTTGAGTTGTTCACTCTATACTCCATTAACAAGTATCTGTGTCTGTATATCTTGTAGCCAGTGAAAAAAGGAAGTGTTGCTTTATTTATTACAATATTTATGCCATTGTAGCTTTGTATGTGCATGAAATGATTTGTATTGCAAACCCCGCATGTTACAAAATACCTCATAAGAATCTTATATTCATGCTAAGGCATCAAATGAGTTTTACATTTTAAAATAGCCTTTCCATGTTTAAATAGAACTGCACAAGTAGGACCCAGACAGAGTTCTGACAGTTTTCACTCCATAAATTTACTTCTTACATGCTCGTAGGCCAAAGAATTCCACTTTACCCAATGTGCTATAGGGACCTACACCCTGAACACAAAGCTAGCTCTGAGGAACAAAATTTAACAACTGACACAGACCAAAAAGGAGAGATATTATAAAGCACACATGATCAAGATGCTCAATGTAGAAACTGTAGGAATATCACCTCACAGTGGTTTATTACAGCCTGCAAATGATGCTGAACATTGATGCTCTTATGAGCAGTAATGGGAGATATGCAGGAAAACATGCAGAGTGTAAGCTTAAGCTACATTTCCTTGTGAATAGTGAGAGATGATTCCCAGATTATGCTCACTCTTAGCTTATTTCTGTCACTAGTGCAATGTTACTCAAATATTAGTAAATAAAGTCAGCTTTACACATTGCCCTGGCCTCTTTGGTAAATTGCTGTAAGCTAATGGTGCTTATTGCAAGGCAGTATATCCATGAGAAATTTATTAGTAGTTTTTAAAAATTTATCATTAAACTATTGTTTAGTTTGACTTCTTTTTTTAATTTGGCTTTTATTTTTCATTTTCTTGTTAAGCACAAGTATACAGACTACACCAATTTGCTTTAGCATTGTTGCAACATTCTTAACATGGCGTTCCTAAAATTACACAAAAAATAAACAATATTTTGGACTTTTCAAAAGATTCTACATAATTACGAGGCTGAGATGTAAACAAGGTAATTCAGAGCAGTTTGGTGTGAAAAGCTCCGCTCTAAAGAAACCTACCAAGTCAGAACTTTTCACAGTGGTGGTGACAGGAACCAGACGTCTAAAGAGTTCAATGCCTCCGAAAGCTCCCTCACAGAAAGGTATTACAGAAAACGGTTAGACATATGCTGCCTGAAGTCTGACACATTCTTTTATGATGGCTTTGTGATAAGGTTTTGGCTAAAAAGGTATTTTAATCCATTCACAGAGGAGGGGCACATGCAGGGCGTTGTAAGTCCGCAATGGAACTTTTTTCCAGACTATTTTTGCATCATCAGCATTACATATAAAACTAAGAAGACACGTGTAGGTCACTGGTGGTTTTGAATGGCAAACTGACTAGATTTGTGTTGTAGACATGGCGACCCCTGGTCCTATCACCACCACTGTAAAGAAATCAGAGTCCTTAAGTTTCTCTACAGTGAACCATTTCTCGTCAAACCACTCTGAATGACTCTGTTTACATCTCGACCACTGAATTATTCAGAAATGTTTAAAAAATGGTGGATTCCACTTTAACATTTTTTATTGAGCTTGTTTCAATTCACAAAACCACAAACGATATGAGTATACAACTTTTATGAATGTCTCCTGGTGTAGCTGCCAAAAATGTACTCACTTTTGCTGAGCTCAGCCTGAACACGCTCCACTGTCCGGAGCGCTGAAAATGAAACAGGTCTAGAAAATACTGGATTCACAGCTCGTGACGTTCCGAGGTCAGTGGTCGTGTCTTTATGACGTCACCGCGCAGCGCCGTAATGGAGTTTCAGAGGTGGCAGCTGGTTGTTGATGTCGGTGTTAGACCAATAAAACTCTTTCAAAGTTAGACGCAAGAGCCCTGTCCACTGTAAACAAGATAACCGTGTGTTACTGAAGCAGTACATATAAGTGTACCTCAATTGAGGAGAGGTAAGTCGTGAGAACGAGTGAACTGGGCCAAACTAATGTAGCAGTACAAAGTTATGTGGCTGGGCAGACAGCAGTTCCGTTAGCATCCGCTAACATGCACGGACCTCATTAGTTGGAGGCTAACGTGACAGCAAAGGTCCTCGTGCATGCATGGAATTGCCAGGCAACAATCGCAGCTGCCGGCTTTCGTTTGCTGTGGCTTTAGTTGGTGTAGCATTAGATGAAGGGACATTGTTTGGCGCCTGCTGGACGGTAGGTTTGCTAGACAAGCTAACTGGCTCGTTTGCTCGCTTAGCTGCTCAGCTCTGTGGGAAACCTAAGATAGCTGGGTAGCACGTTGCTAGCCAGGTAGCAAGCACAAATAACGGTGCTTGCCTGTTAGAATTTAGACAGCACAGACAATTATTATCTAATTAGGTCAGTCAAATGTGGTGTAAATTAGCTTTGCGATGTCAGGAAAACATAAGCATTTAGGATAATTTCTTAGCTAGGTTATCTAGCATTCTTTCTCTTCCAACTGGATGGCAACAACCAAGCTGGCACCTTTGAATAAATTGTCTTTTATTATTATATGACTGTTTGAGTCCTGGTTAACTTGTATTAATAACTTGTTATTTCAGTGCTATTAATAACTTGTTAAGTTATTAATATCTTGTATTAATATGATTCTTTGCCACGTTGGTTGAGTAAACCTCAGTAGCAGTAACTTAAATCAGTAGACAACATGCAATTATTATCTTACTGGTGTCCCATGTGGGACATTAGAGATGTATGGCCAAATAATATTTAATTAATATTTAATTGTCGTTTCAATTGAAACGCGTGATAATTTGTGCTTTGTTGACCATTAATCCATGTGAGAAATCTAGCATTATATAGACATTACTTTCACTGAAATTGATGCAGTGGCCTACAGTGGCACCCAGTACCCTGTCACGCTGTTTTCTGTTGAACTTTGTCAGCATTGCTCACTTTCAAATTAATAGCTCCTTAAAGCCTCTAACACTGTCTTTTCAGTGCTGTAACACGTTTGATAATTTTTTTTTTACAGGTGAAAAGGGAGAACAGGACCTACAATTCTATGAAATTGTGCCCAAGGGAGCATTTTTTCATTTTTGATGCCTTCCATCTAAAAGTGGCACTATGCCCGCAGCCACTGTGGATCATAGCCAAAGAATATGTGAGGTTTGGGCTAGTAACCTGGACGAGGAGCTTAAGAGGATTCGCCAGGTGATCCGAAAATACAATTACATTGCAATGGTAAGCCTTGTTCATTTATTTAACTTTTTATTCTTTTTAAGTTTTGCAGAATCTTCATATAGGACACAGAGTTTCCGGGTGTAGTTGCAAGACCGATTGGAGAGTTCAGAAGCAATGCTGACTATCAGTACCAGTTGCTGCGGTGTAATGTTGATTTGTTAAAAATTATCCAGCTTGGCCTTACCTTTATGAATGAACAAGGGGAGTACCCACCAGGAACCTCGACATGGCAGTTCAACTTCAGATTTAACCTCACGTAAGTATAGCATGATGTCTGAAGCATGCATGTACTAGACATGTTTGTTATTTATATATACAAATCTACTTTGTTTTTCCTGAGTCTTGAAGGGCTAAGATTACTCTCAACTGTAATGCTTAACATAAATATTAACTTTGAGACTTTAGGCAACAATGGTGACAGGGATAGCCTGTGCTTTTCTGTGCATGTGTGAATTTGACTCCCTATGTCCTGCTGCCATAGCCTGTTTTTCTGCTATGGCAGAAACATGAATTTGCCATAGTCTCTGAAATGTGAGGTTTAGATGACTTAATTTCATGTTTCTAGTGTTGAATAGAATTTCCTTTGAACTAGATAAAAGCACAGAATGATCAAAAACATGATTAATTTAGTCAGTTTTTCCAGTTTTGTTATTAAGATATATCATTGGGTGAGGAAAATATTTTCTGCCGTCGTGTTAGAGCTGTTGCTTAGTAACCCTAGTTTCCACGGCTACCGTGCTAATGCAGATATATTTCCGGTCGCTGTAGCCTGCCCTTTAGCTATTGATGCTTAAAGTCCTTAATATATTGTTTCTTACTGAATTCTGTGTCTTGGTAAAGTATGACCAAATCACTGTGTCTCTGCAATAAATTCTTTCAGGGAAGATATGTATGCACAGGATTCAATTGAGCTACTGACTACTTCAGGTATCCAGTTCAAAAAGCATGAAGAAGAAGGCATTGAGACACTGTATTTTGCAGAGCTCCTTATGACTTCAGGTGTGGTGCTCTGTGAAGGGGTCAAGTGGTTGTCATTCCATAGGTAAGTCCCCCATGGACGACAGTATTTTAATGGTGATTCAAACCAAGTATGTGCTCATTTACCTAGATGAGGAATTTAAAAATTTAATCCTGTCATGGGTAAACACTCAGGCTGTCAAGGTTAACATGTGAAATTACTAATGCCAGTGAATTTTTAAGACAGTTTCCTGGATTGACTTCCGTAAAATCATCCGTAGCAGAGCTGGCTGAAGCCTGGTTGCTCAAGCTATTTTCTGCTATGATAGAATCTGCAATTTTAACCCTCACTCAAATACAGCTTTTGATTAGCATTTAAGTCGTTAACTGTCCTATACTTGACAGTGCTCATGGGAGATCTATGAATAAGTCAACAAGCACCAAACTGACAAAAGTAACAGCGTAGTGGAAAGCTACAATTAGTATTAACAGCCTTCATTATAATAAGAATACACCAGCTACATGAACAAAAATGAGACAGAGGGGCTACAGTTGTGGAGGAGTTGGGAACATTGGCTGTATATATGATATACAGTACTGTGCAAATGTCTTAGGCACCTAAGCACATTATTTAAGATACTTGGCTATAAGTGTGTTTTTGCTTGTAAAATCACCATACATCATTAGAATAAGTACAACTGATCATAAATACAGTAAAAGGTTACAAGAATTAATTCATTAATTTATTTTTCAAAAAAGGAATTGAAATCTTGTGAGCTAGTTTGAACCAAACTAGGTATCGGAGGGTCACAAAATTAATACTGGGCTCCCATGAGGAGAGATTTGAAAATGGCTAAATAAAAATATTGACAAATATAACATCACTACTTGTTATATTTATGCCATTTGTATTGTATTAGTAATGATTTTTTTTCCAGAGCAAATAAATTCTTACTGCCCAGGTAAATAGCTTTAGATCTAGTTTTCTCAGGTGCCTAAAACTTTTGAAAGTGCTCTATATAATATATTCACTCATTGGTTTGATCATGCAGCAGCTGTTGCTCTCACTGGATGTTGGTGATGAAAATTGGGAACTGCATTCACCATATAGAAATCATGTGATTTTTGTTCAGGTTAATGTGAATGGTGGTAAAGCACTGAACATAAAACATTTTCATGAAGGTTATGTTATTCACTAATATAACTGTAACAAAATACCCTGTTTTTTTAAATGAAGTAAAACACAATTTATATTTAAGCAAATAAAACAATTGATTAACTATGATTAAGTAAACGAAATAATCTGATTAATCACAATTAAATATTTGTCATTTGACAGCCTTAGTACGAACCATTACAAGATTACCATTTCGTAGTGATTAGCATAGCATTTTGTTAGCGATGTATTCTGCGATGATTAGATTCTAAGTTTCTTTATTGCTGGTGAAATATCTAATAAATTCTTGTCTGTTTTTCCCATTCAGTGGCTATGACTTTGGTTACCTGATAAAAATTTTGTCAAACTCTAAGTTGCCAGAGGAAGAAGTTGACTTCTTTGAGATCCTTCGACTGTTTTTCCCCATTATCTATGATGTGAAATACCTCATGAAGAGCTGTAAAAACCTGAAGGCATGCATTCACTTTGACTCTTATTTGTACACATACATTGAATTTGTTGTCTGTTGTCAGAACATAAAAGCTCCATTGCTATTGGGGCTGAAAATGAGGTGTTTCTCTGAGTTTGTGAAAGCAGCGTGTTAAGTGATGGTTGTGTGATGTGCAGGGTGGCCTGCAGGAGGTAGCTGAACAGCTGGAGCTGGAGAGGATTGGGCCTCAGCATCAGGCAGGCTCAGACTCTCTCCTCACGGGAATGGCCTTCTTTAAGATGAGAGAGGTAAGTTGTCAGCTGTGAAATTTTGAAGTCTGTCTTCGAAGCTGTCTTTGAAGCAATAGTGGAATTATATGCATGTTTTAAAATCTTTCACCACAGTGATATAACTCACCATACAGTCAATGTAAATCCTAGCTGAAACCGAACTGGATGTCAAAGTGAGGAGGGCCTCTGAATACAGCTTGATCACCCTGTAGTTTGCAAAATGACAGAGCCCATGTGCTGTATAGAACTTTACCAGGCTTCTGAATATGAGCTTAAGTGTTTTTCCACATGATCGAGTCCTCCCAGTAATTCAAAAAGCTTGTGTGTTTGTGCTGAGCTGTCAGTGTTCACCCTGCAGCTGCAAGCATGTCTGTAGTGATCCCATTGAGAGCTGATGTCGCGCTATTTGTTTGATGACAGCCTGACTCAGTTTGGTGCTGAATTATGCACATCTCTATTTGACATACACATTTGCATGTTTTGTAAACTACTCTAGACAACAGCATCGTACAAATAAACGAATGTAGTTTGTGTGTAATAAATATCTCATTTAATCTGGCCAGGTTTACCTCTAAGATGTCAGCTTAGCTGAATTTTACCCTGGTTTGTTTGTCAAACATGCCAACATGTCTGAACGTAAAAGCTGCACAAAAAAGAACACTTTAAAATAGGGTGTGTGCGTGCTGCTGTGAGTCGCCCTGTAAATCCTGAAATAATAATTTGAAAGTCAGAGGTGTTGAGTCGGATTTCACAGAAGTGTTTTGAATCATGTTCTACGTCTTTTTCCTATTATTGTCATGCACACGTGCTAAAAAAGAAGGTAAGGCTGGATGTTTAGATCTCAAATGCATAATAAACATTACACTGATGGAAATACGAAGACAATAATAGATAATTCACTTTTGATGATGGACACATTGTAAAATCAGATCTCATCTGAGGAACACATTTTAATGAAATCTGTAAATGGAATTCAACCAGAGGATATCCAGATATGATCCAGACATGAAACACGTTAATGCAAGGTGTGAACAGGCTCAGTGTGTCCGTTGTGTGTTTGCGCTTGACTTTGAATGTGATCAAGTGAAATCTGAACGTGATCTGATTACCAAAAACACATGTTCATGCAAGGTGTAAACATCCAAGTTACTGTAAATGAAAATATTTTACTGCCTGTTACTGTTATTCAGTGTACAAAGTTAACATTGCTAAGTTAGATAAAGAGCTGTCAGATATTTAAACTATTCCTAGATATTTAAAACTAATTAAAACTGTGAAGGTTTTATTTGTTCATGTACAGCAATATAACTTTCATGCGTTTGGTAGTCAGTGTGTGATAATGTTAGTAACTCATAGTCTCAAACATACTAGGAGCCACAGCAAAGGGAGCTTGAAATATTCAAATGGACATTTTCTACCTTCATGTGCATTTTTCATTGAATTGGAGACAATTTCTAACCACAGGTTCACTTTCTTCTTTTGTTCATTTATCTTCTTCAGATGGTCCTTGTGTTAAGAAAATGTCATAGTTGTGCATGAATTGAGTGCTGTGTTAAAAAACTGCTGTTATTGCACCTCTTATTCCTTTGATTTTCATGCTCACAAAAAGACAAACATGTAATTTAATATTAATACAAAGAACTGCTCATGTTTTTCTAAAGAATGTGCACCCTGTACCATGCATATCCACTTGTGCTTTCTTTTTGTTTCAGATGTTTTTTGAGGATCATATTGATGATGCTAAGTACTGTGGTCACTTGTACGGACTGGGCTCTGGCTCATCCTATGTCCAGAACGGCACCGGCAATGCCTACGAAGAGGAGGCAAACAAGCAGCAGTCATGACACAACAAGAATCCCCTCACTGTAGAGAACCTCACCTGCAGGGCTTAAAACATGGGTTTTTTTAGTTTTCATAAGATGTTCAATAGGATTTTGCACTTTAAAACTCCAATGAGACTCTTGGTTTTAGATGGAAAGCTAAAGGAACTTCCTCCACTTTGTTGCCTTCTCTATGTTAAACTTTTGTCACAAAACGTTCCTCTTTTATGATAAGAGACAAGGAAAAAAATTGGGTGTTTTATTTTTTTTTCCTGCAAAGCTCAGCCTTAATATTAAGCTACATTTTATGTTTTTTTATCATTAATTTATTACATTTGTTCTCATGCTTTGTTGAATAGTGCATAGACTGATTCAGCAAACCCTGATATGCCAGTTATCTACATGTATGGTTGTTCCCTGATCAGAGGAGTACAACATCCACTTTTCCACAGTCTGCTGCAGCTTGAGACAGATGGAGTGTCCCACAGAAATACACAGGCGAATGAATATACAGGCACTTATTGGCACGAGTGAAGCCTTGCACTGATTTTACCTTTATGTTGGGCTAGCACAGATTTTACCACAAACCAAGGAGAGTAACTGCCACTATTTAATTAAAGTGAGATGACCTCTTCTGTTTCAAGACTTCATTTCATTTTTAAAAGTGACTTAAAGGTTTTGTAGTATTTTAGTATAAAATTCAAAGCCTTTTATTCATTATGCTTCTTAAAAACAAAGAAAAAAAATCTTAACCAACTCGAGTACTCAGTGTCAGTGGAATTAGATTTACTTGTAGTGCTGGTATTCCAATCATGCACATTTTGTGCTGTTTGAGTTTTTTGCTTTACAATTCTATGTTGCATAGATCTGCTGCATGTACTGATGGCGTTTGAATAAATGCTGTGTTGAGTCATGGTCTGAGCTTTTACAGAAATGTGAACTGCATGGACACTGCTTATCTTTGGTTGAATGTCACCTCTGGAGAATGATGAAAACAACACTTAACCCTTTTCCCTCTCCACTCCATTAATGTGTAAAATATCTATGTTGACAATATGCAATATCAAGGGTGACTGTTTTTAGAGCTTTTGTAAATAAAGGCCTCAGATTTTCTAACATCTGAAAAGTTGTGGGCCTTGTTTTTAAAGCTGTATTGTTCTTGCAAGTGCTCTCCTGCATGCAGTACAGTGTTTATACATCTAGCCACCCATAACACATTTATACATAAAACAACAAGTATAATTGTTGTGAAGCACTGCACTTGAAGCACTAAAAGCTATTTGAGTGCTAGTAGCACCCCTTGTGAAGAATCTTGAGCCTGCTATACGCGAGTGAGTTACAGCCCAGGTCCATATGCTTTGCATTTAACAAGGACAAAATCCTTCAAGTAACACCACAAACGGGTACATAAAACATTGGATTTATTATTTCAACTGAAGACATTCATCAACATCTATGGTATAGCCTCATCCATAAGTGATGGTTCATGAGAAATAAATCAGGTTATGTAGAACAGTACAGTACAGATTCATTTGGTCTCATTGAGTCCAAAGCATGTTTTTTTTCTACAAGTAAGTGGTTTACATAGCATTACCAGAGGCTATAGGTTATACTGTATGGTTCATGGGATAGTATGATGGTCAGTCTTACGCTGAACAGCTTCCATGATTAAGACTACAAACAGGCACATTAAAACACCTCAACACATTTAGAAAGTCTTGGCTTGTCTGTGTTTTTTCATTATACCTTGGTGAAAAAACAAGGTTACATTGTTAGATGTCCCATTTCATGCAATATTCTTGGGATCAAATTAAATGAAAAGCAGTATCAAAGAGTAATAGAGCCCTTAGAAACGTTTCAGCCATCCATCCAAAACCACTAGCAAGAGTTCTGCAATGTGTGGTAACTGTAAACATCATACCAAAAGCATGGTGTCTTTATACTCTGCTTTTGTATTTGCAGCCATATTAATGGTCTTTTCTCAAAACACGGTGCCACATTTTGGAACAGGAATATCACTTTCTAAATAAAAAATGATTTTCAGAGAATGCAAATTGTAGTAGAAAGGTCTACATTTCCTAACCTCATTCTTAATGCACTGTTCTTCATCAGCACTGTTGATCACTTGAAAAGAACTGCAAGCAGGTTTATGTAATATTCACATCTAAAGACTAAAGTGCAAATGAGCCAACTTTTTTTTTTCTTTCTGTGCTTATGAGGTCAAAACATTTCCTTATTTTCAAGCAGGCTGTACTTCATTCTTTCCATGGAGGCGGCTTGAATTAAAAACTCGCCTGTTTATTTGGTCCTGCACAGCTCAGTAGCGTGTTCAAGGTACAGTATTTGGAAAGTTAAGCAAGAGCCCGAGAAATTTCAATACAGCAAAATGTTTTCTGTTTGAACTGCTGTTGTAAAGAACTTTCGAACATTGAAGCAGTTCTTAACAATACACACAATGGGCCCAGTGGACACTGGTTATCATCAGGAACATGTACATCATTAAAAATACTAATATCTTTGCCTACACATGCCAACAAGAGAAACTTAAAAAACAAGGTCTTTAGAATTCTACTGCATTTTGACAGCACTTCATGACAAAGCTATCACAGTATGTATTACAGTGCCTCAGGTTGCCGTACAGGCTTTCTAGTCACGGACCGGAAATGTCATGTATACATATGCACCACACAGCATGCACAAAACCACAATGGCTCATCCAAAATTTATATAAAATTTAGCCTTAAATACAATCTCCACCACACAAAGGTATGATCAAGGCATTAATTGTAAATAATCACTTTGGTGATCATTTGAATTGATGATTATGAGCTCTACCAAACTGGATCACAAAGTGTGCAAGTCCAATGTCACCCAGAGTGCAACTGTTTCAGTGTGTGTTAGCTTTAGGCACAGTGTACATACACAACGTCTCCACGGAGTACAAAGGACTCTATGGTTCCTAACCATATCCTCATTAATATACATACTGGTAATCCTGCACAGTCAGCTTTTACAAAGAAGCACCCTACTCAAGCAATTAGATAGAAACCCAATGGATAATGGTCTGTTGCCGCAGCAGAGCACCCTTTTCAGCACGCAGACGATTCTTCACTGTTCCGTGGACAAAGCGCATGACCACAAAAGGGATCTGATGAAGATAATGAGAAACAGCACAAAAAATCATTTTTCCAGTGGATTTATAATTGTTTAAAAGACACTGATGAATAATTAGGCTCTGTTTCTTGGTGTTTGACCACAATAGTTTTTTAGATAATGCTTTGTGAAAAATGTGTCATATCTTGAAGTGGCATTCTGGCCAAAATGAAAAAATGAACTATTACTTAATCTGCTGTGCACATGCCATCTGGTCTTCTTGTGGTGCCACAACAGTCTCTAGAGTGAGATTTCCTGGTTTAATGACTAGAAAAATCCCCTTCAGATGATGTATCTAGAGCAGGGGTGTCCAATCTTATCCACAAAGGGCCGGTGTAGGTGCAGGTTTTGTTACAGACAAGAAGAGCACACATGATTTCACTCGTTTAATCAGTAAGTCTCAGTCTTTCAACAACTGAGTATGTGCGCTCCTGCTTTGCTGCAATGAAAACCTGCGTGGCCCTGCGTGGCCCTTTGCGGTTAAGATTGAACACCCCTGATCTAGAGGGTGGGAGGAACTACAACTGCTTTAGAGCAGACACATGAGGACAGGAATGATGGAATGTCCCCTTAATTCTATACATTGTATGAAAGGAACCAATAAAAAGGCAAACCTTTTTCTCCTTCAGCAACAGATCTAGGTTTCCTTTTCTATAGTCATGGCTGGGTTGCTTGTGCCTGTTCAAATGACAAGAAAAAGACCCAGAAAATTAACTATTGGTAATCATTGTGTTTGTGTGTTTGGACTCACTAATTCACCCTACTGTCCACACTGTACACTGTATGGCCAAAAGTATACAGACATGTGACCATCACACCTGTATAAGCTTGTTGGACATCCTATTCCAAAACCATGGACAACTCTGAAAAACAATTCCAGACCATTATCCCTCCTCCACCAAACTTTACTGTTGGCACTACACATTCCAGTGCTCCAGAGTCCAGTGGCTTTACACCACCCGACACTTGGCATTGCAAATAGTCATCTTAGGCTTGTGTGCAGCTGCTCGGCCATGGAAACCCATTTCATGAAGCTCCCAATGCATAGTTCTTGTGCTAATGTTGCTTTCAGATGCACTTTTGAACTGCAACAGAGGATAGGCAATTTTTATGCAATGCTCTTCAGCACACTTTGGCCTCCACCTGTGAGTTTGTGTGGTCTGCCGCTTCAGGGATGAGCTGGTGTTGCTCAAAGATGCTTCCATTTCCACTGAAACTATATTACAATAGATTTCCAAGCTGCTTGCGCTCCTGGGTCGCAGAAGGCAGGAAGCACCCTGGACAGGTCACTAGTCACACAGGGCAGACACACAGACATACACACTCACACACACACACACAGTCACACCTAGGGCCTATATTTAGCATATCCAGTTCGCCTGACTGCATGTCTTTGGACTGTGGGAGGAAACCGGAGCACCCGGAGGAAACCCATGCAGACACGGGGAGAACACGCAAACTCCAGCCAGGAAGTGTTACAATATATTCTTTTATATATTTTGAAGTATATGACATGACCTTTGATTTCATTTTAATGGAAGCAGTGTTGTGTAAGCAGTCATAAGAACAGCGAGTAAGCCTACAAACAGTACAAATAAGGCTACAAATAGTACAGCACGGTATCACACAATACATCCACAAAACTCAGAGTCATGAGACTGGAGGCGACAAAACACACTTTGTTTTCATACAAAAGCTACTCTCAGATATCCTCGAGTAGAGCTTGGTATGACCTAGATTAAGTTTTAGAGCATTAGGATTTTGGCCATCTAGGTTTTATTAAGTACTTTGCATTCAAATCTTCAATATTAGACAGCTCAGAGTCTGACTGACCAATATTAATAACCAGTAAATGTCAGATACTTTCTATTTTTAATGCATGGCAGTAACATGGATAGGATTATTACACACCTTGTCTGTCTTTATCCTCTGTCCCCTCGCTGTCTGTCCATGTCTGTCCGTTACTCAGCAGTCGGCTCTGAGACTCTCTCAGAGGTTTAGCAGGAAACTGATGGGTGTCTCCATCACTAGTAGTCAACAGAAGCAGACACACATTGGACTAGACATGTCATAAAAGCCAGACTGAGTAAAGTGTAAGTCATGTGCAGGCCCAGCATCAGGGGATCATTTAGTGGGGCAGTGCGCCACCAACCAGTCAACATGCCCACTAAAACCATTCTGTTGTACATGCTTCTACACTGGTAGGTGGCAATCAAAGTGAAACTTTGTGCAATAAGCTGTTGATTCCCTCCTGAATATGTGGCTCTGATGGCCTATGGCTTCTAGCACTGGGCCTGGCTGCATGTATAGTAGAGCTGTACACATAGTTTAAATAAAGCACTGTTATATGCACTATATCCAAAAGTATCTAGACACCCCCTCTAATTTTTGAATTCTGCTACTTTAAGATGTCCGCATTGCTGATACAGATGTTCATTTTCACACACACAGCTTGTATAATCTCCAAAAATCACTGCCAATAGAATGGGATGCTTTAGAGCAGCTTCACATGGGCCTAAGGACACCTCGCCCAATGCCAAGCATCAGCTTGAGAGGTATAAAGCTGCTCAGCAATGGGCTGTGGACCATGGAGCATCATTAGCCTCTGGAGTGATTGAGCACAATCGAATACATTTGGGATGAGTTGGAGTGGCATTTGTGAAACAGAGCTAATCATTCAACATCATTAGCTGACCTTACTAATGCTCTTCTGGCTGAATGCAATCAAATCCTTACAGCAGTGCTCCAATATCTAATGTAAAGCCTTCCCAGAATAATAGAGTCTGTTAGTGCAGCAAAGGGGATACAAACTCCCTATTAATACCCTTGATTTCAGGAGAAATGTTGGATAAGAAGGTGTCTACAAACTTTTAGACATATATGCCCAGGTTGCAATAGATTCAGAAATATATGGACAGTCATTTTAGTAGTCAACAGTCTCAAGGTACACAACGCTGTCTGAATGAAAAACATTGTGTAATGAAAAATGGTGCAGACCTTTTGATAGCAGCATGTCCGGAGGGTGAGGCAGGCTGTTCAGGGTCAGCGTTCACCAGACAGGTGGGAAAGGAGCAGCCGTCACCCTGACTAACATCACAACAAACCACAAACTCTTTTAGAGTCGTGCTGATCCAAAGTAATGTACATAGAGATGTTGTGTAACATGACACACCTGGAAAAAATCGGCAGAAGCCAATATTTCTTTTCATCACCAAAGACTTGGCGGAGGTTTTTGCTGACTCCCAGACTAAAGCCATTCTTGTCTGTTCCATGTCGGAAGGCAGGTGCACGGAAGACCTCTGAGGGGAAAAGAAAACAACGTTAAACATAAAAACAGCCACATGGTAACATTTTCAACTGGTTTTCACAGTCAGAAAAAAACCTCTCAAGAATATCTAAAATGGTAACTTTGCAGGAGACTGAAAAACGTTCTTAAATTTTAATGTATAAGATAATGCAACAATTTCAGCTACCTAAAACTTTTCACCAAAACTGTCATATTCAACCATTTTCAGTCAAAAATTTTTGTTTGCATTCTGAAAGAGAAAAAACTACAAACGTTTTGGCCAAAACATTAAACAGGTCTACAATGAAATGTCACAATGTGTTCAAACAGTGTGAACAGCAGCAGAATAACAGTGAAACACTCATATATGGCCTGCTGCAGCTGCATTCTGTATGGTCTTCAGCTTACATGCTTTTCTTCTTTTTAGCATTAACTGTTTTAATGAAATTCTTTAATGGAAAAATCACATAAATAATAATGAGCAACTCAATATCTTTTTATAATAACTTTTTACCTCTAGTTTTAAAAGATACTGCAAATGTGCGCTCATTAGATCCTGCTAAGAGATTTATGGTTGTTTCTTCTCTAAATGATGAACACTAAAGCAACTTGTGTGCTAATGGCTATTAAAAATCCCATGCAATTAAGGCTCAGGCTTAATGTGGGTCTGGGAAAGTGGCCCATAGTGTCCATATATAAATTCGGAGACAACTTGCTGTCTTTTGGAATTTTAACTTGAAATAATAAATGCCTATAAAGATACTGTTTACATAACTGCTACTTACTTACAGTTTAGACATAATTTGCATTACTCAGCTTCATGTTTATCAAAGTGTTTAAAGGTTATCAAAGTTCATCAGTGTTCATTAAAATAATATATATAAAAACATTTTTTAGCTCAAAGGAGGTTTAAACAAATGAAAAACGTTGTCTTTGAAATGATATCATATGATGAACTGTTCTTAGAAAGACCAGAGACATTAACTATCAAAGTAAAAAGGTCAAGTTTGGCTTCAGGTTGACATTTAAAAAAATCTCACATTTGGGTAGTGGATACATTAGTGTGCAAAAGTGCAAACACCCCTAGTCAAATGAGTTTTGTTGATTTCTAAGTAAAAAAATCTCTCTACAGAGAACAAACTTAAATATGCCATTTTCTGCTAATAGTAGTGTAAAATTTCTATTTATTTTTATGAGTTTAACATATGGGGAAAAAAAACATAAAATATAAAACGAGCCACGGCTTTACACAGGTCACATTTATGTTTTTTTCAATATGTTACATTCAGCAAGTAAAAAGTAAGTGTGTTCTCTGTAGAGGATGTGCTAACTTTCAACAAAACATGGAACTTGACAAGGGCCACCCAAAGTTTTGCATATGGCTGTATATTGGTAAAATTATATGGGCATAATGGGAAAGACTGTATTTTGTCCTGGACAGATAATGATCTTACTGAGATTTCAAAGGTACTGTGGCTTTATTTAGCAATTTCAACATGAAGACTTTACCAGACCCTGACAGAATCCACTCCCAAACCAACTGTTGTTTGAAAAAAATCTTATTATTTAAGGTTAACCAACTCACCCAAAGTGGACCTATTTTTGCAGACAAGCCAGCAGTGATAGGAAAACAGCGAAGCCAGACTGACTGAGAACATGGAGGAGGCGAAGAATAGGAACATGATGTGGAACTTGGCTTGAGTGTCAGGCAGCCCGTTCTGAGGAAAGTGACACGAAAACACGAAAAACCCAATCAACACATACCACATATCACAACTTACAGGGCTGCTGTGGATGAGGGTTGGGCAATGTGACAATAAGTTAGTTATGTATTTTATTATTTAGCAAAATGTTATTCTATGTATTTTACGGGTATTGTTGGTATTTCCAAAGCACTGAACTAGGGAATTATAATAAAATATACAGGTTTAAACTGTTGATGTAAGCATCCACAGTTAGTATGTATAACTAGAAACTGCATAGTAAAGTAGAGGACTAGATGTCAGCCCCTTATGGCATTATTTTATTTTTTACCAACTGTCTGATTTTTATGTATGTTACTTCTTACATATACTTTTTTAAATAATACAGATTATGCGCAGTGACAATCATATCATGATGTTTTGGGTCATACTGCCCAATCTTACTTTTTGTCTGGATGACAGAACATTTGCTCTGCTGCTACTTGCTAATTGCACAACAGCAAAGTGAAAGAGATAAAACTACACTAAAGCATCAACATTTCCTCTATTAGCAGTTAGCAAACTGATCTATAGTGACTGGCTACAGTGACTGTCATGCAATTTTTGCACCCTACATTTCAAATGCTCTGCATCCTAGGCCACTACAGAAGTCTATACAGAGCATACTGAGACCCATCAGCGCTCAGCATCAGTGACTAACTCCTACCCAGTATTCTTTCAGACGTTCGTGGGTTTTCCCATCAACCTTGCAGAGAAATAAAAAGACACTGAAGATGAAAACAAACAAATTTCCCAGAAGCTTTGGAGATTATTATTATTAGAGTGAACATCACTCTGAATGCCTCCGGAAAAACTCAAGGTCCCTTAACTTGAGGATCCTTTCGAAGTCTATACACTGAATGGTTTTTCATCTGACAAGTGACAGCCTTTTCTGAACTACAGTCATGTTAACTAAGCCCACTCATACAACTAAAAAGCAGCTTAGATAATTCATACTTACAGTCCAAAATTTAATGAAGTACTGCAAGTCTGTCGCAGTGATGAAGAGGCAATATAGCAGTGAATATGCAAGAAAAAGTGTAAAAAACTTGTAGTTCGAGAAGCCCACGCAGTTGTTTACCCTGTCAGAAAACATGAAATGCAAAGCTGAACACAGGAACAACTGCCAAGGATGTTAATGTGCCATATATAGCTCTCAACCATATTTTATTTCAAATGTTATTTGCACTGATCTTTGTTCTGCCTAAATATATCATAGCATTCCTAAATTTAAAATCAGGATTTTAACACCATTTCAAAAATTGCAAAAGGCAGATACTGACAGGTGACAAATTAAAGAAAAAACCTGAATAAATGAGTGGAGAAACAAAGTCCTAAGCATAAGCAGATGCTTCCAGACAGGTGTACCGCATAAAAAAGGTAAGCAATAAATGTCCTACCATGCTCCATACTCCTACCATGTGCCATGCACAAAACTGCTGAGCAGGCCCAGCTGCAATAGAAACAGTGACTAAAGTGGCATCTGCATTTAGATCTGGGGGAAAGACATCAGTAAAATTGCCAGAAATTGTGGCTGAAAGTGCACATTCAGTGAATGTGAAATGTGTGCATTAGTGTAAGGACATGTAAGGAAAAACAGACGAGCAACTGTTCCTCAGGCGACTGAAAATATCACTGCAGATATCAATACAGTCCATCCACAACTACATAGGGATACAATAGTTGGGCTGCAGTGTATAAACCTGGTATGAAAATGATGTAAATAATGTTCACACTCCATCCCTCCATGGCAGTCCATCCCTCCAGTACAGTTCCAGAATCTATGCCAAGGCACACTGAAGCTGTTCTGATGTCTCATGATGGACCTTACGAAGACACTTTACATTGGTTTTTCTTTCATTTGTCACCTGTCTGTACTTTAAATTAAATTTTAAAATTAAAATCTTTTACATTACTCCATATTACCACATTCTTATTGTTGCTGTATACATATTTTCTTCATAATAATTGAGCTCCTCCAATGAAAAAAAACATATATTAACCATTCCACCTTTTCTGGATTGTCATTTATTTTGTTTTCTATTTTATTTTGTACAAACGTTTACATTAAAAAAGCCAAACTATGCTTTATTTACATTTTAGTGACCACTTTATTTTAAATACAGGACATCAAACAATGCCATACCATGCTTAAATAATTTGTACAAAAAATGTCAAATATGCTGTTTTTCATTGCAAGGGCTCAACTGTTCTTGCTCTTCGTCTGCTTTTAATTTTCTGAGCTAGTACATACCATGGACAGTGGTGATCCATCTTCAAGATGCACCTGCGAAACAGTAATGAGAAATGTACTTGAACCGTTACGCAAGCAACATGATTCTGCAAGTAAGCTTCAAGTGTGTGTTATTTGGAAGAATCCGTACTTATCACAGACTGAACAGTGATGACATCTGTCAGGTTTCACAAGGTGACACCGCTCACAATAGCGAATAGCTATGGACACATGTTGTACAGCATGGTAAAGAAAAAAACAGCATTTGCTAAAGACTGGAAATAAATTAACAAATCAAGTTACATTTCACTAAAAGCTAGCTTGAATACTTCAGTGACTCTTTTTTATTCGTCTATAGAGCATGCACTGACCAGAGTTTGGCTGGTAACAGAAAAGTCTTGCAATGAGAGCTTACCTCCAGACGTTGTGCGAGTGTAAATGGGTAAATCCTTGGCTATTCTTCGCAAAATTTCCTGCTGAGATTCCCCACGATCCTCTCGCTCCAACAGTTCTTTGTCCGAGTGTGACAGGTGGAACTGAGTGGGCCAGACAAAAACCAAAATGCTTTGATTTCTATAGTTTGCACTTGCATAGTTCACAGTGACACTTCATGACTTCATGGTGCCAAACTGAATGAACGCTTATCCAATAAGTCCAATTTTACATTTCAAACAGATTTGAGTTTAGCAAGACTAGTGAACTGAAGCTAGACAGAAACAGCTTGTGGGTCCTGTTCGGCTTTTCAATAAGGATGTAATTTCTGAACCTTACAGTGGTATCATGGCTACAGCAGGGACGTCACTATTATTAAAATACTAATTTAACTGTTTCAATAATTAATCAGGTACTCAGTTTTAAAATAAAATATTTTACTGGAAAAGATTTTTAAAAATGTATAGCTTTTTAAAGATTTCTATAAATACAGTACTGTGTAAATGTCAGAGACCACCCCTTTTACATAATTAACTTCCACTGAAAATGGCCATGAAGGTCAAGTTATTCATTTGATAGGATCGAGACAGTAAGCAGAAAAAATCTATATAATTTTTCATTTTTTCAGCATTTACTGTGCCCACAATTTACCTTTATTACAGCTTCCACTCTACTCTGCAGACTTGCTTCCAGTTTTTCAAAGAAATCTGAAGAGATATTTTCCAAATCGTCAAAATTTAGTCTCAGAAGATGGTTGCATTTTCTGCCTCTCACAATCCAAGTAATCCCAAAAACATTCAATGATGTTGAGGTCTGGGCTCTTGGGTGGTCAGTCCATTGTTCTGAGAATACCAGCAGCTTCTTTGTTTGTTTGTAGTACATCTAGCAGTGTGCTTGGGGTCATCTTGGCATAGAATGAGTTTCTTCTCAATTTTGTTTTATTTTCAGTCTTTTATTGCTTCAGTGGTATACATACTGCCTTACGTAGGTTCTTAGATGCCCAGTTTTGGTGTTCTATTGTAATGTTTCTTTTCTTTTTTTTTCCCCCTCAGTAATGGCTTCTTGACAGCTACGCATTATTTTAGACTTATAGCTTTGAGTTATCTTACTGCAAGGATGGACAGAAACACCTGAAGCAATAGTGGAGCTTGATTTTCTCCTCTGATGTTGACAGTTTTGGTGGTCTACTAGGACTTGCATGGCTGTTAGGAGTTCCATTCTCTCTGCTTTTAATAACTATGTATTTTTTTCACTTATTTCCTTTGACATCTTCCTTCTCTGTATATGTAGTTTATCTTATATCTACTCTACTCTACTCAAAAATGTCTCTTTAGAACTATATAAACCGATCAGGCATAACATTTTGACCACCTCCTAACACACTAACACACCACCATCAGTGTTACTGCAGTGCTGAGAATGATCCATCACCCAAATAGTACCTACTCTGTGAGGGTCCATGGGGGTCCTGGCCACTGAAGAACAGGGTAAAAGGTGGCTAACAAAGTATGCAGAGAAACAGATGGACTACAGCCTGTAACTGTAGAACTACAAAGTGCACCTATATAGTAAGTGGAGCTGATAAAATGGACAATGAGCATAGAAACAAGGAGGTTGTCATAATGTCATGCCTGATCGGTGTATATGCGTGCATTACTCCACGTGTGCATTACTCCATGTGTAAATCACATTCTGATGTTTTAACTGAGTAATCAAATTTAATCTCTCAATTGTGACAGCAATATGTCCACAACACAAAATAAGTCTGGGACAGACTAAGATTTGACACTGCTATGAACTGATGAAGTCACCACTAGGGATAAATTACTGCTTTTAAATTAGCTGTTATTAATTTTGATACTCATCCTATTACTGTTAACTGCTTGGTTGCTAATCTTAAATCACCTTATTGCTGAGCAAAATTCATCACATACCTCTTTAAGTGGATTCATAGGTTTGGTGAAGATGGTTTGCCAGTATGCCCATACAAACATGATGAAGAACATATGATACGCCAGGAGGTAAACTACTGGAAAACAGAAGACACTACACAGTAATGACTGTTAATGAATGCAAGACCTAGTAAGGATATTTTGTAACAGATTTCATGACTATGCCTCAAAATAGTACTTTGATGTTATTCTGTTGACATTACACAAATCAGTCCCAACTAAAACCACCCTGAAAATCTCATCATCATATTACTGCACTGGCAATACATTTTTAGGATTAGGAGAACATTTTTGTTCAACAGGCTTACTTACTTTTCTCTCCCAGGTTTTCAATTGTTTCTGTATAAAAAGAATGAAAAACAGAAAAAAAAGGGGTTAGACTCAAAAAGCAGGTTTATTTTGCTATTTTTGTGAAAGCTTTGTCTCATGGTACCCAGCTCTCCCCCTTGTTCGTGTTTCAATTTTGTATGTCCAGCAGCTGTCGGAAATAACACATTTTTTTTGCTGACCTCGATAACGCTCGCCTGAGAAAGACACAAATATCAGCATGTTTTCATAGCTAGTATTCTTGCAGTTTCTCCTCAGTTTGCCATTAGCATTTTATTTAATTAATTATCCTTAAAGGGAAATTCCACCAGTTTTTCAAAATTTCTGCATAATTAAATGGTTAAAATGTAAACAAAGTTCATTCTGAGTGCTTTGGTGTAAAATGCTTCATTCTAGAGAAACTTTTGTTCACAGTGGTGGTGATAAAAACCACACGTCTAACCCTAAAAGCTCAATCACAGAAGGTTATTGCATGAATTGGTTATGAATATGCTGCCTAGTGCCTTGTTTAACAACAGTTATGATATATTTGTGTTGTAGACATTGTGTGACCCCTGGCTCCTATCACCATCACTGTAAAGAAATGCACGTTGGTGCACTATTTCACATCAAATCACTCTGAATTCATTTGTTTACATCTTAATGATGGAATTATGCAGAAACTTTGAAAAAACTGTGGAATTTCCATTTAACCATTACATTTATCATGTTTGAATAATTGAATTTAGCAGAGTTCCCTTTAAGATGTAAAAGTCAAGACTGGTAAATGAACTCTACATGCATCTTATATAAAAGCCTTCGTTATATCATTTCAAGTTTCAAGAGAAAATATTTGATTCTTGGACATAATTCTCTCTGTAATAATCTGACTTTTACCTATGGTTATGCTTTTTTATATTAAAAATATGTCAACAGTGGCAAATTTTTGTGATATAATATAATGTAAATAAGAAGAGATCAAATAAATACTCTTTAAACACTGTAGTAATACTCTTATTTCCTTGTTGAGTTCTGGTTGAAACAAAAGGGTGAAATTCTTGAAATGCCCAACAGAAAAATAATAAATAAAATTAAATACTAAATAATACTAAATAATAAATAAAATACTTTTTTTTCCAGTGCTATCTAGCACTTCCATTGGTCACTCAGGTCACCACTACGTGTGCATTACTTCATGTGTAAATCACACTATGTTTCTTACTGTAATGACTGTAAACTGAGCAATCGACTTTAATCTCTTAATTGTGACAGCAATAGTCCACAACAGAAAATACTAAGTCTGGGACTGACTAAGATTTGATACTGCTATGAACTGATGAAGCTGCCACTAGGGATGAATTGCTGCTTTCTAATTAGCTGTTATTAATTGTGATACTCATCCTATTACAGTTACAGCTCTCTTATTGGTCACTCAGTACTTCAGGACCTGAACTGAACACATGAGATTAAACACTAACACAAATGTAGGGCTGAATTGGTGGGGGGGCACTTATGTGGGTCCTGTGTTATTTCCTTGAATAAAATTAGAATATTCTGACAAAATGAATGCCCTCATAACTCAAGTGTAAATGGAAGGTGTTTTCATAATCTGTACACAATTTCATGAGCAGAAACGCAACTGCTGAGTGCTCACTAGCAGGTGATATTTTAAACAAGGAAACTAAAGTTATGTGGCTGAAGTTAGGCCTAAACCAAGGGCCTTTATGAACTCCAGGCCTTTAAAAGCATCCAAGCCAAGCTTGTCCACTCATATCATAACGGGGAATAGGATAAACAAAAGTAAAATAGGAACGACATATGTGCTGACATGCTTTATAAGCAGGAAAGTAAAATCTCATCTGGTCACACTGGGGATGCATTTTAATGGAAAGAGAAAATGGAATCTGGCCAAAGTTTATCCAGTTATGATCCGGACACGAAACGCATGTGAATACAAGGTGTAAACAGGCTCATAATGTATGCAGAGAAAACATCTCAGAAAACATATATGCTGTACACAAAAGGTCAGTAAGCAGCAGATGGTTTCCTGTATAGTTGCAGTAATTGCTGATGCTTGACCCAGCACCACAGGGAAGCAAGCTGCTGATCACTTAGATCACTAGACCCTCATACAAGAGCCTTTCAACTCCTGGTGCTGCTAAGATACAGTGCTAAGATACCAGTCAAGGTAAGCTGCAATGCATTGACAAGCTAATCTGTCTAGCACAGTGGAGAAGCAAGGGGGATCTGGTGCTGATGCATGACTGCACAAGAGACATATCTGTGATCACACCGAGGCTGCTGGCACTCTCTAATACAGAACAACCTGGAATGAATAATTCTGACTCATTCATCAAACATCAGGAGAAAGATGTCTGAAACAGTGGCAGTGGAATGTATCTTCATATTCAAAATGACTTTTATGTGTGCATCAGATTCTCTTTATTTATCTATGATATTTTCATATTCAGTTTTTGAATTTTCCATTTACACTTGACAGCATACACATACAGAGCCACTTTCAAAAAGGTTCTATTTAGAACCATACACAACACATCCTCCATCAATCTGAAGAACAATTTCACCATGCAAGGAACCTTTTAAGGAAGAAATGGTTCTATACAGAATTCATGGTTCTAAACAGAACCATTGCATTTAATAAAGAACCCCTAAAGAACCACTTTTTTTTAAAATGTGTAGCATCAGTTGCCCTCAAACCCAAGCATGTTCCACCTAATACAGGATCGCTCAAATACCGACCAGAGAGATAATATTACATCAGTCAGCTGCCCTGTATCGTGCCTCATTCAAAAAGCAGTCCAGGCTGAAACACTCCTTATAACTTCAGTGTGAATGGGCGGAGCTAAACTGCTGTAGGCTGAATATGCAGTTATACAGATGTATGCAAAAGTTTAAAGACACCCGAGCAAATTACATGTTTTGTTAATTTAAAAAAATAAGTTAACACCTCTGCTACGGCAGGTGTGTCCAAAGTCCAGCCTCAGGGCCAATTGCAGTCTTCGGATTTCAGGTTATAATTGGCCCTTTGCTTCTGTTTGACAGTGTGTTACAAGTGACCCGCCAGCCAATATACTGAAGTTTTTCCTTTCACCTGATGGTGGCAGCACTACCGTAAAATTACAGCGTAATGCACCACACTGTGGTAACAAAGTTAGCTAAAGTTTAAGAGCCTTTATTCTCTGACTAGTCCTGCAGTTTAATTTACTGAATGATATTTAGTCAAGACTACAGCCGTAAAACACAAACTGAATATTGAAAACTGGCGATTTTGGCAAGATGGAAATTTGAACTTTTTCGTTGAGAGCCACAGCAAATGCGTGTGCCCCATATCTCAAAAGACTGTAGTGAATTCAATATCAGTAGATATTACAACAGATATTCTGGAGAGGGCAGAGAAACTAAAGCAACGGCAAGCTACCCGGGTCTCACAGCAACAACTCCTTATCAGAGCAAATTCAGGAGATCAGTAAATATTAACCATTAAAGGTTGAACAAAAACTTTGATATTTAGGCTGTTTATTCCGCTCTTCTTGTTTCATAAAATTTTTTCTAAACGCGGTTGCTGCATTTATTTGATACGTATAGAACGTTATCTAACAAAACTGAAAAATGTATACCCTTTTTTTTAGTTTGTCTAACAAAGTATATTTTTAACAAGTAAACACTTGAATAGAAATATACTCAACACATTAGACAAGTTGTATTGTTCCTCTTAAACAATTTAATTATCCGTCATGAGCGCTTACTGATCCAAACTGCTTTGAGCAATTCAACGATAAAAGAAGCCTCAGGCATCTTTTATACAGTGATAGGAAACACAGTAGCACACAGAAAGCTCCTATGCACTGATATTTTGAAAACCTTTGTGAATCATATGTCGGCCCTCAGACATTTTGACCTGGTACGATTTGACCCTCTTTGAAAAAAGTTTGGACACCCCTACTCTATAGAGAACAAACTCAAATATGGCACTTTTATGCTAATTTAAGTGCAAAATTTCTATTTATTTGCAGAGTTTAACATTTTGGGGGAAAAAGCATAACATAGATAATGTGCCATAACTTTTGCACAGGCCACATTTTATGTTATTTTTTCCCTGATATGTCCACTTCAGCTGATAAACAGTCATTGTGAAGCATGTTCTCTGTAAAGGATGTGAACTTATTTTCCCTTAGATAATCAACAAAACATGTTATTTGACTGGGGCACTCTTTTGTGTACGACTGTATGTAAATAGCATGTTTTCTGTGACATCACAAAAACGGTGAACTCAGAATGAGCTGTTCTTGGACTGTATGACTGAGGAGTGAAGCTTTAACACATTCTGAAGCTTTAACACTGTTTATATTACATCGAACTCTTTTAATAAAAGAAAAATGGTAAATTAGTTTTTTCAGACATGGGCCCTTTAAGTAGCACACCTCATGCAAATTATTATATTAATCTCACAAAATAATGCAGCTAAGCTATAAACAATACAAAAACAGACTGAAGATTTTTTGATACTGTATTAAAATTGTTACACACTTAATAGTGATTGTAGTGTTTCTACACAAGACATTTTCACAGGTAAATCTACCATTCATTCAATATTTTCTTTAATAAACAGGCCATTAAATATATTCTTTCCTAAAATAACACTATTACACTGAGAGTCTGAGGCATCCTGTCATACTAAATAAAACAGATGCACTGAATTACAACATCCAGCAGCACACAAGTAACAGGCAATTGGATTTTGTTTTAGATAACCTATGACTGACATCTTACATCAGTCACTGGTTTGCAGTGATTAATTTTAAAGTTTCTGTTTAATGCTTAGGCTCACCTCATTTCTTTATTTAAAATAACCACAAAAACACATCACTATTGCTGAGGGTTCCCCTTTCTTCAATCTCGGTTCCTCTCAAGGTTTCTTCCTCTTGCTCTTAGGAGGTTTTTCCTCGGGCTTGAGTTTCTGTAACACTCTTGTAAAAAGGGCTTTATCAATACATTTTAAAATGATTTGCATCGGAGAGCGTTTCGATGTAAAATGTATAGGGAACAGTCAAATTTGATTACTCACTAAGCAAACAATTTAAGTTCTATAATTCAAAAAACGAAACAATATTCTTGGCCTGGACTGCAAGAATGTTGCCTGTCAGCACTGGTTACGGTGATGTTGGGGTTAACTCAGTGTGCGGTGCAAGTGATTGTACGACCAAAAATAGGTCAAGCAGAGATTGCTGGGGTTCACTTTGACAGCTAGGCAATGAGATTAGCTCTGAGACATATAATCATCTGATAACACATTCATAACAAGCTCTGTTTCTGTTGTAGGCCACATGCTGTCTAAAGGATGATTCACCCATTACCTTCTGCTTGGTAGTAACACTTGCAGAGGAAAACGTAGCACAAGACCAATGAGGTCAATTCACTGTTAGCAAACTGTGTTGCATACGTTAGAGTGAGACAACTGTAGTTATTCAAATAATAAATCCCATTGATTAAATCTCATTCCCCAAAGCAAAATTCAGGATGTACTAGTTCTCTCTTCTAATACACTCTATATCTCTATATCTATGTCCTTCCTGCAGTGATATGACCACATTACTCTGTGATCTGGAATGCGGTTTGGTGATTTTATCACATTTTTCTTAATTTTCCTGATCCTGTCCTTGGGCCACAGTGACCGTTCACACAGCACACACCAAAACGGGTTGTATACAGAGTCTGGCTGCCTGCAGTTCAGCATAAACAGTGGTATAACTCAGCAGCAACATCAGCACTTGGGACTGTGCTCTCTGCCTCCAACACATCACTCACTCTAGCCTCTGGGGTCATCACAGTTTAGCTGTGGGGGTCTCTCTTGCTCTTTGAAATAAAACAAAACACACAAAAGCTTTGGTGCATTAACTCCATTCCTGTTTCTTTGGAAACTGAGGCTAAATGAATTCAACACAGTTCTCTTACAACTGACTGTGAGAATCACATTAATTTGATGGAGATGAATGGTCACTGCATTCTTGGTACATTATTATTATTATTATTATTATTATTATTATTACGCTTGGGACTGGGACATAAATGACTCAATGTGACACTAACACTATGGAACACAATGGAACAAGCATGCCATTTTCATGGAAATACATTTCTCTCAAACACTGTTTGAAAGATAAATCTCTATTCAGGACTGTGACTCAACAGTTTTAATTCTTTTCCTCTCTTGACACCTTGATAATCACCTACACCGTTAACCATCTCTTGGCCACCAACGTTAACGTGTCCGCCAATGTCACAGTCACTAACCTTTAAGTCAACTCAACTGCAAGAAAAAACGCTCGTTTTTCTTTTCAATGAAACAAAGTGTCGTTTTTCCTCGTGTTCCCATCTCCCCCCATGTACAGCCACATGACTGTGGCCAGCTGCCGTCTCCTTCCACAGTTCAAGTTCACCCAGACAGCTGCGTGTTCAGCCTTACCTATGCAGAGCTGCACGACATAGGCGTAGTAAGACCACGCCACGATGAGCCAGATGAACAGCACCGGGATCCAGTACAAAACTCTCCGGCAGTCCCTCTTGATGTTACGCGAGCCCGACGGCGCCATGTTCTAGCCTGTCTGCTGACCAGAACGTGGCCAAAACAAACAACAACAACAAAAAAAACAGCCAAGCTCGCTCCAGCCTGTCAGAGCATGGATGGCGGCGAGGTGTGCTGAGTGCGCCGGGGAGACGCTGCCCCGTGCCCCATGGCCAGCAGCGCTCCCTCGCCCTGATCCGTCCTGTTTGTGGTGCAGCGTGGTAGCCCCGCCCCTTCTCACCAGGTTGCCATGACGCTCATTAAGCCTGGCGTACGCACTCCAGCCCACAGCCACGGCCACTACACAGCAGCTGAGAGTGCTTACCGGTGTAAGTGTTCTCACTTCAGTGAAATAACGACTCAAACAGAAGGAAAGTCTTACTTCCATGAAATAATGGCTCGTGTCGAAGTAAAAGTTGCTACCAAAAGCAAAAAGGAGTGAAAAACTCGTCAAATATGTTCTCTAACCGCAGTGAAACAACTTCTTTGCAGCATACATAGCTAGTTAGCTAGGTTACAGTAGTTAGCTAACCTATCTATTAGCGCGAGTTTGCTAAGCTAGCTAATATTCTCCTCTGTTTTGGATTCATTTGGCCTTGAACGACGCGTTAAAGCTCAAAACTGAGAGCCCAGGTGCTGTCACTAACAGAATATAATTCAGTTAAACACAGAAAAAACGAATTATGAAATAAACTGAAGGACTGGAACTGTGGAAACAGATTCCTTTCCTCACAAATATTTGAATAGAAGTGCAGGTACTACGCCTGTGTGAAAATACAACTCAAAATACATGGAAGTAAATAAAAGGATAAGCTATCCATCACTTTCCTACAGACAAACTAAACTTAACAGTTACCCTGGGACACGTTTCCATTATAGATGTATAAGAAAGTTTAGAAAAGTACAATTTTGATAGGCTTATATATTTCTGACCCTTTTTTCTTGCATTTTATGTTTTTCCCTTGAGGTCCACTTATCACGAGTTTGGTTTAATGTACCAAAATCAGTCATAATACATTTTTATATGACCATTTTCCAGCCTTTCTTTATCCCCTCAAATAAACTGACTTCTGTTCTGACTGGCTGTGTTGTATTGTGCCTCATTCAAAAAGCAGTCCAGGCTAAAACACTCCTTTTAACTTCAGCGTGGATGGGCCAAACTGCTGAGGGCTGGTTAGATCGATCTATGTAAATATGTTGGGTTTTGTGACAGCCTAGAAACAGTGAATTTAAAACAGGTTGTTTTAGCAGCTTAGTTAAATGGGCTGTCTGGGCTGGAGAATGAATGGTACGTTCTAAAACAGTATTTACATACTACACCGAACTCTTTCATAAAACCTTTTACTTATACTTAAGTATTGTTTTGAGGAAAGAAAACAGCTTTTTATCCCCGACATTCGGAAACTAATTAGTTGACCACGCCCAATTTCACTTCACTTCAGCGGTCAATACATATTTCATAACCTAAAACGCTACAATCCAAATCAAAGTAACTAATACTCGAGTGGGTTGACACTTTTACAACGACACTGTTTAATAGCTTTAAAACAGAGCACAGTTTTACTTTTACTGTACCCACCTCTGCACAGGGCCTTACTGAAAACGATGAATGACAAGCATCATATTGTTGGAGGCTACAATCCAGGAAAAAGACACGGTGAGTCGGTTCTCTAATACTTTATTATGAATACAGTCTGAAGTAGTTCATCAGCTCACTTAAGACTGAATTAGCTGGAAATACTGTAATGTAATTTAACTTAATTTTTACAATGATCATCATAAATAATACATACAGTAGTGTTACCAAAACACTAGAAGAAAAATGTGGCCTTTAATGAGGTTACACTTTACCATGGACAACAGTCCTAAGACAACAGGCCTAAGTGCATGTAATGCCTTGCACCAGTGATTCAATATTATGTACACAGACACAACCAAATCTGTCTATTAATGCCTTCCTGTTGGCTTTTATACATTTATTAAATATTATACTACTCCATTTTCCATTTCTGAAGACAAATCTTAGTAGTTTTATAGGCTTTTGTCTTTTTAAAATAAGATTCAAAATAATTATGTAACTATGGGTTTAACATTTGAGAGGAACAACAAGAACACGTACAGCACACTGAGAGCTATCTGATAGATCATTATTGGGCTCTATGTTGTTAGGCCTTCTGTAAGCTGATCTGGGCAATGGAGAGGCTCAGAGAAAGTATGTTAGAAATGTGCTCCCTGTATGTAGAGAAGATTATGCGACTTAGATCTCGTAGGGAAGCAAATAGAACACATAGTGCAACCAAAGTGGCAGCAAGGTAGACACAAAAGCAAGCTTTGTCACAATTTTAATTGACAAGATAAATATGAGTACTACGAACTATTATTATACAAGCTAAATAAAACCAGTCATAAATATGTCATTTGAAATCAATAAATATTTTTTTTATGAACTGTCTAACATTTTTAACTCTATAGTGTAGACCATTGTTAGATTTACTAATAGATCAATACATCTACTGCAGCACGGCAACTCCACAAAACAGTTTAAAATGATTGTTTAAGTATCAGTAGGTCCCGGCACGATGTAATAAGACTAGATAGAAAAATACAGTGTAAGACTTCTATGAATGTACAGTTGTGTGCAAAGGTTTGGGCACCCCTGGTCAAATGATGTTGTGTTGATTTTTTTAAGTGAAAATAAGTTAACACATCCTCTACAGAGAACATTCATCTGCACGCTTTAATGCACACTTACCTTTTTATTACACAATTTTATTTTTTCCAATATGTTAAACTCAGCAAAGAAACTGAAATTGTGCACTAAAAATGGCAGAAAAATGTTATACTTAAGTTTTCCCTGTGGACAACTGGTTAACTTATTTTCCTTTCCAACAGAACATGCCATTTGACCAGCGGTGTTCAAATTTTCCCATACAATTGTCCCTTTAATTAAGGAGTACAGCATTAGCACTAGAGCAGAATCCTGAATAATGCTGAATATGCTGACATTTATAAATCATTTGCATTTACAAAATATTTCAAAATGTTATTTAATATTTCACTTGCTACTGTTTTTTTCCCAGTGTTTTATCTTTGCACTTCGTGGTTTTTAAAGGGCTGCGCGCACTGAAAATGTCACACTGAAAAGGTATTAGGCATAAGTCTTGGAGGTAGTAGGTTAATCTCATTCAATTGCTTACAGATTTTGACACATACATCAGTAACTTCATCTCATGGGGTGCTCTGAAAACTCATTTCAGTCCAGTGCAGTCTTCAGTATTATGGCTATGGTTCTAAGTTAATAAAAAGATATAAGAAAGAGTAACATATTGTAGTAAATTGTACAAAGAAGAGGAAAATTACATTTAAATCTAGAAATATCACTATAAATATTATATAAATCTTAGAAATCAGTAACTAATGCTAATTGCAAAGATTAGAATTACACCATGCTACGAAATACTATAGTTCATATCCTACATATGGGTCTTTCTACGGTTGTGGTGGTAAATGGTGTCACACTATGGAAATGAAGATGGCTGCATGATCTTTGTTCTATTCTTAAATTAACCAATAAAACAAAACCAACAAAGGTGTGATAATTCTATTATACCTATGATATTTTTTTTTTAAAAAAGTGATTTTATTTATGTTGGGCATGAAAAACAGCACATTGTCATAGCACTGATTTCCCAAGTATTACTTTTATGTGCATTATCAGTTTAAAATAGCTATTTTCTACATGATGTGTTGTTATGGGAACATTAATTGTCATCTTAAAAAAGAACAGGAAGGTATTTTAAATTGCTTCTTGTATGAATATCTCAAAGGAGAAAAGCCTAAGTCAGAGTAGTCTACAGTTAGTAAAATCTTCAATAAATTTGACCTAAATCCTGACAGCTTCATGTGCCACAGAGAGATGTCAGTGGTGTTACTGCTTAAATATTAAATGATTTAAAATTACAATAAGATAATAACATCAATGCAATATTTGTAATTTTCTACATGCAGTGTGACCATGAAACTAAAGTGGAAGTGTATTTTAGAAAAGCTCAGATTTTAGTAATAATGTCAGAGGTGTACTCAATGTAACAGACTACATTTTACACTTGATATATTCAGTATTCTTAATCCATTTGCTGCCGCAATTGCAGAATGACCCATATAAGTGAATGTAGATTATGTTAGGGTAGTAACTAGTTCCTTCCTTGAAGCTTAACAGTTGCATTGTTAATCCATGATATGACAGTTCCTCCTCATGTTCGCAGAGTTCGCCTTGTATCTAGTGTCTGTTGATCATCCAGCGCATTAATATTACATAGCAATATGATACTGAGCCTTTAGTCAAATTGCATTGCGTCAGAGTTGTGTTGTGGGTTCTGTGGTTAACAATCCTTCGATTAAAAAATTCCCCAGAGCAAAGTCATACTACCACACCTTGCGATTTTGTAAAGAGTGAAAACAAAATCATCTAAATCCACTGAGAAGAGCAAAAACATGGATAGTAAGTAGGACAGTTACAGTTTTAGTAGAGAGCTAAGCTTTACAAAGTCCTACGAAGTCCCAGAGTATTGATCTATTTTCCAGACAGCTCTTTCTTCATACAGGCCTTAAAGGAGGTGAACCTCTCTTCACCTCGATATCCCTAGGTTTTGGGAGGAAATGGTACACAAAAAAAGAGAAAGTCAGTCACTTAATGTGTAAAGGAATGCTATAATATTATCAAATAAAAAAGGCTGCAAGTAAAAGTTCTTTTGTTGGCAGTGTGAACAATAGTCCTGAGGACACTGAGTACATCCTAGTATAACAAAAATACCCAAAATATTTCAGTCATGTCCACTAGATGGCACAAAATCTTCAGGCAAATGTTTTCCAGCACCACAGGAAACTGTCTATGTACACATGTACAAAAAACAAGGTACTGAATGAGCCAAGGTAGCACCTTACTATACTGAATACTGATCTAAATACTGATTGAATGTGCAGTATAACAGCAAAACCCATGTTCTGATATAGAAAGCAAGTAACTTCTACACTCACTGGCTCTTTGGACTTTTAAGAATGAACTAAATGAACTTGTCAATAAATGTGATTAATGTATGACACTTTACCCTCTCAGTCTACATCACATCATGCTACCGTTCAAAGCCTTGAACTAGACTTTCAGGTTGTTTGATTTCCTCCAGCTAAATCCCAGCAGTCCCCAGACTGATTGGGGGTTCATAACCCTGCTGTCACCTGTGGTGCTATAAAAGGAAGATAAACGGCGTTTACACAACCCCAGCGGACCCTCCGGTCTCATTTACCCAGGAGCCACGATGCAGGCGGTCCTTCATGATGCCAATGAATTCCTTGTAGCTCAGCTGGTCATCGTGGTCCACATCGAAGATCTTAAAGACGATGTTAACAAGGTGTTGAGAGAGTTTTAGGCCTGTGGCCACGTAAACAGCACGAGCAAACTCATCTGCAAGTCAAATAAGATTGACAGTGAATACGTTTGTCTGTGAAGCATGGCAGCGGATCATCTGCTCAAATGCTAGGGATTAGTGGGATAGGAAACGCACACACAGAATTAGTGCTGTTGGATTTTTATGTTGTAATAGGTTTTACCTTGTCCAATTGATCGACTTGCAAAGTTGTACATTTGCATGGCAATGGCAAAATCCTCCAAGTTGTTGAGGAACTGAAAGAAGGACCTGAATTCCTCAAAAGTGATTCCCTATATAACATAACAACAACAAAAAAACATCAGAACCTCTTTGTGGCATTTAAAAAAATTGCTTATACATCAATAAGGATGTGCCCTTTTAATGCTAAGTTTATGAAGGCCTTTTTAGAAAGACATTAAGACAAAATGTCCTGTGTCACCCAGAGACTTTGTAATATGAAACCTGCCATCATGGGAGAAAACGCATAAAAATAATGGCTCTCCAAAAGATGTCCCAACACTGAGAATAAATGCCAAGCTCTGAGCAACGTATTATCTGAACCAGACTCAATCAGAGGAAACCTTAAGTGTCTAAGAGACCTTGAAGCCATCAGACAGATAACAGATCTAAAGGCAGAAAATAACTTGGTCAAACAGTCAAAGTGTACCCGCCCGAGTCCTGATACAGACCTGTGACTTCGAGCTGTCAGCACCACGGGATTGGAAGCTTTAAGAAAGGGTCAAGCTGTTTGCAGATTTTTTCTAAAGAAGATTAACCTGATTCTCACATAAACAAAAACAAAAGGAATCTGTCCAAAACATCTCAAGGCTAGCAGATTACCAGCCCAGAAGTCTTTTGAATCTCACTCATCCATTTTCAGGCACTAGAGCCCTTTCTTTCTGTGAGGCCCTTCTTGTGTCTCTTTTACAAATGAACTAATGAGTAACATGTGACGCTTTGCTGTTGTTACAAGGTGAACTGCATAAAAAAATCTCTTAACTCAATGATTAGGCACACTTCATCATCAATGGCCATCTACCAACAGCTACCTCAGAAGGTGAAAAAACTTATAACCTTTTAATACATGGGTCAGTTTGCATAGAGAATAAACTAAAACACAAGGATTCTCTTTTGTAGACCCTTTGCATCATGTTAAGATTCCGTTGCTTTTACATTGATTTTTGCTGCACAGTTTGAGTACACTTATTAGCAGTAATGAGAAAATTAAAAATGCCAGACTAAGACCTCTGGAGGGGGCAGCGCTATGCAATATAATTGGAACTTAGGCAACATTTATTACTTCCTAAAACAAGAATATGTAAAATCAATTTTGCTTGTCCTCGATCAGCACTCTTATGCTGAGACGTTTGATTAATACTGGCAGTTTCATTCATGTCATTATACACTGAAATTTCCATGTGATCATTAATCATTCTTCATATTATTTATTTGTGTTCATATATATTTAAGCATAGCAATGGTTCTCAAACTGGGGGCTGGGAGGGGTGTGCTAAGGGGTCTGCAGAAGTACTTACTATCCATAAAGGGGGCTTTACACTAAAAAGTTTGAAAACTGCTACTTTAAAGAACCATATATAACAGGTTTTCCATCATAGAGAAGATCCATTTAACCATGCAAAGAACCCAACATTGCCATTCATGAGTTTACTTAAGAGCCCTTGACCCTTTTTTTAAGGACAACTTTATGTTTAAACAGGTGGTTCTCCAAGGCTTTTTTATTAAAGACAGTGGTTATATACATAACTGTGAATATTCAAAGAACTATTTGAAATCTTAATTTGAACTATTCAAATATCTGTTGCCTGGTTAAATGGTTCTTTTTATAATGGAATCGTATATAGTTCTTCAAAGAACCGTTTTAAAAATGGTTCTGTATAGCACAGAAAGGTTTTCATTAATGCCATGAGTCAAAGAACGAACCCTTTTTGCTAACTCATCTGCATGTAAATTGCTGTCTTGTGTCTTTGATGTAGATTGTGTTTGAAAGATTGTTAGACCGTATGGCCATTTATCCAGTTTGCTAATACTGGCACATTTACCATTTGATTGATTAATGTGCATATGAACAAAAAACAATTGAATAAACAAACAAACAAAAATACATTTACTTGAGCTGTATTACTGGTTTACAAAGAGAGGCAAATGCAAAGAAGGGACAAAGACAAAAAAGGAGAAATATACTACAGGCATACTAGAATATGGTTGTAAAGTAATCCAACACCAGGTATGGCAACTCTGACAATGCTTTTAAAAAACCAGGCTTCGCTCTGTGCTGCAGTAGGGGCATGCTCGCACATACGGGCCTGTCAAAGATCAGTGAGCTGTGGCGAGCAGAGTCACGTCAGTAGATAGGAGGAGAAAAGCAAAAGAGCAAAAGCTTTACCTTCTCATCTGGTATGCTCTGACGCACATTCTCCAAGTAGCTGCTGATGTTGTCTACAGTTGTATAGCGCAGTAGGATGCGAGCAAAGTCCTCCTCGCTGATGGTGGTCATGCCCTTAGAATAGGCCAGGAACTCAATCTCCAGCACTTCTGTCTGCAGGTTGTCCATGAATCTATCAACAGAGCAAGACACAGATGCGGTGCTGAGAGGACATGGTACCATGAACTGAGTAAAGGACTAGACGGGCTCTACAGGCAGTAATAATTATAGTAAGTTCTAAATTAAGCACAGAGAGGAGAGGCACTAATTACCAACATAAACAACACGCTTTTCTAGGCAAATCGTAGATATCGTCCATACTTAGAAAATACTGATAATACAGCATGATTCATTACATAGAGAGCATACTTAGTCTTGTATAATTGGATGTAGTGCAGTGCAGTGTGAAAAACATTGAATACAAATCATTATATCCATATTTTTGTCCATTTAGTTTTTGATGGCAGTTTTAAAATGTGGCACTATTGGTCCATTTTGTCTGTGTCAAAATATTGTGATACATACCGTGTACTGTGAAAATGTCTTTATCATGATATCGTGATTTGATATTTTTGCTGTATCACCCACCCTTAAATATAACCATGCCTTTGGCTCACAGGCTTGTTTTGTATGAAAGCCTGCTTCCGCAAGACTTACCCTGTGTTCATCCAGTTCAAACTGTGACTAATTAGATCAAACCTATTTCCTAACGAGTTAGTAAGTAATGACAAAATAAGAAAAAAAGTTTGTGTAAGTAAGTATGTGATTATTTCAACAGAAATAATTCTTTTGAGGAAAAATAAGGCATTTAAGACAAAATCTGAACATTTATTTTGACATAATACATAATTTCTAGAAAAGTAGGAATTATTATCAATTATTACTTATTTATTTCTGTTGTAAAACATGTTTAACACTGGGTTAAACTCTTCCTAGAGTTTCATCTTTATTAATATTTTTGAATATTGATCTAATTGGTCTTTTACCTGTAAAAGTCTTCAAAATTCAGCTCGGTTTTTCCTTTCTTTCCAAAGAAGTGCACCAACAGAGTTGTGTCCGTGATATTCTCTTGTACTTGCTGTGAAGGCAAAAGCAAATGGTGAAAAACATAGACATCACTCAGTATCGACAACAAACTGAGAGCAAAATCTGTAACAGAATAAACCATCAAACATTTTCCAAAATGGCTTATCCACAGGATGAGTACACAGACACAGAAATGAGGCAAAATTGTTTAGCACAGACTAATGTTTTGTGATGAAGGCCTATTGATTCTGTTTTGTGGTATTTTATGAGGTGAAAATCAGTGTCTCACATCCTTAAACAGAAGCCTTGCTTTGGACTTTTAGATTGATTCAGATTGTCTTGTTGCGTGTCAAGAGCTAGTCATTTGAGTGGGTTAAGTCAAACATTTAAACGTTATTTGAGTAGTCTGTTGTGTAACAGCAAGGACAGAATAAGGAGCAGTCACCCATGCCAGACAGCAAACAGGTTACTCATGCAAAAAATCTGCATAGTCATGTCAGTGTCCTTTCCTTTCAGGCTGCATCTGTTGCTGATGATGATGAGGCTTTTTCCTTGGGGAACAGGCTCTTACAGTACTTTATCTAGCCCCATCGCTGCAAAATATGCCAAAAACAAAACAGATATACTGTGGCTGCATAATAGCTGTATGCACACTGACCTTTTTAGCCTCTAGATTGCTTTGGATTGACCTATCATGTTCCTCCCACAAGCATGTTCTCTTGTAATGTTGCCAAAAATCCCATTCAAACTATTGAGCATCGGCCGGAGATCAAATAACGTTTAGTTTACAGTTAAAGCTACTGAGCTGGATGGTATTGTAGCTAACTGAAATTATGCAAATTGGAAAGAATAAATTTGCCTCTATGCTTTGACAAAATCTGAGCTTTTCAGTGGGTTGAATGGGATTTTTGCCACAACCTATAAGGCTAGCTTTACACAGTGAACTTTTTCCTGCATTAAAATGAATTTCACTTAAACTGCATAATGTAAAGCATCCTGCAACTCATTTGAAACTCAGCTACAATAGTTGCAACCGTCTCAAGCTTATGGAACAGATTTCATGAAACAGCTACTCAAAATGCTAAAAGCTCATCAATGTGATCAAATGACATACTTTGAAACCACTGATTTCACCAGATTAATGTAGAATGAAATAAAAGAGAAGATGGCTTATTGGTCAGTTGAAAAAGAGACCCCCACTGACTGACACAAGTTTGGCAGTTTTTCATTTTGTTAAGTTTCTTGAGCCATGACAGTGATTTGCTAACAGCTGTTAAACAGCTGCTTTTGCCAGTATATATACTGATGTTGACATAATTTACATAGCTAGCTGACTTTCTCCTCTCTTGATGTCCCCTAATTCTACACAGAGCTCAGATTCATTTGGGATCCAAATGATGAAAATTATTACTGGTGGGGAGAGCAAGATGCGGTCGCAGTGATCTCGCAGTGCTTGTAGTACAGAATGAGCGAAACATTAAGTAGAAAATAACGGTACTGGCTACTTAAATGTTAATTTTCAAAAATATAACATACAACAGATGAAAAAAAGTCAAGTGTACAGTAAAGAACCATAGATAGACATGTAAAAATATAGAGAAAAAAAGAACGGCAGTGACAGCTGGAAATAAGGAAAGATAATATAATAATAGGAAGATAATAAAAATGCTGCAAATATATCAATTACATCTACTAATGAGTGTATATAATGAGAAAGACACGGTGTATCATAACATGCAAATAATGATCTGTACATTTGGCTAACTAGTGGAGTGATGGAAAGTGTTGCAAGCAGCTTTGTTTTTGAACTGCTTTGTGTAACTGCCAAGTTGCATGGAAATTATGTTGCAGGTGACTCACAGTATGCAACTAGTTGCATAAAAGTTTCACTGTGTAAAAGCAGCCTAAAGCTTGTCTAACCTTGTAACAGTAGCCACAAAAGAGCGCATTCGTGACTTAAGCATGGGTATATCGATTGGTTGTGGAGCAAATTGTTTCTGAAGCACAATTACAGTATTTCTTTGCTGCATACTGAGAAACTGAGATTCTTTGTTCTATCCAGATAGTGACAAAGCTCAACAAATAGGCTACACTGGCATCTATAAATGACATATAGGGGGAAAGACATACAACAACTTCACTTCACAATGGACAGAAAGGAACTGGAGCTATTCACAAATGGCATACTGAAATCATAAGACTGATGAGACAGAGCGTATTTGTACCTCCACCAGATCTGAAAAGAGAACTATTCTCGCACCCTGCTTCAGCACATCCCAGAAGCTTCTGGGTTCAAACTGAGGCTGTTCTTTTTTAAGGACCTGCATATCAGAAGTATAGCTGTTACAGGCTTTACAACAGGCATTAAAAAGACAGGAAAATGCACACAGACATGCAGTCTACAACATAATATAGATAATATCAAAAAATATTAGAGTTAGAAAGAGAGCAATGTTGCAAACATCTTAAAGGAATACTGAAACACTTGCCCATTGGCTTCTATTACAAGTGAATTTTGAGACTGTTCTTTATGAAATACAAGAACATTATTGTCTCTGGTAATCAAATGTATGTTGCAGACAGAACTTAGGTTAAAAAATGCTTAAGTATTCCTTTAATATTGACTGTTTTCCTCAGGTGGAGAGTATGATAGGCCATAATAGGACAATCATCATGTAAAACATGCAGGTCACTCTGAACAAATGCTAAATGAGACAATAACTGAGTCAGCCACTGAATTTATGGCAAATTAAACATCTGTTGAGAGATCATAAACATTTGTAAGGAGACCGTAAACTTGGATTCATTAGTTATTATAAGAGCAGGTCACGGGTTATAAAGGCAGTACTTGTTTCGGGTAATCTTGAGCGCTCTCTACACTATACAGCTCAACTCAGTCCTGTCTCCACTTACATATTCCACAATACTTTGAAAAAATAGTGGTGGCTGAATACTGAATATACTGTGCTAAATGTATTCAGCAGCGTATTCCATTACAATACATAAAAAGTACTGTATTCAGGATACATTTACTATATATGTTGCATACATAGCAAAAACTGTGCTGTTCCTTGCTGTTTGGCAGTGTACTTCATTTAATTCTTTTGTTGATATTAATTTAACAACAAATTCACTTTAAAAAGGCAATTTACATGAAGTTACAAAATTGGCTCTCATTGCCTGCTTCAGTCCACTGCCGCTCCCTTAACCTACTACCATCTCCTGAACTAAGTAAACCCTTCACCATATTCCATAACAAAATCTTTAGCTAAGTGATGTGATTTCAGTTAACAGCATGAATGTAACTTGCTATGAAACTGGTCCAGTACAACACTGATGCTAAGCTTATCACTCATGAACATGTCCATTTCAGAGTAGATTGTTCAGTTCAATCATCTCTCAAAGGATTTAGTAACACTGAGAGTAATTACTGGCTCATCACGTTAATTTATCAGTCTACTCAGGCTTTAGCAGAGCTCAGTAACACTGAGATTAATAACTGATCATCATATTGATTTATCAGCTTTAGCAGTAACTTTAGTGTTTGTTGCTGTTTTTTTAGTTCTTCTTTAGAGTATGTCTTTACACTCTATACACTGGTTTTAAAATAGTTACAAAACAAGCAATGATGGTGTTTCTTTGAAAAATGGTATATATGTTTAAATTTAGCAAGAAAGCATTCTAACAATATTCTTCCAAAAAATGAACAGTAACTGCATTCTGAATACTGCCTTTACAAAATGCAACAATACAGATACTTCTGTATTCTGAATACATATCCTGAAAACTTACCTACAAATTTACAAAAAGCTCATTTTGGTCATAGTGGCAACATCATAGGAACCCTGTACTCATCAGGGAATTAACATGCTACTTTAAAGCTTTTAAAAAGAACCTAGTTTTAAATTGGTCCTCAAAAGGTCTGTATTTGTTTGATCCTCTCCTAACTATTATTTGCCGTTTGCATTGTTGTGTGATGGGTCCTCATGACTTAACGTTACTGAAATCAAAGGCCTCATGTCTTTTTAACTGTCAACTAATAAAGAACAATTTATCCAAAATGATCTAAAGAACCTTCATTTCAAACAGTACTCTGCAAAAAGCAGCAACATCCTTTTATCAACTTCCAGTCAAAACAGCTATTAAGCACAAGTTATTCATTTTCCAGTGTCAGAAAAAAAGCAGCGAGCACAATTAACAGAAAAATAACGCAGTGGGTAGTGCTGTCGCCTCAGCAAGAAGGGCCTGGGTTTAATTCCCTGACTGAGGTCCTCTCTGTGTGGAGTGTACATGAAAAGGAAAGAAGAAAATTTGCACTAGAACCCTGAAAATGGACATCAAATATGTGGAGCAAGGTTTTATGGAATGTTAAATTAGTATCAGGATTACTTGGATCATGAGAAGCAGAAAATACAACCAACTTCCAAGACTGAATTTTGGAGGTGTGGAAAAACTTCCCTGCACATTTCTTTGAAAAACTGAAAGCAAGTCTCCCAAAAAGAATAGAAGCTGTGTGGACCAGTGGACCCACTAAATGCTGCGGATAAAAGCGGCATTATATTTAATTGTTGGGACATGTATGCTCTTTAAACATACGTAAATGAACTTAATGGATGTTTTGACTGGAAAGTAAATAAATCAAGGGTGGTCTCTGACTTTTGCACAGTACTTTGTTGCATTTCTTGATGAATACACCAATACAAATGCTCCAAAATTATATGGAATAAAATCTCTTTAACTTACATTAAAAGTTAAGAATGTTTTTGCCTTCTCCTGTAAAGTTACCAATTTGGACATACTTGCTGACAATATATTTTTTGTTACATAACTTTTTTTCCAATCTTCTGTGCCCTGCAGGGATTTGGAAAGGTAACACACCTGATAAAACACTGTTCTTCTGTAGTGCTTTATAAGTCACCAAACAAAATGTAAGATTTATGACTAGGCGCACAGGTTCAGTCGGTGAGGCAACATACTTTCAAGGATCACTACAATGATCCATTGAAATGCTGCAAAAACCAGTGCCAAATGTCAATACTGTGCAAATACAGTCTCCTATCCTTGCATTGTAATCAATCGTAGGACTCACAGATTGCAATTAAGACCATGGTGGGTGGGATTGCAAGAGACAAGAAAAAAGCACCCCTGAACAAAACCCAAGCAAGTTTTAAAAAAGAAAAATCCCCAGCTTTGCTGTTCTCTGCTGGGACTGGCTCATTCTTCAAGTGTTAGCTGTGACTAGCACGCCACTCTTCATGGTCAGGCCATCACAAAAAAAGGTAATCTGAGCCCAAATACCACTTTTCAAGTAACTGTAAAAATAAAACATGGGGGTCCTGAAGGAATTGTCTGTCTTCAGGTGAAGGCCTTTTAAGTGAAATCTTTGAGACCATGCCTCAGCGAGCGCCACCTGACAGTAGACAAGTAACATAAATCATCTGTTCTCTTCTCCATGCAATTCGGCTGCACTGCCAGACAATGGAGACATGTTTCGCTTTGCATTCGGCCGAGATCCATTAGGGCTGCATTGTCCTGCCTTTCTGAGGCTGAGCCACGCATGAGGGTCACTTCATTTGACTTTATCCAAACATTACACACTAGATGGCAAAAGGACATTGCTCTGTGCCTGTCAGAGAAGCTCCATAATGTAGATCCAGAACCAGGGAGGTAGAATGCCTTTCAGCCAGAGAAAAGAAGCCAAACTGAGGTAAGGTATCCAGCTGACTAGCACTAATGATAGCTATCTGGCTTCCCTTTGCATTTAGCAAAAAAAACTAAAAATATAAAATGAAACATTTTAAAACTGGCCACCCCCAAAAAGTCGATCCAAAGCAGTTGTCGTTTTTTGGAAGTTCCTCCCACCTTCATGATACATCATCAGAAGGGAATTTGTCTTTAAACTGGAAAATCTCACTTTAGAGACTACTGGTTTACAGTTGGATACGATTAAGCGTGTGTACAACTGGTACATATTTCATTTTGGCCTAAGTGTCCCTCTAAAGACCCCTCCTTTGAAGGGTGTTTAGGGAACTAAAAGTGTTGGCATCACCCCGAAGAACCTTTTTTGGCACCTTAATTTTTAAGAGCAAAGTTACTTTAAAAAGCCAGCCTTTACCACTGTTTCCAGTACAAACATCATAGTAAAACATGGACATGCAATAATATTACGGACTGTCACGATATACACCACATACACTGACAGGCAGGCTAAGAATGCTAGTCAAAAACATGCTCTTAATGATTCTTAACCATATTAAAATACATACAGCATTGCTGACAGAACCTTGATATCCATACAGTTCCACACTCTTGAAGATGGCATATGGCGGTGGCATGCACAATACAGGAAAGAGAATGGCACACATTTCAGACATATTTTCTTGTGGTCAAGCCAGAAATGTAGTAATGCTGCAAGATGCTCCAAACAGGCCAGTTATCAGACTCCTCTCAATGTTAAACTTACATAAGTAGATGCAGTTATTCCCATTCATCCTATTCAAACTCTACATGTCTGACTTTACATTTCTGCTAAATGAACGCTTATTATTCTAAACGAGACAGTTATTCATCTCACTGAGGACTGTAAAGTGAATGTCAAGTGAATAGGAATGAATTAGATGGCTGATAGACACACTTAAATGCTTCTCTTACCAGTTGAGATGAGCTGTCAGAATCTCCTCCCCTTTCTTTTTTGTCATTTTTCTTACGAAATATTTCCTCCAGCTAAACGAGAAAAGTCATCATTTTGACTTTATGTATTCATGCGCTAGTATAGTCATAGACATAGACATAGTCGTTTGCAAAACTTTGGGCGCCTCCGGACATGTTTTGTTGATTTTCTAAATGAAAACAAAAGTACATATCCTCTACAGGGAACACATTTCTGCACATTCTAATGCACCATTATTGTTTATTATTTAACATATTGGGAAAAATTATGGCACATTTTATATTTTATGTCTTATTGTCTTGTTAAACTCAGAAAATAACTACAAATTGGATGGTAAAATTTGCAGACTATTCCCATATAAATGTATATTCCCTGCAGAGATTATGTTAACTTCTCAACAAAATGTTATTTTACCAGGGGTGTTGGAACATTTGCACACAACTGTGTTAAACAAACGGAAGGGGAAAAAAGCATACCACCATGAATTCCCTTTTATCCACCATTTCATTGCCATCCGCATCAAACATGTTGAAAGCTATTCTGAAGCCTGCATGAGGCTCTAGAAAATGATGAACAACAAAAGCTGAGATTCAGTGGGTAGAAAAGGAACACAGACATCTGAAAATCCATGCTGTTTATATAGAGTATATATACAGAATTTAAACCCTATTGCAAAACACAAAACATACAACCCGAGCATATACTCACTTGTCAAAATGCAAAGAAGAAAGAGATACTCTGTATATGAGATGATGCCTGAAAAACAGCACAGAATGCAGAGTTCTTGACAGTTGAAACAACCTTTGATCCTAAAACTTCCCCTTAAAAATCAAACAAACTATCATATGTCATTTAAAACTTGACATCTCTTCTTTTCCAATTGATAACATCTAAGGGGATTCCCTTCTTAACTCCTATTTGGTGTTCTTTCCACACAAACAGAGACGCTAAAAGTCAGGTAATCAGGCCGGACACAAACCCAAACAAAAGCAGCCCGAAGCGGCTGGCTCCTGGGCCAACTTCTGTTTGTTTTCCTAGGTGTAAAACATTCTCGAGTGAGCTGTCACTGATTGCGGATGCCTGATGTGGGGTTTGTGTTCTTCTTTCAGGCCTGCGAGTCCTTTTGTTGTGCGAAAAAGCGAGAAAAAGGAAGAGCAACTGTCAGGACAGGGGAGACTTAAGGAGAATTGTTGCAGCCACTGAAAGCATTCCCAGGCTTTTGTTTGCAGGCAAAGATAGTGACTCGAGCTCAGATAGTTCAGGGTGACTGCTCTGAGTGTTGTGGGAAAAGGACATCGGTATGCTTAGCGGAGAGGATAAAAGAAAACGATCTGTGCGAGCATGAGTAACTACATCTACGCCCTGTGCTCAAAGCAGATTTGGCAGACTTTTACAGATGTATTTAGAATCATATCTCTTTATGGAGACTCTTTGTAAGACATTTAAAGATGTATTTAGGATCATATCTCTTTATGGAGACTCTTTGTAAGATGTATCTAGAGTCATATCCCTTTATAGAAACTCTGGCCTTAAAAAAACAATGATTTGATTCCAGCCAATAAACTAGATAAACAATACATAAAAGGAGTAAGGCAACATTGGTTTAGGCCTAATCTGTTTGAGGCGGTAAATGGTTTTGCAGCCTTCCAGACAAGAAGTCACACACCTTCAGTCTTGCAGAAAGAAACCGAGCCCATATACTCAAGTAGATCCTGTCAGGAATACAAAGATCCACAGACAATTCACATAGAGTGTCAGTGTGAGAGCTGTAATCCAACGCCATTCTTAGTATTCATACTGTCCTCGGTGATGGGGGGCTGTCACTGGGGCAAGTCTCAACACTGCAGGGTTCAAACAGCTTTGCCTGTCATCTGAAGCAAAGCTTTGTTCAGAGATCAATCTAGTCTTTTTTGAAAAACCTAAGTGCACCTTCAGAATTTAACGGGTAAATTAAAAAACCCAGGTTCCAGCATTGGCACTCAGGAGGGGCCATAGAAGGCACACTACATAGACAACGCACAGCTGTGTGGCCTAATGTACACTGACAGACAAAATTGTGTTATTAGAACACAGTACTGTGCAAAAGTCAAAAAGCACCCTTCATTTATTTCATTTCCAGTCAAAATGGCCATTAAGAACAACTTCTTCATTTTTCACCATTAGAAAAAAAGCAGGAAACATATTTTTAGCAGAAAATACACAGAAGCCTCAAAAACCAAATACAATATCAACTTCAGCATTTAGTGTGTCTACACTTTGCCTTTATTACAGCTTCCATTCATTTTGGGAGACTTGCTTTCGGATTATTCAAAGAATTCTGGAGGGACATTTTTTCCATACCTCCAAAGTTCAATCTTAGAAGTTGTTTGCATTTTCTGTCTCTCACTATCCAAGTAATCCCAGGACAGTTTTGGACTCTGTGATGTTCAGTTCATTGTTCTGAGAGCACCAGCAGCTCAATTTTTGATTTGCAAATATTCTTCTTTTTTCCATTCTCAGTAAAGGCTTCTTGGCTACACATCCTTTTAGACTCATAGCGCTGGGTTGTCTTCTCACAGTGGAAGGATGGACAGAAACACCTGTGGATTTTTCAGATCTAAAGCAAGAGTGGAGCTTGATTTTCTCCTCTGTCTTAAAGACAAAAGCTTTAAGTGCTGTTTATCTGATGGTGACGATTTCGGTGGTCTAGCAGGTCTTGTATGTTTGTTAGCCCTATTTTCTCTGAATCTTAGTTATTTTATTTCAATTCCAGTTTTAGAAACTCCTTTTTTCACTTTTTTATTTGACTTTAACCTTTCCTATGCAAGTGGATTATCTTTTATCTAATCTCCTCAGAAACATCTCCTGAAAAATGAATAGCTTGTACTTAATAGCCATGTTAATGGAAAAGTCTCTAACTTTTGCACAGCACTGTATGTTGCACCAACACAATTAATCCCAAACGTAAGTAAACTAAAACAATGTGTTAATGTAATACATTTTATTCATATGAAAATTAGGTACTCATTTGAATCAAATCAATATAGGGTATGACTAACAGAGCAATAACATGGCCATTAGAGGATTGGGTAATATGTGAACAAATGTCTGGCTGTGGAATGCGTTGTACTCCAGTTACCCCCCTGCTGAACACATCTTTTTTTCTATTTAAGGTGCCACGTGGTATGTAAGGGATTTTTGTCACCTTCATATCTGAGCTTCCCCTAGAGCAAAGTCACAGTTCTGCTAGATTCCAAGATAAGATATAGATATACAGCCAGCACACTATATTATGTTTGCTGTATTTGGAAGAGGTTTACTGTCCTAGTTATGTGAAAGGGAAATGAAAATCATAACTAAAATTATTCCATCCTGTGTTCTTTGTGGTCTGTGAATCTTGTAGCATTTCAATATTAAGAACTTCTTTGACACAACTTCCTTACTGAAATTACTCCACTGTCTTACTACTGCAACAAGGACCAAACTATCCACCAAACAAAACTCACTGTTATTGCTCTCCAAGTCTCAAAGGGTTCAGCTACTTTCAAAGCACGGTTCAGAACTACACCACTACATAGTGCTCTAACTAAGATCTTTGACTTCAGGGTGCCTGGCATGACCTTCCTTAAAGGAAAATTCCAACCATTTTTGAAAATCTCTGCATAATTACATTGTTAAGATGCAAACAAAGTCATTCAAAAAGGTCTGTTGTGAAACAGTGCGTTGTAGAGAAACTTATTGACAGTGGTGGTGATACGAACCAGACGTCAGAAGATACGCTGCCTGATGCCTGAGATGTTGTTTTATGATAGTATTGAGATAACGTTTTAGCCTAAAACATATTATTTTAAAATCATTCATTTTTCCACATTAACCATGTTTTTAACATGATCATCATTCCATTTTAAAACTTGGCACATAGGCAGAATAGCTAATGGCTAAATTTGTGTTCATTACCTCTGGTTTCTCTCACAACCACTGTATGTTTCTCTACAATGTCCTACAATTTCACATCAAACCACTCTGAATGACTTTGTTTACATCTCAACTTTTGAATTTTGCACAAAGTTTGAAAAATCCTCCTTTTAGGTGCAAACATGCTTGCAAGGTAAAACTGAGCTGCATTAGTGCCTTTGCCCCTCAGTAGTGGGAGAAGCTTCCTTTTCAGGTCCAAATTGCTCCATCTACAGGGATGGATTACAGACTGGGCCACTGGGGCCAGTGCCCATAAGTCTCTGACTGCAAGGCCCTGGGGGGATTTAGGCCACAAGGCTGTAGGTGACCCAAATACCTGGGAAAGTCCACTGCATGTGTAAACATTAGATTAATGAATAGCCCTTAAATATGTTAAATTACTAAAAAAAATGAAATAAATTAATGTTATTGGTTCTCAGATCAGTTTTTATATTATTATTATTGGGATTTTGTTGCGTTTGATATTTTAATAGGATGTTTTAGACAATGTGTGATAGCGGTTTTCTCTGTTTGGCTAAAAATCTTTAAATCATATACAAAAATTACAGACAATAAAATATTGCTATTTAATGAGGCTGTTCATTGTTTCAAAATGCACATAGAAATATGTTGAATTTCACTTTTCAAGACTTTTTTGGTTACATGTTACTGTAGCATGTGGGGGGCCTCCAAGGACTCTTGTGTCTAGGCATCTCACAACACCCTGATCCATCCCTGTCCATCTCCAGTGTTATTACTGTTATGTTCTTAAGACTCATTCTTGGCCAACCCTGATCTATGAATCTCTCATATGACACCACTGAGTACCTGTGCACATGCAGTTTTATTATAATATATTCACTAGTTCAAAAACATAAGTAAGCCTAGGTTGCTTTTTCAGATGTACTGCTGTACTTTTAAATGTTCCTTTGCCCAAAGTTACACTTCAGCTTGATCAAGCTTGGATAAGAATCTTCTGTTTGAGGTTATAAATCCTTTTAATGGATTTATAATCTGGATAAGAGTCCCTGCCTAACGAGTGTAAATGTAAATGCATACCTATCCTTAAGAGTACAAACTATAGGATGACAGAAACCTGTCTTAAGGTCTCACCTTTCTCATGTAAGTTTCTGAAAAATCGAGATGATCCTTTCCAAACAGGAGGAGTGTCTGATAGGATCTTATCTAAATCCTTCAAAAAGAAGGGATTATTAAAAAAACAATTCACCTATATTTGTCATTGAAATACAGTCAAGAAGTAAACATAAGAGCAATAATGAGTAAGAACTTTTTTTAACGTACCTTTTTTGTCAAGGATCTCCAAAACTTCTTTTCTGAAACAGAAGACATTTGATTACATGAGGGAGTCAGATCCTGCATTTCTTGCATTTTGGTGTCAGCATAAACATAGGCATCAATGGACTGTATATTAACACAGTGTACTAATCAGTATAATACATTTCTCAGTCTGGACATGGGTCTAGGTAACATTCTCATCCAGTCACATCATAAATCCAGTCCAAAATGACAGCAATGCGGTGATCTTATTGTTTAATACTGTAACGCACGTTCCAAAGGAATGGCAAGGCCATGCTATTGCGATAAGGCAGAGGGGTCATAAAATGCTCGACTGACTGAAAGCATTCCTCCTCTCTCAGCAGTCTGACTAGAACCACAAAGCTTTTCTCCATGAATTGCAAAATCAGTCATGAGTCTGCAAAAAGAGCTCCACAGCTCTGTTCCATCAAAATGCAGGTGCATCTAAAAATGCTCACTGCTTTTAACAGCAATCCAGACCCGAAACCAGCCTAGAGCTTCGGCCATCTTATAGTGCACTGTTAAAAAACATTCTAGTAGATTCATGGGCATGATGTAAACAAATCAGAAATAAGATGCAAAACATTTTAGTCATTTTAGTGCAAACAGAAAAACAAAACAATCACAAGTTAATATATGACCCATATCTTGTGTGTACGTAATGAAATTCCATTATGCGTAATGGCCCTCTGGTCAGACTTTCACAAACATGCACAGTGACAGCACACTCAAAACAGACTTTATAGCCAAGGCATAAAACCATAAATACCATTATGCCTTTTAGCTGAGCATATGCCATTAAAAATAATGTGCTTGAAGCGGTGATGCAATGTGTGCCCTTCATATTAGAGTTCACATTTTATTCCTCTCTGAACATTCCAGGAAGTCCAACTCCCAGCTAGCAGTGTAGAACTGTGCTCCAAGTTTCAGGACGACAAAAGCTTGTTAAAGCTGTTTAAAAACCAGTGGCGCAATTTAGATCTTATGGACCCTAGTGCAAAAAATTATAAATAATTATAAAAATTATTACAATTATTTTAAATGAATGAAAAAACAATGTAATTTACTTGTTTACTCACTACTGATGTGTCCCAACCAAGCTGATGCCCTAATCTAGGCTGACAATTTGCTTATATTTTTAAGATATCATTGCTACCCATGAGTCATGGGTGCAAAGAGGCATACCAGTATGACCCCAGTGCAACTAGAAGAGCTTCAAACCAGCATTTCTTCTGTTGGTTCTAACAGCAAGGATATGGGTGTAGCTGAATTCTACACCTCCATTCAGAACATTTAAAGGGCCTATATAATGGCTTTTTTAATAACTTTTTTGAAGAGTTTGATGTAATGTGCAAACACTGTTAATAGTTCACAATGTACCATTCAGTCCCCAGTCCATACAGTCCAATTATGGAAACTAAGCTGCAAAAGCAACCCATTATGAATTCATTGTTTTTGTGATGTCACAAACATGAACATATTGATATATATCCACCTAGTCCACCCACAACAGTTAAGCTCTGCCTATTCAGTTGAAGTCATAAGGGGTGTTTCAGCCCAGACTTCTTTTTAATTGAGGTATGATGAATTGCAGACAATCAGAAAAAGACATCACTTACTAAAAGGCACATAAACAAAAACAGCCTGTTTAATTCTAAGAGATAAAGAGGGGTTTGAATATAGCCATGTAAACAGTAGCATATTAGGACTGTTTTGATACTTAAAACTACAGAAATGAGGTCCACTACAGAAAAGTGGACCTCATGGGAAAAAATAAAAGTTGGGCCAAGCAAAGGTGAACATCATTACATGAAATGAAAATATCCTAGTTATAACCTTTCTCACTGTAACATAAAAATAGCTACTTATCAAAAAACATAGTTAAATAATAAATCTGTCAACGAGGCCTGTCTTAATGTTCCACCTTGTAGAGCAGCAATCTTAAAACTCTCATTCATAGGTGAGATCTTGTCGAGATCAAATACATGTTTGGGAATGGTTCTGCAGATTTTTGTAACAGAAATGGGCCTTAAGTGTTATGCTGGTAGAGATGGATATCTTCATGCAGGTGTTATGACTCCATTAGCAGTGACCAGTCATAGCTACCTTTAAAGATCTACTGGGTGGTTTACTTGTATAAGAAAAGGAGTATAATCTCTCAGTTTAACAACTAAATCAGTGATTAAAATAGAATTCCATGTGTATTCTTCTCAATCATTAGGCAGCTTCTGAGAGCTGCATGTATTTGTTCTGTATGTGCAGTGTGAGAGATAAAGACTGTATAAACTGTTTGTGCAGTGTCAAAGAATTTAGGAGTAGTGCTTACTCTTTGGTTCACTCATAGTGACTGACTCAATGAAGTCCAACGGTGTCATGTAAAGCTGTCCTTCGTACTCCACTGAGCTGAACAACCGGAATCTGTGCTCGTGGGCTGACATTGCCATGTCCTCTTCGTCAGCATGTATCTTGGTCTATAACATAGAAATTTATTTTTAATAATTACTGACACTGAAGTTAAGACCCACCACCTTGATTATAGCAGTGCCAAAAGGGTTTTTGGAGCTATACAAAAAACTACATTTGTTTCCCTAAAAAAAACTTTTCAATGGATGTTTTTTTAAAGAACGATTTTTGTAAATGAGATATTCAAGTGTGAGATATTCAAGTAGGAACATTTTTTTGAATGCCAATTAAACATCTTTTCCTAGAACTAAAGAACTATTTAAAGGGCCCTTATTGTGGAAAACTGAATTTTCCTCGTGTTTTTTTTAAATTTGAGCTTGAGGTAGTGTGTAAACACTGTTACAAAACAGACCATTTGCTCCACAGTTCATATAGTCTGTATATGGAAACTGTTTTAATTCCATTGTTTCTGTGATGTCATGAAACACATTTACATATATCTGCCTATCCAGCTTAAAGCAGTTTAGCAGTGTTTCAGCCAGGACAGCCAATCAGATCACACACACACACACACACACACACACACAAACACACACATATATGTATATATATATATATATATATATATATATATATATATATATATATATATATGAACCAGATATCAGTCTTAAATACACAGTAACAGAAATAGCCTGTTTAATTGTAAGATACAATAAAGGGTGGCCAATCAGAACAGAGGCCATTTGCATACATTAGTCAACTGCTGGTCATCTACAGTGGGCAACATAAGTGGTAGCTGAATGAAAACAGTGATCTTGTTAAATTAAAGTTTATTTAAATGTTTTATGCATTTATGAAGGAATAGACACAAGCTTCTAGAAAACTACCTAAAATATCACCATAAACAGTTTTGAAAACACTGACCAAATCCATTATGCATGGCCAACAAGGAACTCTGGGTTTCCCCCAACCTCACAATAAGGCACAATAATGGACGGCCAGTCAGAACAGAGATCATTTACATATATATCAGTCTTGAAAGCACAATAACAAAAAACAGCCTGTTTAATTCTAAGGGATAAAATAAATTGGAAAATGGTCATGTAAAAATGAATCCTAACTACTTTTGGTAAAATGTCATAAATGGACCAAGAAAAATGTGGAATATGGGCCATTTAAAAACCTTTATTTTTAAAAGTGTCAAGATCAGTTCAGCAAAACATCCACAAGCAAAACTTCCCATACTACATTCATGACATTTCCACCCACACATGATTGAATAATGTTGGGTATTTTTTTTTTAATGCATGTCCTCTTATTTAGTTCCTCCACATGGCTGAGGACTCAAACGTTCAGAAGCATCGATATGAAGAGCCTGAGCTCACGAGGACAGAGCTGATGTCTTTCCCAGGTGGCAGGCAGCCAGGCCCACTGGGCACCAAGCAAACACCCTGGGAATGTGTGCCCCTGCTACTTATTACCCACATCAAATGTCAGCCTTGCTGCCAAGCTGCCGTGTCCCGTTACCTCAGCCCTGGATTCCTGCGTCTCAATCCACAAGTCAAGGTTACGTCCAGTGCTCCCCCCACCCCTCGCCCCTGTTCCCGAGTTGATAAGGGAGCAAAGACAAAAAGGAACACAGTGTAAGGGAGGTTGCAACGCAGACTGAGTCAACCCTGCATGGTTTAATGATCCAACAAACCAATGAAGTCCACACAGATCACCGCTGGACAAACTTGCCAGAGAGACCGATGCCAAGAACATGATTAGGGTACAGCCCTTGTCTTCTTGTGCTTTTTTTATGCGCAGAAAGGAGTGGATGGACTAAATCAGTGAACTGAACAAGTGCTCTCAGTGGTGCTTTCTGGAACCAAGATAATCTTACTTTGATCTCCACAGTTTATGAGAGCTATCGAACACTGCTGGGCATCTACAGTGGACAACATTAGTGGCAGCTAAATGGAAACTGTTATCTTGTTCAATGTTTTTATTCAACGTTTGATGTTATTTTCTTCTTAATTCAACATTTTGTCACGTATTTATGAAGAAATAAACTCAAGCTTCTAGAAAACTGGAGGTAACTAGCTCACAACTCACCCTAAACAGTTTTAGTACAACACAAAACAAATCCATGATCCATGGCCAAAAATGGAAATGTATGCTTCTCCCAACCTCAGAATAACGCACAATTAAGGGCAGCCAGAGGTCATTTACATATATCAGTCTTGAAAGCACAATAACAAAGACAGTCTGTTTAAATCTGGGATAAAAAGAGTTTGTAACATGTTAATGTAAAAATTAAATATGACTGTTTTACAAAACAAATGTCATAAATGGACCAGGAAAAATGTCAAAACAAAATGTCAGAACAAAATCTCATATCTCCAAATTGGTAACTTAACAGAAGAGGGGAAAATGTTCTTAATTTGTACTATACCTTTTTCCCAAGTCATCTAGACCATTTCTATTAGTCTGTTCATTATGAAATTTTAACATAATGCAAAGGGTAGCTTAAGTTTTCAAATTACGTTAGTTTGATCTATTTCTCAGAGTTACCAAATCATGCTGCAATCTTTAGCACTGCCACAGTAGTCTATGATATCGGATATGCTGCCAGAACTAATAACACTACTAGCCTGATTCATATTTAAAGTATCCACAGATGTAGTAGAAAGTGCTTAAAATGATGTGCTACATGAGAAACATCCTACTGAATGTACACTTTCAGAGTGTCTATGCTGGCTATGCTGTTATGCCATTTGTTCAGTTAATATCACTACTTTTGCAAAATGGCTTCCAGGTTTATTAAATCTCATGTCTTTTTTTCATCAGGGTCTCATGAACCTTTAATATGTAATGTGTCAGGTAATTCAGTATTCTGCAGCGCAGCACCATAGCCTCTGCCTCATCCGTTTGACAGGATTCACGATTTTATACTGTTTCCATGTTTTCATTTATCAGTGTTCTGACACTACAATACCCAGCATGCATTACACAAATACATCATACAACTAATGAGAATCTCTGCAGTGCTCAACCCATGCTGGCCGGTAGAGATGGTAGAATGTGATGCTCACTCTACCATTTAAAAATAAAAATAATGATAACATAATAATATTTTTTGAAAACTAAAAAAAAAGCCTTCTCCCAAAACCCAGCTCTAAGCATTTGTGGTTATTCAGAAGTTCCTCTCACCTTCAAGATACATCACTAGAAGGGGGGTTTCCTCGTCTTTATACCAGAAAATTATGCTTTAGACATTACTGTAGCACCGCTGTGGAACACAAGTGGGCATGTTTACAACACAGGCGGCCATGGTTACATATTTCAGTTGTCCCTTTAAGTTTAGCCAGTATGATTGATCTTAACTAAATTTCATTGTACTTCTAAGCTCCAGTGACAAACTGCATTGTATTCCTTTTCATACATGGTTGGTGTTATTACAGTCATATATGCATGTCGTTACAGCCATATGTGGCATTTTTGGGCTGCTCAAAAACCCAAATTCACATGGTATTTTCAGCACCCCTCCCGGTGGAGAGCGCCTTTGATACCGAGCATATAAAACTCATTAAGAGCCTCTTGTTGACTCTTAACATGCCGCGATACTGAAGTGCGTGTGAAACAGCACGGAGGGCTAAAGGCCTCTTGTTTACGCCCTGTTTAACCGTTATTTCACAGCCATACCTTCTCTTTCGCTGCCACAGCTGGGAGTGATCTCACCAGTCCACAGTGTTGACTTATTCTGCTGCCCTGCTTCTCATCGTCCCGGGACAGCCAGAGCTCATACACCGCTATTCCTCCGAGCCCGAGACCCAGTCTGGTTCCGGCTCGTCTCAGCGAGCGTGTGCTTTTCGGATGGAGTCCTGCTCCGCTCGTGTAAGCGATGTATTTGTGTCCCGCTGAGATAAGCCGACGCAGAGCCGCCATCATGGCAGTGACAGAGCGGCTCACTCACTCCTCGCGAGATGTGGCGCTACACGCAGCTTCATCCCGTCAGATCGCGTTCAGCTCCAGCAGCAGCAGCGCTCACTCTGGAGCTGATACAGAGTCAGTTCACAGCTCATGGATGAAAACAGGGGAACTGGAGAGACGTGAGCTGTTCATATTTATATCTTTTTGTGTTTTGTATCTGTTACCTGTACCACTCTGTATCCTTTTATTTTCAGTGCTATCATCTTTTAGTTTTTCCAATAAAGGGCCCATATCCTATTAAGGGTTCTTTAGTAAAGGCAGTGGTTCTACACTCTTAAAAAAGATGGTTCTTTAAGGGTTTTTAGTAAAGAAAATAGTTCTATAAAGAAACCATGAACACTCAAAGAACCCTTTGCATGATTGAAGGGTTTTTTGCATCATTACAAGATTCTTTAGATTGTGCCATAGATGCCACAGATAGACCTTTTTGAAAGCGGTTCTATATAGCACCAAAAAGAGCTCTTCTACTGTTATGATGTCAAGCCTGTAACAATAGAAGAACCATTTTCAAAACGGTTCTGTATAGAACCATAAACACACTGTCGATCAATCTGAAGAACCTTTTCACCATGCAAAGAACCCTTTAATCATGCAAAGGGTTCTCTGAGTGTTCATGTTTTCTTTATAAAACTTTATTTAAAAAGTGTGTATTTAGAGTTAAAAGTTTTATATAGAACCATTTCATGCTTAAATAGTTCTTTGCATGGTAAAATGGTTCTTTAGATTGATGGAGAATGTATTGTCTTTTTGAAAATGGTTCTATATGGCACTGTAAAGGCTTCCACTATTGTTACAAGAGAACATTTTTCATAGAATGTTACGTTTGATAAAATAAAATGTTTTTTTTTTTTATTTTTTTAATATCGGGGAAAAGAAAAAGAAACTTTTGTTTTGGAAAAAGAGCTTTTCCTTATATGCAGACCACCTACCACGTAACTCCACAATACCCTTAAACATCATTTAAAAAGGTGACCCACCTTCAAGGGTTCTTTAGTAAAGGCATTGGTTGTTTTGAGAAACACAACATCTTAAAGGGTCATTTCAATGCATAAATGGTGCTTTGCATTGTTAAGGGTTCTCTTCAATGATGGATGACCTGCTCTGTAAAGAACCTTTAAAAATGGTTCTGTGTAGCACTGAAGAGGGTCACACTATATAGAGCCCTTTTTTTTGCTAAGGAAGGATGTTGAAACCTAACCCCAGTAAATAAAATATATTTAGTTAATATATTATATATTAAAAAATATATATACCATATATATAAAACATATTTGTTAATTAATTAATTAAAACCTCTGTATTGGAAGAGGGAATTTTCTTGTATGGACCACCTGGCATTTAACCCAGGGCTCATGTTCTTGTTATGCTCCCATTCACCAGCATCTTAAGATGTGTTTGTGTACATTTATATCTTTTTTGTTTTGACAAACACAAGCAAAATTAGCCTTATTAATCATTAATGTCTGATAATGTGTTGTGTCTACATTGTAACTGTTTATGCTTTATGTGTAAAATTTGTGTACCTAAAGACTGACTTGAATCAAGACTTCTTCACTTTTTCTTTTAAGCTCATCTGAATTGTAATGCAGAAACAGAGGTATTCCAACACACATTGAAGGTAAAATCTCATTTGGATGGCAGCAATAAAATAAATGTTAATATACGATCTGAGGTGCCTGAGAACAGATAACATTTCTTGTTTTATTTAATTCCTTTAGGCATTTGTTCATATCAACTCCTATTTGTCTAATGCTTATATGTGCAGTGGTCAGTATAAGCACTAGACATGTAAGCATATAAGCATTATATCATCACAAGCTTGACAAGCTAGCCCCAAGTATTTGAGCCTCCTTGGATCTTGTGGTGTGAGGTCCTCTGAGGCCCCTGGCACTGTCCCCACTGGTCTGGTCAATAATCCATCCCTGAATTAACCCCACAATGTCCCAATGTTTATATTTTCCAGTTGTATTCCTATGTATGGGGTGTGGGATCCACTGACCCCTCTATAGTGCTCTGCTTTACCTCCATCAAACCCTAACTGTAACCACAGGAGAAATGAAATGAGTACACAATTAAAAAATCTTCAAGGGTTCTTTAGTAAAGACTGTGGTTCTATTTACAACTGTGAGTTCTATATAGAACCATTTCATATTTAAATTGTTATTTCTGAAATGGTGAAATGGTTCTTCAGATTTATGAAGGATGTGTTGTATATGGTTCTACATAGAACCTTTTTAAAAATGGTTTTATATAGCACCAAAAAGGTTCTTCTATTTTTACAAGCTTGACATCATAACAACAGAAGAACCCTTTTTGGTCCTGTATGGAACCACTTTCAAAAAAGTTCTATATAAAACATGCATGAAATTGTTCTAAATGGTTCTAAATAGAACCACTGAGAACCATCCTTTTAAAGTGTGTACTACACTCACAACCCATAACACATACATTTTAAAAAGCATTTTTATGTTTATGTGCTCCATCATCTGGGGGATATTTGGTCCCCGCCTGAGGCCAAAGAACACGCGAGCGCGCACACACAGGGCAGGTCTAACCCACCAGTCCCCGCCCACCGCTCGCGCTTTGCACCTGCCTCGCGCTCCTCGTCCTCACAGCACACACTACTTCCCTCTATCTCACACACTCACGTCCACACACACACACTCACGCTCACCTTGCCTGATCGGGGGCTCCTGAGTTACGATCTCACACTCACTCACACTCGCACACACTCCAGCTCTGTCTGCGCGGTGGATGCAGCTCGACTCAGAGGAGAACCTTCAGAAACCAAACCTGCCTGAATTAAAACTGGATGTTTACTGAGTGAGGAAGACTAACGCGGAGACAGAGGTGATTTATCCCGCGCGCTTACACTTCTTGCCCCTCACTCGGGACCCCCACCTAACACCCTCAGACCTCCCTTGCTCCTGAGTGGGACACTAGGCCGGCAGAAGCAGCAGCAGCCCCAGCAGGCATGGGAGCGACCCGCCGCCGCGTTTAGGCTCCATCCAGCGCTCTGCTCGCCTTCACCGGACAGGCCGGACTATGGCGGGGCTCGGTGAGTTCGGCGCGCTCGTGCACGGCGCTGCGGACGGCGCGAGCTCGCCTTTCCACATGCCCGCGCTGGCCGACGGGCTCGCGCTGCTGCCCGAGCGCCTCCTCATGCCCGCGGAGCCGCTCTCGCGCAGCCCCACTACAGACCTCACGCACCTGAAGGGCATCCTGCGCAGGCGGCAGCTCTACTGCAGGACGGGCTTCCACCTGGAGATCCTGCCGGACGGCACGGTGCAGGGCACGAGACAGGACCACAGCCGCTTCGGTACGGGACAGGGGGTCTTTAGAACCGTCACTTGCGCTCTTAAACACGACTGAAGTGCATTTGAGTTGGACAGGAACCAGTTCCTTTCACTCTAATCTTTCCTTACTTCAGATTAAGTGCATTTGTGAGGAAATAGTCTACTTTGTACCAAGTTCCATGTGCTTATGTTCAATTCTGAGAGATTTGTAATCATAATACTTTATAAATACATATTTGTGAGGAAATGAATCTACTGAGTCCTTCACAATTTCTGTCTTCAGCACCTCAGCTGTAGTGATGTTGATGAAACCTCTCATTATCATACTTAAAGGGGAATTCCACTGATGTTTCAAAATTTCTGTATAATTCAGTGGTTTAGATGTAAAGTCATTCAAAGTGGTTTGATGTAAAATGGTTTATTTTTTCAGAGAAACTTACTGACTGGTTTCTTAACACTGGTAATAGGAACCAGAGGTTGCCATGTCCACAGCACAATTATAGCCATTTTACTTACTTTCCAAAACCACCAGTGAACCTACATGTCTCTTTAAAAGTACTGCTGATGATGGTAAAATAGAACACCCTTTATGTATCCCTCCACCACCACCACGAATAGATTATAATAAATTAATTAAAATACATTTTAGACCAAAAACGTTATCACAAAACTACTGTAAAACAATGTATTAGACATCAGGCAGCGTATTCATAAGCATTTCATGTAATAATCTTCTGTGAGGGAGCTTTTAGAGGTGGACGTCTGGTTCCTATCATCACCACTGTGAACAGTCCTGACACTGTAAGTTTCTGTAGAATGGAGCATTTTAGGCCATATCATTCTAAATGACTGTTTACATCTTAACAAATTCATTAAACCAAAATGTTTTGAAAAATTGGGGGAGTTCCCCTTTAAGCAATTTTTAAACCATAAAGAGACAAACGGCACCTAACAAAATGCTGGATGTATTCAGACTTACCACTGCAGTTCTACAACTCAGTACTCACTTCAGTTACTCAGAGTTACTTCAGTTCTATAACTCAGGACTTGAGTTATAGAACATTCTACTTGTGGGTAGTTCAGGCTACTCTACAAACCTCTGCAGAAAACTGCACAAGTCTCCTGAACTTGGTACAGGTGTAGATTTCTCTAGTATGTTATTAGCACAGCTTTTATCATTTATATATAGTAGATATGTTGCAATGCAGAGATATGACCAGCAATATACTTTAAGCAGAAGTTTACTCTAGAGAAGTTCATGGAGAGCTGGTATGTCTGTAGAATGTCAGTGAGTGAGTGAGAGAGTGAGTGAGTGGGTGAGAGAGGATAGCTCCAGCAGCTTACTCACAATCTGTGACAAGAGCTTGGACTTCAGAGAACATACCTAGAACAATTGATTTATTCTTCCCCAGGTATTTTGGAATTCATAAGCCTGGCAGTTGGATTAATCAGCATCAGAGGAGTGGACAGTGGCCTCTACCTTGGGATGAATGACAAGGGGGAACTCTATGGCTCTGTAAGTGTTACTGACTGTGCATGGGAATTACAGTGGTGCATAGTATGCTTGTTCCTTTTTGTGTATCCATGGTGTTTCTTACTGAAGCCAAATAAGCCCTTTTTAACCCTTGTGTTCTACATGTCCTACTTGCACGTGGCCTAATATTCACTTTGCCTTCTTGCAGGAGAAGCTGACAGCTGAGTGCGTCTTCCGGGAGCAGTTTGAGGAGAACTGGTACAACACATACTCCTCCAACCTCTACAAACATGGAGAAAGGGGGGCACGCTATTATGTGGCCCTCAACAGGGACGGGACGCCACGGGACGGGACAAAATCAAGGCGACATCAAAAGTTCACACATTTCCTTCCCAGGCCGGTGGACCCAGACAAAGTGCCTGAACTCTACAAAGAAGTGCTAGGCCACAGCTGAGACCAATCAGCCTGGCTTTAGAAGAGGAATAAGCCCAGTTCTTACCCTATAGGAACGAGGGAACCGGATGGTTGGCTTTTAGCACCAGTGCACGAGCCAGTGAGAGTACGGGCCAGTAGTGATGCACTGAAGTGCTCAGTCCTGATTGTCCTGAGTGCTGAGAGTTAAGTGGGTGTCCCAGTGAACGTGGGGCTAACAGAACCTTTTGAACGCTAGGCCTGTTGGTAAAAAGCAAGCAAAGAGAAGGTCCTGACCTCCTGACTTCAGTTCGATTGCGGCTCTGCATGACAAGATTTAGAAATTTTTGTGATTCAGCTTACTGCTGACCTGCTTTGGAGATAAATGAGACTGGTTTAGAAAGACTTTCTGGAACTCTGTCAGGACTGCAACCTGTGCAGAACAGGACTCGTCATCTTATAGGATATTATTTATACAGTTCATGCCACACATATTTATTTGATGTATTTATTTATTTGATAATATATATTTTCACACCTAAATGTAGACCTATCTAAATAGATATCACAGTAGAAGGTGCCTTAAGCTAGTAAAAAATCTGATGTCCTCATATAATGGAAGTGCAAAATATTACTCATATTGTTGCTACCATTAAAATTGCAAGACCAATCCTGCTTCACTGATGTATGAAGAATGACCATCATTTTTTTGAGTATGTTTCAAGAAGGACCAAGAAAGTTGACCCCAATCTATTTAACTTCAATCTGTGCTGAGTCTTTAAATAGCACCTGTCATACTGATTTGAAATATTTTATAAGGTATACATGCTGGACCTGACTAAATATCACTGAAATAGGGTGAAATGTGTATTTCTTTCTGCATATTTCAGTGATATAATGTCACGTGGAAGAGGGTTATTCCCTTAAACATAGCTTCATGCACAGACAGGCACAAGCTGTTGACATGGCACTAGTTAGGCTGAGAACAAAAGGCTTGTCCGGCACTCATCAACTTCAAAGCTCCTCTTAGAGACCTTCTCATGTAACAGCCTCGCAATGACAAGATCAGGGTGGAATAAAAACTGACCTTTAGCTGTAGACTGGTGGCCTGGCGGCCCGGCACAACTAGGGTCAAAATGACAAATATTAAGCAATCTCTGTTGACTACATCATGGTCTGGCTTAATACGACCACTTAAAAGACCACTTATTTTTCCCTCTATCGTGGAAGGCTATAATAAGAACAAAATATTCAAAATAACTGCTTTTCTTTTTTTTTCAGATTCCTTTTTCCATTTTTACTTTCGCACATTGTCTATTTCTGTCAAGAGTGAGGTCTGTACCAGCATACACAAATTAAACCAAGCATCACTTGGACAAAAAGACAATATGAGATTTAGATACCTCAGGCTAAACCTACCTGTAATCTTTTTTCCTCTCTTTTTTTTCTGAATGTGTTTAAACGGCTCAATGAGCAATTTCCACAACAGTGACCAAAAAAGCATATCTATCTACAGTTTCCACAACGCTTGGAAGAGTATTTGTGTCGAAGCATGAAGGCTACGCTCTGTGATCTCAGCATCTGTGTGATGGTGAGCCAGGGGCTGTCTTGACAGGGGAGCCTACATGCTGCCAACCTTTACCGGTATGTGATACTGTGGGATTTTCCCATCTGAACAGCTTACAACAGCGAGCAGTGTATGGGGGCGGGAGAGAGTGGAAACAAAGAGGGGTTCACACTATAGGGAATGAAACGTCTTATTCCTATTCATCCAGACCTACAGACAGAGCTAAATTCCAAAAGCTCCTTACATAATACTATACAGTTCACAGCTTTTTCCTTCCTCCCCAAGCATGTTAATATCTATAGACAATGGGCAGATGATTGCACTGTGGAAAAATAAAGTGAAAAAATCCATCGTCTCCTTTTAATTTTTGATATATTTTATTCATATCACATGCTTGCATATTGTTGTGGTCATATTGTTTATATCAAAACACCTATTAGCCTTCACAAGGTGCGAATTGGTCAGTTAAAACAGTCTACTGGAATAAAATCTTACATAAAAACCTACTTTTTTCTTTCTCTTGAAAAGTTGGCATTTTGAAAATATAAGGGTTTATTATGACATCAGCAATTTGTGTGTTTACACTCTTAAAAAAGATCCTAAATGGTTCTTTGCTAGTACGGTTCTAATAAAAAACTTTATTTGGTACACTCTCAGAAAAAAAGGTATGAAACTAACTGGGGCAGTACCACTCTTGTCAATGGGGTGGTAACCTCAAGGGTACATCTCAGTACCTTCAGTCAGGGAACATAATTGTACCAAAATCTGTCCACTGAAATGATATTTTCTAAGTTGTACTGACTCACCCCATCTTGTCTCCAGGCTTTTATTTCATTGTTCTGTTTTAAAACATTAGGTTATGAAAAGGTACAAATATATACTTTTCACCTGAAAAAAACTTATTAAAGGTGCAAAATTGGACCTTAAAACCGCTGTTGTACCTTTGAGGGAACATTTACATTGTTTGTACCTTGATAAACAAAAAATGCACCTGCACAGAACCTTTATTTCTAACAGTGTATAGAAATTTACATCATGTGGAGGTTCTTTAAAGGAAAATTTCACAGATTTGTCAACATTTCTACATAATTTAATTATTAAGAAGTAAACAAAGTCTTGTTTGTTGTGAAACGGTGCTTTATAGAGAAACACACAAACTTGGATTTTCTTTACTGTGGTGGAGAGTTTTTCTATCTAATATTGCTAATGGTAAATTTGTCATACATCTGAAAACAGCTTTTTCTTTAGGGGCTATTTTGCCATAGAGCAATGGAGCATTTCATTTCAAACCACACTGTATTTGTTTACATCTTTAAGATTTAATTATGCGGATAATTTTAATTCCCTCTTAAACTAAAGGGTCTTCAAACTCTTTAAAGGTTATCTATTTAAATATCTATAATTGCTGTAGGTAAACAAATGTGGTTCATCTCTCAAAAATACCATTTTGGCACCTTTAGTTAGACTGTATGTGTGTTTGCGTATGCAACATAGAAAATATTACAGTAAAATTTTCAGAAGGTGTTCACTGCCATTAACTGTGTTTACTGCGCTGTTCCAGTAAAAGGTCCAGCCAGGCACAAGGCGGGGGGGTCAATTGAACATTCTGGATGTTTGATACCTGATGCCATGAAATACTTTTTGGCACTTGTTAAAGCGGTGTTTTGGAGTCTGTCTGGGTTGAAAATGATGCCTTTGTCCCTGCAGCAGGTGGTCCGAAGCACTTTACAGCCAACACTTAAATCCTTCATCCATGCCCTCTCTCAGGCCTACCTCATGCACTTAATGGATGCACCCTTATTTTCATCACTTCAGACGCGGCCTCAAAGAGTCAAAGAGCTCTCAAGGAAATCCAATCAGATAGAGGTGTGTGTGTGTATGTGTGTGTGAGAGAGAGAGTGTGTGAGTGAGTGAGACTGAGAGATTGCTAACTTCCACACCTGCCTGTAGATTGATGTCACTTGTCTCTCTCTCTCTCTCTCTCTCTCTCTCTCTCTCTCTGCTTCTCTCTCAGTGTCTCTCTCACACTATCTCCCTCTGTCTCTGTCTCCGCCTCTCTCTTAGTGTCTCTCTCACAATCTCTCCTTGTCTCCTGTCTCTCTCTGTGTCTCTCTCACACTCTCTTCCTCTGTCTCCTGTCTCTCTCTGCCTCTCTGTGTCTCTCTCACACTCTCTCCCTCTGTCTCCTGTCTATATCTCAATGTCTCTCTCTGTCCTACCTCTCTCTCTCTCTCTCTGTCTTGTTTCTTACTCTCACCCATTTGTCTCTCTCTCGTCTCTCTCTTTCCTGTTTCTCTCTCTCATTTCTCTCTGTCTCCCTCTCTCTCTCTCTCTCTCTCTCTCTCTCTCTCTCTCTCTCTCTCTCTCTCTCTCTTTCCGTCAGTTCAGTCAGGCAGTGCAGGTGTTCCCTCAGCACTTGTCAGCGTCTCCTCAGTCTCTGATCTGTAAGGTCCTGTGTGTGTGTGTGTGTGTGTGTGTGTGCTCTCACACCAGCACATGGAAATAATACAGCCTAGATGGCTTTGTTGTCTGTCTGGATTACAATAAAGTCTAATTCGTATTTTTACAGACTGACCGGAGAAGGGCCGGGGGGGATGGCACTAAGGCTCACCTGCTGATTTAAAGCTGCGGATTCTTCTAAGGATAGGCATCTGTTTGCATAAGGGTGGTGTCCGACAATACACATAGCAAGTATTTATTTAGAGCCCTTTAAGAGTAAATGACCTCTTTAAAGCCAAAGTACAATGCCATGCTGTTTACATGGCTTAGTGCCGAACAGTCTTCGTCTACTGAATAGGTAGGAAATTCATGACATATATGCAATACTATGAAGGGATGCTTTAACAAAAAAAAACAAACTGAGCGATTCTTCACCCGCCCAACTTCACCACATGCCACACACTTTTTTTTAGTGAGACATGTTTGAGGCGTGCTTTTCCTAAACTGCAATTAAGCTTTGCACACTTGTTTTCCTGACACTCGACTTTAAAAGCTGTCAACTGTAGTGGAAATGTTGTTGAGTTGTTTCCATCACTATGGAGACAATAGAAAAGACTTACGCCGTTGAGCCAATCGTTGAGTTTCTAAAAGCCTCTGGGGTTTTCCTGGAGTTGCAGTATTTTAGCACTCCAGGGCACTTTTAATGACAGTTTGTGACTCAATTATAATGCGTTCACGGATGAGTGTGAGTAGCACTGTTATAGATATGGAAAATCAGAGGGAAATGTTTATTAAGTATTTCTCTTACCAAATTCAGAGCACAAATACACTGCTGTAAAAGCTGATTGCAAAACCATGAGCAGGAAATAAATGTGTCTCAGAAAATTTGCTGTAAATGAATAAATAAATAAATAAATAAATAAATAAATAAATGTGCAAAGGTCAGAAACCGTCTTTCACTTATTTAATTATTTATTTTCCAGTCTTGTTTTTCTCAGGAGAAGTTTCTGTGGAGTTTAGGTATGAGATAGCCCACTTACATAAGGAAGGGGAAAGTTAAAAATAAATAATTAAAACAAACAGCAATTTCCAAAAATGGCGTTCAAGCAATTATTCAAAATATTATACTGAGAAAAGCAAATGAAAAAAAAAAGAATCAGCACTACTGAATGTGTTCGGGATTGCTTGGATTGTGAGAAACAGAAAATGCAACCAACTTCTAAGACTGACCTTTGGAGGTGTGGAAAAATATCCCTGCAGATGTCTTCAAAAAACTGAAAGCAAGTCACCTGAAAACAATAGAAGCTATAATAAAAGCAAAGGGTACACAAAAGTTGTTGAGGTTTCTGTGTAATTTTCTGTTAAATATATGTTTTCTGCTGTTTTCCTGATGCTGAAAAAATGAATCACTTATACTTAGTGGTTGTTTTGGGTAGAAATTAGATGTAGGGTGGTCTGTGACATTTGCACAGCACTGTAAATAAATAAATAAATAAAGTATTTTAATATATTTTATGCTGGTTTTGAAAAACTCTCCCTGTAAAGTAACTTTGCGAATTTGTTTTAAAAGGTGCTACATGCATTATGCACACAGGTAACATATATTGTTTATTTATTATTATCATTATATATATATATATATATATATATATATATAAAATTAA